ACAGCGGCGCATTTGCAGGGACGCCGGGAGAATCATTTTTATTATTAAACAAAATGCCACGATGAGTGATTTAGAAGATTGTACAGCAGACGACACATTCTATTTATTTTCCTATTCTCTCTCAGCCTCATCAGCCCACTCGCATTGCCTCATCGCACTGAAGATTCCAGTCAAAGCCCCATTTATTGGGATTTTCACACGTGAAGAAGAGGCATTAAACCTAAATTACTGTCTTCCGATCATGGGTGGAATCGCTGCCTTAAGACTTCTCTCCGTAGCTCTTAGACTTAGATGGCTTTATTTCGCCCAAATCGGATCAGTAATGAGCCTTGAACCCAAGTTTCCCGCTATGCTTTCAATTGAGATCAACCTCAAATTGAATCTCTCGTCATAATTTAGACAAAAAGGATGCTTTTGAATTTTGTTTCCACCCAGAAATCAAAGAGTGGTTTTGAAGTTCCATTCGACCACCAACTTTCACAATTAAATACATTTACGATCTCAATAATGTCGCAATAAATGCTGCACGAGAAGAGCTCAAGAGATGCTCCTTTATTGAAACATCACGGTCGAGAGCTGACTCGTAAATCTCTTGAGAAGGCCCGATGACTCGTGAGTTTCGGCACAAGTTATTAACCCCTTGGCGGCAACACAAGTCCATCTGAGAAATAATTTTATTTTAATATCATGCGTCCAGAAATTCCATCATCATCTCATCAAGGCTCCATTATTTTATTACGCCCATCGGGCTCTTCTTTTGGGTCTCTCCTTGGGCGGGTGTGAATCGAAAGGATTGAAATTCGATGTGCCAGAGAAACTCGAGATGCAGATGGAATGCCGAGAATCCCAGCTGCAGGAGAGAGAAAATTACAGTCTGGAAATAGAGTTGATCGTAAATCTCTCGCTGAGGCCCCTTTTGCTCAGGGATTCAGTGTGAAAAAGTGCATCAAGATTGATCACCTCTGACGAGAAACACCTCAGAGACCTTCGTGTCCCCTCAAAACATTCACAAACAATCGATTACAGCCGATTGAGACGCCTTCCCTCGCCCCAAAGAGATCTCAAGGAGGGCGTGAAGCCTCTCCAGATGATTGTTATAGACTGCAGAAGGATTTACACACACCCAGTAATTGCTTTTCACCGATATTTGACACTTGAGGTCCACCTCAAGTCTTCACGCCAGCCAAAAACAACTGTAAAGTGCTCGAATTCACCCGGAGAGACATAAATCCAGCTCAGCATTCGAGAGCAAACTCCAGATACTGCATTTCCCAGTGAATTGCCATGTGTGCTCTCTCCCGTGCAGGACGAAATCTCTTCGCAGGGGAATGTCGTATAGACGCCGTGGCGACGTCTCCGTCGTTCTCCCGCGCCTCTGGGTCGCGGGAAATGGGCCAAATCGCTCCAACGAGCGCCTTTGTTGGCCACTTTCTGTGTCAATGAATTCAGGAAGATGCTGCCAAGCGTCTGACCAACACGAGGTCGTAAAGAATGGATTGAGTGAGGCTTTTGATTTATCTATTGATGCATTTGAAACTTTGGGTCTTTAGGAATGTTTCTTGGATGGACAGCGCGATGAATTGTGGAATTGAAAAGGTCGTAAAGTATGAGGAAAATGTTGAATTGATACGAGAGAATGATGAGGTATTTAATAGACATCGATTAAAGTGTTTATCATTTAAAGTGACTCTAACGCCTCTTGTGGTTGTCTAACATCTTTTAGCGTAATAAAAACAATTAAAGAGAATTAAATTACCTTTCCTTTGCACTTGAGATGAGCAAAATCAGTTCACAAATAACAGACTTGCAAGTCTTTAATTAAATGACTACAAATAGTCGAAATTATACATAAGAAATTACACTGTGAGAGAAATTGCGAATAATCATATACGCATTATCTGTTCATTTGGTGATATTATAAATTAATTGCACTATCATTTGAATTCTCATTATTACTCAAAGTCTGCTCGGAAACTCAAGGCTTATATTAATTGTCCGAACACAAGGCTTCTTTTAAAGCACTTCCACATCTTATTTTGAGCCTCATTTTTGGCTTGAAGATCATCTCAGTGAATATTGTCTCAATTGAGCGGCCGTGACGGTGAAGAGAGGCCAACAAAGAGGCCCAGAAAGACGGAGGAAAAGATGCAATTGAGATCGACAAACCACCCAAAAGTGGATCCTGATTTATCTCAACGAGAATTCCTCATTCCATTTCGTCAATTCAAAGGCGGCTTTCGCCGTTCAAAAGACATTGAAAAGAAGTGCTTCCTCGCGCCCCCTCTAATAATTCTCAATACAATTTTTTCTTCAGAACCACGCGTTTAATCTCTTCCCTTCGACTTTTTTTTTAATTGATCTTTTGTTGGTTTGTTTAGTCTATAATTATAATGGTTGGCATTCATGATCTCTTGGGCCTCCTTCTCGTGACGACGAGGGGGAGAAGAGCATCAGCCAAATCTATATATTTCATCTTTCAATCCTTGGCTTGTTCTTCTCTCATTTCCCTTCGCCACCATCTTCTTCTCAAACCTCGGCAGTGCAACTTGTTCATCTCCTCTCTTCTCCCTCGCGAAGTCACTGAATCATCTCTCGAGATGCGCCATGTACAAAAAATATTTCAATAAGACGCGCGCGCTTTATTTACTTCCCAGAAAAGATGGGACTTGGAGGAGATCGCGCGAATATTTATGATCGCTTCGGCAAAAAGTGGTCAAGATTTCCGCGATTTTGGCAAGTGTTTCGGGGTTGTTTTTTCTTACTCTGCAGAGTGTGTGACACAGTTTCTAAACACCCAATCATAACAATATAATGACCTGAAAGTATTTTTAACTGTCCGTTAAAAACTTAATAACTCCGGCTAATGAGTGATCTTGATGTGTGATCTTTAAGCAAACTGTTTGCCTTTTTGCCGATGAGATGATTACATTGGTTTACGTTCTGAAATTTGCCCGAAAGCCATGATTGATCGCGATCTTCTCGCCATGCTTCGACGTCTGATAAAATCGCGATGGGATAAAAATAGAGTGAAAAGTACTGAGGATTTTTCACGCTTAGGCAAAAAGTCCGTGACAGTGTCACTCTTTTGGGGGCGATCGCGTGTCACAGATCGCGACTGTCACTTGGGACTCTTCCTTGATGGCAGAGAGAATGCATTTCAGCAGTCATGTGGAGTTATGAGTGTCTGTGGCATGAAGTGAATGAACTGATCGTATGAAGATCGCAGGAAGATCGCCGAAGACGGCAACGCACGTTACCGCAAATTGTTCATTCTTCGCTCGAGGATCGCGATATTGCATGAAAGATATAAATATTGGCGCTCAGACCGGTTTACTATTGAAGAGAGAGAGAACTTGCGCGAGACACTTTATTTATCGCCGATTTGCAACTTCACGCAAAATTCCCGCGAGAGTATGAAGAATTTCCTCATCAACTTCTTCAGATTCGCGCACCAGTTGTGCTCTGTCTCACCTCTCGCCCCACGATTAATTGTAAATTGAAAGTCCCACAATCAGCCATTTCGATCGAGTCCATCCAGGCCCAAAACTCTTCGAACAATGTTAAATTACATCCGGTGCAATAAAAATTAATTTCTCAATGCAATACGACAAATGACGCTGGCAAATGGGGACCTTTTGACTGCCATGGGCACGCCGCGGGGAAAATTATGCAATTGTGGGTGTTTCTTTGTTGCCGTCGCGAAAGGGGTTAATGACTCGGCGCCAAAGTGGACAGGAAAGTCGGGAAAATTGATACTGGAAGATGAATTTGTGTGCGAAAAATGCTAAAGAATTGAAGAACAAAGCAACGTTACTCAAAAATGTCCGCATATGAAATGTTTCAAAAGTGTGCAGAAGATTGTAAATTTGTAATCTAGTATTAACATCATATATTTATTATAACATTTTGGGTTGTTGAAATGAGAAAATTATGTTTCTGTGACCTTTGGAAATGTGAAAACATTTGTTCTTTATTGATTTTGACTATCCTTCGTACGATGTATTTTCCGCTTTTCATTGCACTTTCTTCTACGATGAAACGTTGTTTCTTCAGTCTCTTTTTGTGTGTTTTGTAGTTGACATCGAAATCCATCTTAAATAAACCTTCTTTATACGGTTTATTCTCCGTAATTCTGTGCATTTATCTAAAAAATCAATCGTCCCTTTCCTGTCTCACCGAATAAAAGTCATCGACGGGGAAGCGACGCAACATTAATCATCTTGAAAGTGGACACAAGGCAAGGGTTGAGCCTGAAAATCCTCCGTGGGACACTTTCAGACGCACTCAATTCGTGAGATTCTGGGCGAGACCTTAATCCTACTGGGACTCGTTTCTTCACACACTTGAGATCGACAAAAGGCGGAATTTACTGGGTCAATGACACTCTGTCAGTGATCAAAATTAAACTCCCGAAAGCCCTGAAACGCAGACGCGGGAAAATGATGACTTTGTGAAAAGTGCAGCAAAATTGTGTGTCCCTTCGCGATGTCTTGGTGATAATTTTGGCATCATAAACACATCACGAGAAGGAGAAACTCATGTTCAGCATGTGCAGTTTGCTTCTGCAGCCTCTGCAGTGGTCTTGTCTTGATTTCTATGCGCTGTTCTTTTTGTCAATCTTGCGGAGTTCGAGGTTAAATCAGGAAATTTGAGAGTGTTTCAGGGTTTCCAGGTAAAAATCTACAGCAAAATGCAGCGAGAAAAAAATCGTGAAAAGAAATCCTGAATTCTCAGAAAAACTCAGCTCTTCGCTTCATGCTGAAGCCAAAAGAGAGGACTTAAAATGGAGCAAAAACAGCGACTTATAATTTAAAGCCACGACCCGAGAATTGCAAAATTGTCTCAAATGTTGTTTCTCATTCTATTCAAATTCACTTCGATAACCTTCTCAATATCGCGAGGTTAATTGGAACAAAATATTTATCATTTTTGTGGCGGGAAAAGAGTCGCGCGCGCACTGAAAGGGCACACACAGTTCGTGACGAAAGAGTTAAGCCTACCTGGCGCTATTAATCCGACAAAGAGGCTGCAGAGGAGGGCGTACTTCCAGAATTCCATCGTCGAGACACCCACGGAAAATGCACACAGAAATCACTGGGAGGAAAAGTGGGGTTTTCACTGGAGCACACGCACTCTAAACCTGGTTTTTTTTTGGCTAAATGAACACACACTTTCGGTGGCAATCTCTTCACAGAAACATTGCGCGTACAATTTCACGCGCTCAGGAAAATTCCGCTGGATTTTCACTCGCGAGTGTGACAGAGAAAAACCCCTTGCTAGAGCAGGAGAACACCAGAACAGAACACGCCGGTAAAGCCGATGTTCACACAACGAAAGTCTTTCTTCAACTGTCGGCTTAGCTAAACTCCAACTTGTGCGCTTGGCTCTCTCTCTCTCTGTGGCTCTCGCGAAAGAGAGGGAAAATGAGAGAATCCGCGGCGTGTGAGTCACTCTCGGAGAGCGCGAAAGATGAATGAAAAACGCACAGCTTGCAACAAAAACTCACAATGTTGGCCACCAAATCGGCAGATGATTCAAGAATTGACTCAAAAGTCACACCTTCGATTCTTTATTTTGGGCCAATTAATCACCGTTGGACCGGAAGTGCATTTGGTGCGAAAATCAATTAAATTTCCTGCACAGCTCTTCCCAGAAATGGTGAGTGATTGTTCTGGTTTTGGGGAGTGAAAATGGTTCCATTCAATTTGGAGCACTTTTTCTGTGTTCACTTTTTGTGGTGCTGAAGAGAATCGAAAAATATTGATGGAAGTGCGTGATTGTGTGAAAGAGGCGGTGAAATTGGAGGTAATTTAGATGGGAAATCCTTTAATAAAATTATGATTTTATTTATCACACATTCTTTAATCTCACGATCAGCATTCAATAAAGAGTCATTTGGTCGCTAAAATGAAAAATAAACAAATCGTTAGTGGAAGTTAACCCATTATAGCTATAAGAACTGGCGTAAAAGTCTTTAGAGTGCTTGATGGGTTAATGCGTCCACTCTCGAAGTGATAAATTAAACAACTTTGATCAATATTCAAATACATCGCTGACGATCATCAAAGCGCTGGCGGAGCACAAATAAACACTTGCAGTTCTTGTGTTGCACAACTCCTGAAAAATGGAGAAATTCCGCGATCGCGAGACGAAGTGGGATCATTTCGCAACGCATTCGCGCCTCGTGGGAGGTCAAGCGGATTGTCCAGCGCGCGTCTCGCGGTCTGCGATTGCGATCAATTAAGTCGATTTCACTGAATTCTGCGGAATGTCTCGATGGCAAAACGCCGTGCTTCCGCGCTGCCGCTGGAATTCTCCACTCTTCCGGCGATAAAGTGTGATTGATCACATGATTCAGCGTCTTAATCATGGATTCAATGCAAGAGAGTTCGTCGTCATTCTTGAGGTGATTTCAGACGCACAATTTATGTCAATGTAATTGAAGACACTGGTTTTTGTTTGCAGCAAAAAGGCGACTTTCTTCCCATTAAAATCCCATAAAGAATGGCTCACATTTGTGGCTCAACGTGCGAGATAGAAAATTGTGAAACTTTGGCATCATCTTTCAATGGTTTCTTTTCAATGAGAATTAAACAGTGCGCACAGACTTGCAGTGGATGGCAATAAAACACATTTTCTCCAATCTATTTTTGAGGAGCATCGGCGCACATTTTCAGATGATAAATTGGGCAATTGGAGCAAAACTCAATCATCCTCTTGTGCCACACATGTTCAGCACTTTTTCCTCTGGGCGCACAATAATTCTCCAAATCAAAGTCCATCGCGCGCTAATGGCAAAGTGATGAGAAGCTGAAAAAGTCGCGCTTAATTGACTTTTTTCAAGCGCCATTACGAACGTGCGATCACGGCTGGAATGCTCGATGGCGCGCATTCCAGCAATTTGCATTGGCCAAGTGACGGATTGTGCCTAAAATATATGGAGTGCAAATTGAGCCACTCCCGCGCGTCGGCAATAAAAATTCCTGCATTCGATCAGCATTCACTTTATTCCTATCACATAGTCACTAAGGCCTCTGTCTATGGTCCCTCTGGTCACAGAAAGGATCGCTGGCGCAAGACGCAGTCACAGCACATGGCCACGGAGCGCTCCTCCCACACCCACAGGTCCACGGGCGCCTCTTGCAGCAGGGCGCACTCGCCCCGCCGACGCCGCAGGAGGCGCACGGCAAACGAGCGCGGCCGGCAGTCGTAGTGGCCGTAGTAGCACTGCGCTTGCACGCACTCCACGGAGCGCAGGTAGCGCGGGAAGTAGTCCGGCCCGAGGTCCTGCCAGCGCACTTTCGCGTCGCACGACCAGGTTTGCGGATCCACAGATCTCCTGGCTCTGACCACGGGCCGCGGCGACACGCGGCTGTTGTTCTGGCTCGGCTTTGGCACGAAGTTAGTGGCATTCGCTGACCATGCAGGCTCTCTGTTGATCTGCAAGGACACAGAAATGCTGATCATGCTTAGAATATTAGCCCCGAATTGTGCTTAAACGGCTTAAACGATCATTATCGCGAGAAATCATCGGAAAAAACCCAAGTAAAAACCTTACGTGTGGCCCAAAACACCAAAGATTGTTTTAAACTATTTTAACACATCCTTAACACTGCTCAGTTTTAGTGGGAATTGATCCAATAATCTTAGCACTTTTCATTTTCTTTCATATAATCATTGTGGATCATGAGACTGAATATTTTATGCCTAAAAACCCGCTCAGAATACCCAGAAACCCAATGAAAATCACTTCTACTTTGTGTCATTATGGTCCAGAAATTGCCCAGTAATTGACGATCTTATAAGCTAGTTTTGAGGAATTTCTTCAAGATATTGAAGTTTTCCACTGAGATTCCCTTGGAGATTCCATAACTTCTCTTGACATCCAAGAAATGCTGAGAAAGATTTAGGATTTGTCCCACACTTTTGCACATTCACTGTTCTCTGGAATATTCCTTCTGGCCTACTCACTGATGATCACTCACCTCGTGCGTGAAGGATTCCGTGACGTAGAATGAGTCATAACTGTTGAGTGCGTCTCTCTTGAGGTCGTCGTCTGGATCCTCTTCGGCGACTTTGGGGCTCTCAAAGCGCATGTAGCGGTAGTTGAACGCCGGCCCCAGAGTGTCCATGAGCACAAAGGTGGGCACGTGGCCACAGGGCTTCTCCAGGGCCACGAAGCGCCCCTCCAGCGCGTCCAGGAGCAACAGCACCACCACACACTCTGACCGCATGCTCTCGAAAGACTGACCGCTCCCTTTCGAGAAGGCCTTGCCTTCTGCCTAATTCGGCATAAATCCTTTTACACTCCAATTGACTTTTGACCTGACACGCATCTTAGTGACCATAAAATGCCTGTCGAAGCCCAAATTGTGTCATAAAGTGCGATTTATTTCATCTAACTGTTCGCCATGATGTCACTTATTCTGAGGCCCAAAAAAAGCGCGCACGGAAGACAATGAATCTCATTGGGAATTCAGGACGTCGCGTGTGGAGAATTCTTCTGTGCGGCCACAATTCGGATGTGGATGACTCAATATTTTGGGGAAGAGAGCAAATCGGACTGTTTCCCAATAGAAGTGCGCTATTTACGGCCATTCTGTGGCTCCGCAGCGCGAAAGAATTCAACTCTGCGGTGCACATGTGGAGCCAAAGAGCGGAACTTGAGGCTGCGCAGGGCGCATCAAGAGGAAGACGGAATGTCAATGGTAGAGAAATCTCCTAGTCCCTCGGCCGCTCTTTGCTGCGCCCCTTGGAGACATTCTCATCTGCATTCCCGGCACGTCGATGCACATTTGGGGGGAATTGAAATCATTTGCCGCCCGAAACTGGGTCACAAAACACATCGTAAAGACCCAAGAATAGCATCTGCAGGACAGAGATTTTCCTGGAAATTTAATTCAGAGATGATTTCAAGCAAAATTTGTCCTCCAACACAACCTTCGTGTGATCTCTTCAGCCAATATTGACCATCAGTCTCTTGATCGTTACCAATTTACAAAGTTATTTGCGCAAGTCGCACATCTTTTATGTGCTTTTTGTTCCCGGTGAATTGCTGAGCAAACATCTGCTGAAGGTTCTCAAAAACTACTTTTACTAATACGCAAAACACACTCTTAAAGCGATCCCGTGATTCTCCTCTTCCTCATCTTGTCCAGCCACTTGTCCAGCTGCTCCTGCGGCGTCAGATTGGCCGGATAGTAGTGCTCCGGCGGTGGCCCCTCCTCCAGTCGCACGAAATAGTGACAGTGTTTGTACTCCACCACACCCATGCGCCTCCGCGCGTGCCTCCGGACGCCCTTGAAGTACCTGCCTTTGCCCACGAAGCTCTCGGCCACCCACAGATTACTCCTGAACTCCACATTGTGCTTCTCCACGGCCAGCTGCTGCGCCTCCAGAATAGCCGCTTTCACGTCCCTGGCGCCCTTCTTCAGCACAAAGCTCAGCTGCTTCACCGCCTCGTCCACGGACATGCCACGCACCAGGCACGCCACGTACCACATCTTTTCGGGGCTGTAGCGAATGTTCTTCTTGATGTGACACACGTACTGCAAGGGAAAAGTCGGTCAGGAGGGCACAGAAAGCCACAGGAAGCACTTACCGCCGGTCGAGTGACTCCTTCCTCAGGCGGAAATATGGTTTTGTTATGCCGCTCCCATTTCCGTGGGCCGAAATTGAATGAATTCGTCCCCAGAGCAGCTGACAAGTGCATGTGAGCTCTCTGGGGCGCTGGCACAACCGTTTTCAGCAAGTTTTTCACAATGTTCATGATCAAAACAAACGTGCAAATGCCTTTCGAGGTTATGTCACCTGCCCTCTATTCGACCGCAGCGCCACACACGGAGTTTTTCGCATGGCGCTAAAATTTCGGCAGTGCTCTTAGCACCTGACAAAAGTGTTTATTTCCCCATTATCCGAGTGCCTACCACTCCAAATCTGCACGATGTGAATGCGCTGCAATGCAGGGGTGAAGACACAATATCAAGTAGCATTGTGAGTGGCACGGTGAAACAATAAAATTAATTATTCGCTCTTATCAGAGTGGTGATAAGGAAATCGATAATTTTGGTGAAAATAGCTCGATAGCGACGTGTTAACTCACTGCGAGTCAGTCAATAGGCATGTATATTGCGAAAAACATCACCCAAGAAGGAGTTACCAGTGAGAAATCCCCGTGAAAATGTGCAAATGAGTCCTAACCTCAATAAGTGATTCCCTCCTTTTTCGGAGTGCGTGCGTGTGTGTGCAGGAAAAACAGCCCGGAAATCAGGATGAGCTCCGCAATGAGAGACATTGTCATATTTGTGATCTTCCTGGCCACTCTAGTGAGATTAATTGAGTGTCCGGACACAGTGAGACGAAGGCAGAGGGACACTGGTCAGAAAGTGATCCCGGAAGCGCCTCCAGAGTGGCCAGGAGGGCGTCACGGTGGGGTTTTGGCAAGTGCGAGCAACCAAGGCCAGCGTTATCGCACCAGCAGCCACAATTTAGATAGCAAAAGACCGACAAACTCTATCCCGGACAGATTAGTTGATGAATTATTGGCCACTGGTGACAATTCCGCACAAACAATTGATCATTTTGCGTTTCTGGCCAGTGGGGAGGGGGAGCCGGCAGTGCCGGGGGAGGATTCGGACGAAGAAGAGACGGAAAGCTCCCAGGAAGCGCCTCAGATTGAGGACTATCAGGAGTCAGGAGAGGAATATGGCGACGGGAGTGCGCGTCCTGATTGTATTCTGGGTCCTGCGGAGATTTACCTGTCCTGGTGGCTGAAGACAGACGGAAGCTTGAGAACGAGCGACTCTAGGAGACCAGGTAAGAAATTACTAACAGTTCCTGAGCAAAATCTCGATGTTGTGCATCTTCCAGAGAATTCTCTCTTCCTGGACTTGTCTGCCATGAGGCTCAGCGAGTCGAAGATCTACGAGAAGATCCGCAACAGACTTCAGGAGCGCCAGATAAACAGCATCCCCATCGTTTTCCTCTCCGTGGCGAAGAATGGACTGACGAGAATCCCTTTCGACTCCTTGCAACTGGTCAAAGGGAGTCTCGAGTACCTCTCGCTGACCGGAAACACCCTGAAGAGTCTCGAGACTGCGCTAAACTTGCGTGAGTTTGCCTTTATCATAGAGTTTAGTAATCCTAGTGGCGAAGATAACACTGAAAATGTGCGTAGTTGTGGTCAATTCCACCCATCCGACCGTCTTCCCGAGGCTGGAGAAACTCAAGGAACTGGACGTGCGCGGATGCGCCATCGAGACGATCGTCAGCGGCGCCTTCGAGGGACTGATGAAGCTGGAGAAGCTGTATCTCTCCCACAATCGCATCACTGAGCTCACGGCGGACACTTTCGCCCATCTGCCGGTTCTCATGCACCTGGACGTGTCCTTCAACACTCCCGAGCTCTGGCAGACGCCCGATCACATGACGGCGGCCCTAGAGAAGGCCATCGGCGGTGTGCGCCTGGCGCTGGACACCTTTGCTGGTTTGGAGCAGCTCAACTTCCTGGATTTCTCACACACGCGCGTGGAAGCGGCGAGCACGCACGCCTTCAGCCAGCTGCCCAGGCACGTGCAGCAGCTCAGCCTGTGTCACACGGGCGTGCAGATCATCGGCTACGGCATGTTCAACGGCATCAATCTACAGGTGCTGGACATCTCCGGCAATCCTGCGCTCACGCACAACATGCGCGCCAACACGTTCGAAGGTCTGGAGGACAAGCTGGAGATCCTCTCCTTCCAGGAGTCCAACGTCAAGCATCTGTCGTGGCTGCAGCACTTGCGCAAGCTACGCATGCTGATGCTGCGCGGCAACAACATCAACCAGCTCAGCAACACGACGTTCCTCAACACGCCGCAACTGGAGATCCTGGACTTGAGCAGCAATCACATCGGCAACTGGTATCAGAAGGTCTTCGAGCACAACCGACTGCTGCGAATACTTAATCTGCGGGAGAACAACATCAATATGATGACGTCGCAGATGCTGGACGACTTCGAGCGACTGGAGTTCCTGGGCATCGGCAAGAACGACTTCATCTGCAGCTGCATCCTCAGGGAGTTCATCGATATGGCGGCCAACAACAACCGCCCCATCAACTGCACGTTCTACGTGAATCCCATGCCAGACATCAACGACTTTCTCATCCAGGAGGTCATCCAGCATTACCATGACAACATCGACGAGAAGAGGACCAGGAGAGCAGTGAACGCCAGGAGTCAGGACAAGGGAAGCGGTGAGTGGGAAATGATCTGAGTTTTGTTGGCTTCGTCACTTAATAAGCGGACTCTCTTTCCAGCCATTCACGAGGCCACGCTGTCCATCTACGATCTGCCCTCGCGCATGTACTACCAGTACGTGAAGTCCATCAACAGTAGCTACGCGAACATGATCCTGGCCAAGAGGAAGTACGATCTGTTGTACATTTCCCAGGCGGAGTTCGAGCGCCTGGGCGCGGAGACGCAAGAAAACGGCTTCCGGGCGGTGGAGCTGAAGGATGACGAGAACTGCACGAGTCAGAAGCCGCCGTCCGTCTATCGCCGCTGTCCGCAACGCTTCCAGCCGCGCACCACCACGGAGATCATCTTTTCCTTCCAGTTGCTGGACTTCCAGGAGAACGACTATCGCTGTATCAACAGCAGCACGAATCGCGAGCACTTCTTCTCGGAGATCGAGAGCTGCTTGTCGGACAGATCCAACTGGCCGAGCCTAGTGGACAGCCTGCGGCAGGCCAATAATTCCCTGGTCACAATCCTGATCGTGGCCTTCGTGCTGCTGACGGTGTTTTGCTTCGGTTATTACAAATGGTGGTACATTCGCTACTTCCTCATCATCATCAAGAATGCCACGATCCTCAGCTTCCTAGACAAAGAGAAGGAGAAGGTGCGCCAAGGCGCGGCTGAGGACGCCTTCACCTATGACGTCTTTGTCAGCTTCTGCGACGAGAATCGCGCGTGGGTCCTCGAGGAGTTGCTGCCCAATATCGAGTCCAGGCGCGAGATCAGCGTCTGCATGCACGAGCGCGACTTCCAGGTGGGCGTGAGTATTCTCGAGAACATCATCTCCTGCATGGATCGCTCGCGCTGCCTCCTGCTCGTCATCAGCCAGAGCTTCCTGCTCAGTCAGTGGTGCCAATTCGAGATGCACCTCGCGCAGCACAGGTGAGAAGCCCCCAAAAGCCACGCTGAATCACGTAATCTGACTCTCCTGAATCTTCCCCAGACTCCTGGAGACGTGTCGAGAGCAACTGGTGCTCATCCTGCTGGAGGACGTGCCCAAGCGGAAGCGCCCCAAGACGCTACAGTTCCTCATGCGTACCAAAACCTACATTCGTTGGCCGGTGCCCAGCAAGCGACGCCGGAAACGCCCGGAGGCCGACGAGAGCGCGCCCGACAAATCGCTGCAGGAGGAGCGCAAGCTCTTCTGGAAGCGCCTGAGGCGCGCTCTCATCACGCACGAGTGGGAGGGCGACTCTTCCACCGTCTAGAGCCGCAGATAGAGAGTTGTCATGTGTACCTGGCTAGATAAGCGCTACTTTTAATTAAATAATCCGTTGAATTTTCATAAATGTGTGGACTCGAGGATGCACTGAGTTTTGACAAACGAAAGGAAATCACAAGAATCACGTGGAAAGAAGCCGACAGAAATTAATAGGATGCGCTCTCACTTCTCCTTGTTCAGCTGGTTTATGAACACCTCCAGCTTCTCCTGGATCTTTCGCACGCGCACTACAAGAATAATCCACCATTAGAGAACTTCCTCCCTTTGAGAATCCCCACATCAACATTTCTACTCACGGAGTTCCTCGGCCAGCGAGACGCGTTTCCCCGTCAACAGCTGCTGCTTCTTGTCCTCATCCTCGCTGTACTCATCCAGAACCGCCTTCATTTCCTTGTCCAGGCGCCGCGCCTCCCGATTGATCACCTGCTGCCTGAGAGCGTTCGTGGTCACTTTCATCACCTGCTGGATGCGCCAGAACAGGATGATGTCGTTCACGTTGAGCGCGCAGTCGCCGCGGTCGCGCGCCTGCGTCACGTATAGGTAGTAGGCCTTGCGGCCGTCGTAGGCGCGCAACAGCGCCTGCTGTAGGAAGTGGCGCCGGTAGACAGGATACCACGTCTCGCGGATGTACTCCGTGTCCACCTCCAGGCCGCCGCGCTGCAGGTTCTTCCGCACCGTCGTCAGCTCGTCATAGCTCAGCGTCGGCGGGTGTTTCTACAGATAACAGATCAGATAACAGCTCTCAAATCCAATTCCCCAGCAAGACTACACTTGCCGCCGCAATAATAGGGCCCACTCTTCAATTATACGCACATAAAAAGAACCCTTCGTGTTTTCGCATTGCCAAATGCATCATGATAAGATAAAAACGATCCAAGTTTATTAGAAAAGCAAGGAAATAAATATTTTTTTTTTACGATTTTACAACTCTTTACCTAGATTTCGCTTCCGAAATCAATCCTTTTCACTTTAAAATGATAAATTCTGTCGAAACATTTCCAGTTGTATCATAAATATTTTAGGAAAACCTATTTCTCTTCTCGTTCCTTTATAAAGTTCTCTCCGAGTTGTTACGATTTTGACATCTTTTCCATTAGATTTAGTTAGAATTTCGCAGCAGATCTTCAAACTGAAGCAGGATTGTCAGGTGTATAATAACGCCATTTAAAATCTGGAAACGCAATATAAAAGGCGATTTTTCCTTCAATCAGCTATCAAATAACTAACACAACTCACAGTTAGAAAGATTGAGTAATTCATAGGCTGATGACGAGCCGTTAGGGTTACAGGCACATGAAATCGCCTGAGAAGAATTTGAGTAGCACACTTAGATTCTACTGTTGCCAAATTCTTCACCAAAAGATTATTCTTCTCCAATGCTCTCTCGAAAATCTCTCCGCAATGACCAATGTTGAGAATCATTGCAACGCTCGGAAGGGCAATCAATACCAACAAAGTAAACCAACATATTTTCGCCATATTCCCATTCATAAACAAATTAAACATTAAGACGCCGTGAATGTAGAAAGTCAAAAATATTGCCTCCATATTTCTCGAAAGAAAGATCAAATTGCCAAAAGTGTAATTAATAAGCTTCACAATGTCCGAAACAAGAAACGAGAATTTTAAGATATTTTTGTCATTTGATCCTTCAAAGTAATGTGAATTTAATGAAATCTTATTGAATTGTGAAGAAAATAACCTAATAAAATTCGTAATATAGAGAGTTGGCAGTTTTATGAGGTACAAAAAGGAAAAATAAGTAAGCAGTTCACGACATCGATCAATATTCGGTGGCATCTTCAACAAATTAAAGAGAATAAAACTCCAAAAAGCAATAAGGAAAACGTAGTAAATTGTCAAGATATAAAATTGACAATTCACAGACAATTTCATGTTCTCATATTTTAACTTCTGCTTGGAATTTTCCATCATAAGCTTCTCAAAACGATTAATTAAGTACAACAATTCTGCGTGAGATTTTTTACTGACAAAAAGGAGTATTAAGATTATCAATAGCCAAGTGAAGAGGACAAATTTTTCACAAAAAAATAAATTCATGATAAAATCTGAAGGTTTGAAATCGAACAACTGCCTGAATTTCTCGTGAATCTCTATGTATTTGACCATACCATAAACACACGTCGCAATATAAAGGACTATCAGACATAATCTCAAGAAATACCAAAGTTTCTCTTTTCTACTACAACTTTTGAGGTATAGAAAAAATATTAATTGATGGATTCTAAACAATTTGCCAAGACTTCTTGAAAACTCCATATTTTTCCACTGACTGTGAATGATAGACTGAAGTTTGTAAGAAAATCTCCTGCGGTCTTATTACACCGCTTAATGAATTGTTGTGTAATAATTAGATGTTTTCCATCCTTTCAAATCATTTTCCAAGTAAGCAATCAACATACATTTGTCTAATCAACAAATATCGATCTTTTCTATTATCGATTTCTTCATTGACCTTATTTTCCTTGTCGTCACTGTATTTTCCAAAACTGTCGAACTTCAACCCACTAAAATTATGATTTGGCGATGGCAAAAAGAGTGGAAAACTCACCGAGTCACTGACGAGGATTTTGTCCAGCTCTCCCTTCACATTCCTCCGCTTCTGCTGCTCATCCGTGGCATATTTCCAGTGCGCCCAGCGCTGCCACGCCGACGGCCCAAACATTTCCGCCATCGTGTTCTCCGTGAGCTGCAGCTTCTCCTTCACGGATGCCTCGAAGAAGCGCACTGCTTGATCCCACTCGCCCTTGTCCGACACCACGCGATCCTCCAGTGTGTTCAGCTGGATCACGCGCAGCATGTCCGTCGCCTTGTCCTCCCACGTGTACCTGCGGATGGCCTCGTCCACCACGGCGGCCTTCAGGTTATCGAAGATGTCATCGTGATCCGGAGACTTCTTCGCCTGCTCTAGCAACTCCAAAAACTCCTTCTGCAGCGCCTCGTAGCCAGACTCCACGGCGCGCGCCGGCAGCGCCTGATCCGCCCACTGGCGCAGTTTGATGTCCACCATGGTGTTGAAGGAGTTGGGTGAGCCCGATTGTGCCGCCGGCAGATAGATGTTCTCGAACACATAGTTGGACAGCTTGTCCCAAAGCTGACTCTGGATCACCTCTTCCCACTTCTTCGACGAGATCTGCGACAGATTCACCACCTCGTCCAGCACCTCGCCCTTCGCCTTCTCGAACAACTCATCCCGGCCGGACTCTCGCAGGCGTGGGAAGTTGTTCTTCCACTCCGTCTCCAGATTGAAGCGCGTGACCTTAAATGCATCCGCCTGCTGCTCTATCGTCTCCCTCACCATGCGCCAAAACCGATCCGCCACGGCCAGACTCAGATTCCGCGTGCTCACCTGATGTGGCATCACAGTGCCGCTGCGATGGAAGAGCTTCGACGTCTTGAAGAAGCGCTCCTCGTAATCCCTAATCGTCTCTATCGAGTCATCCTTCCGTCCACGCCCAGTCACCACGGCAAAGTAGCCCAGGGCCTTCATGGGGAACAGCTTTCCGGCCAGAATGCGCCGGATTCTGTCCGGCTCTGCCAACTCCTCCGCCAAATCCACCTTTGTCAGCACAAAGATCGTCCTCTTCCCATGCGGATCACACTGCGTGACCAGATCCGTGACATTGCTGCGCTCAGCGTCCACTGAGCCATCCTGAATGCACAGAATGATGGCATTTGGGTTGCTCATGTAGTGTCTGGTCATCTGGTGGATGGAATCCTTCGTGTCGGCCGCCATGTCCACCGTCACTGTCGAGATGATGCCCGGCAAATCGATCAGCACCATTCGCTGCAGCCCAGGCCCCTTGACAGTCATCGAGATCGTCTCCGTACTCACAGTTCTGCCGCCGCGCACCGAATGGCGCATCCGCAGCTCCACTTCGCGCCTCAATTCCGCCAATTCCGACTCCTTCGTCAGATCATATTCCCGCTCGGAGTCATTGAACTTGGCCAAGTGATAGGGCCCCTCCGACAGTGTCACCTTCACCGGCGCCCTGGTCATCATCTCACCACTGCCGCGCGGGAAGATCCTCGCCTGCGCAATGGACTCCAGCACAGACGTCTTGCCGCTGCTCTGATCGCCCACCACCACCACTCTGGGCAGGTGATCGGCCATGGTGTAGTTGGTGTCATAGCCAGAGAGCTCATCCAGCACTTCTGAGTACATGTCAATCAGGCTCTTCTTGATCTTCTTTCCGCCCAGCTTCCTGTTCGTCTTCAAGATCAAGTACTGCTGCCGCAGATTCTTATTATCCCGCTCCAGCTTCTCCAGCTCCTTCTGGTACTTCAGCTGTACCGCCATCATCTCCGCCTGCAACTCCTCGATCTGCTGCTGCATCGACTGGTGCTTCCGATGCGCCTCTTCGGCTGCCGACACTCCCTTCGCCTCCACCAAGTGCATCGCCTTCAGCTCATCCTTGGTCACTGTGTCGCGCGCGCGCAAGAGAGAGAGAAATCACGTGAGAAGAGAGCAAACATTAGCCACCTCAGGGCTTCAAGAATGATGATTACCTCCATACATATCGGAAATAAGGTCAGAGAGTGTCTGGAATGGACCTAGAACAAGAGAGAACGTCCAATCATCATTCTTGCAGCGCTCAGAGATGCAGCGCGACGCCTCCTCACCTTCAATCGCCGGATTCTCCGTCGTCTCCGCCGCCTCAATGGCATTATCCAGCCGGTTGTCGAACCAGGCTCGCCACTCGGCCAGCTTCTCCTCGCTGATCTTCTTCAGGCGCGGATCGATCTCAATAGAATCCCTCACAGCCTCGCCCACGGACATCAGGCTCTTGGAGAACTTGTGCCACTGCTCACTGTCCGGCAGCACGTCGTCTAGCCACTTCATGTCCGGCAAGCCGTCGCGCCACTCCTCGTACTTCTGCACATTGACGGGAGAAAGTCTCTGTTAGACACGCTCCACTGACTCTCGCGCATTCCCAACCTTGTTCAGGGTCATTCCACCACCGATGGCCCCGCCCAGGACGAGATAGCGTAGCTTCAGCGCCCCTCGGAGCACCCGAGCGACGATCATGGCGTACGTTCGCCGCGGAGTCACCAGAAGAGGCGTCAACGGCAGGCGCTGCTGCAGCAGGAGCTTCCGGTGCGGATGTCGCGTCCCATGGCCTCCGTTGAGGGTGGAGAAGTTCACCCGGGAGAGATTCAGCACCAGAGGCCTCACGGCTCTCGAGCTTTTCACACTGAACCTGCAATAATCCCGAGTGTTATGTAAAGATTCACACTAGGAAGTTTCTCAATTCTCCCTTCCACAAAACTATAGAAAATTCAATCTGAACCACTCCAGAGAATTAGATTTCTCAATTTATAGTGAAAAATGCAGAAGAATCAGGAAAATCTGTGTGAAAACAAGATTTTTCCCACCAGATAGAGGTTAGATTGAATGCGTGAATAAAAACAGGAATTTACCCAAATCTTCCCCGGAGAATTTGTGCCATTTTGCCACTAATCGCTGAATAAACCTTCAAAGAGCCTCACGAGTGCCTAGAAAGTCCCTTTACAGCATTATTTCACACTTTTCTGGGGGATTTTCCAATTTCTCCACTCCACTGAGAAAACACTTTGACAACCCATCGATTCGGCGACTGCGCACAGATTCGAAAATGCCGCCAAATGTACATCGCAGAGATTTCCGCTTTTTCCTCTTGAATAAGGTGTGGTATATAAAGAGATTTTTCACCAAAAATGTAACACCTGTAGTAATAAGTGTGATGAATGTAGAAAAGTGATGAAATCAATGAAAAAATGCAAAAAATCACAATTTTTGTGTTATCCTAAGTAATATCGAAAGAGTATTTTCTATTTTCCCTACCCTTCTCAATGTGTTTACACCACAGGAGCATATATTCATCCAAATTGATTGCCATCGGTCATTTTTTCAGCTTTTCCGGCTTCTAAAATTCTCTTTTTCTCAAATTTCTATTCATTATCCAAACCACTTCGACATTCTTATCCAAAACCACCCATCCCTCTTGCGGCAAATCGCCGCAATCAGCCGGATGTGGATATTTTTTCACGGGAGCCATCTTGGTTTTTTTTACATAAGACCTTCTGGTTTCGACAACCATTTTAGTCACACGTGAGTAGCTAGTTTCTACCTGAAAATCGCCTTTTACGCCGGTGCTAATCGTTCTGCAAACAGTCCGTGTCACCAATACGCCGCCCCGCGTACCATTGCATCACGTTTAGGTACTGTAGAGCGCGTGTGGTGTGTTCCCGGCCGGGAAAAGTGGCGTGCAAGAGACGGGCCGGCCAGGTGGACCGCGGGGGCCCACCCGGATCGATGGCCAGGCGCTTTGTGGTGCATTCAGTTGCCCGCGGGGCGCTTTCTGTGCTTAAACACCCTCCCTGAGGCGTCCGGATGGGGAAAAGTGGGGCATTTGAGGGGATCTTGACAAGAAAGTTTCACGTCACGCGTGTTTGTTGGCACCAAAAGCCGCGTGTTCGTAAAATTTGCCAGCAATACTCGCAGTTGGAGGGGCTTTTGGTGGGCCTCCTGAACCTCTAGGGCTTCCGTTTGCGCTCTGCGGAGGTGTTCTTGCGGAAATATCCGCCCATTTTTCGCGATTTCGCACCCGGTCAGCGGCTTTAACGGGAATCTTGACACGTAGGCGAAACATCTGTCGCTCAATATTCGCCCTTATCGCGATCTGATCACTTCCGGCAAACGATTAGCACCACGCACACACCCCATAGTGCCACTCAAGCCCCTCTGGGCGCCCCATCAGGGCGTCCGGTGTACTGAGATTGGCACACACGATGTTGCAAAATATCCAAGATGGACGTTAACGAGCGGATTTGTCTGTTCGCAGCTCCTCGCCTTGTCGAGTGCCCCAACTCATCTTCGTGACACGCGTTAACATCTGCTGGCCAGGATGACCGACATGGATGATACACACTTCGAGACCGGAGACTCCGGTGCCTCGGCCACTTATCCGATGCAGTGCTCGGCACTCCGCAAGAACGGATTCGTGATGCTCAAGTCGCGCCCGTGCAAGATCGTCGAGATGTCCACATCGAAGACGGGCAAACACGGACACGCCAAAGTCCACTTGGTCGGCATTGACATTTTCTCAGGAAAAAAGTGAGTCCAATTCGCGCCTTATCGCGATTGATTGGCTTATCGAAGGGGGAACTTTTTGCCACCCAAATTGCAAATGATTTGCGTGGAAGTGACACGAAAGTTGTGCAAATTGCTGAAGCTTTCTCAAAATTCTACTTAAGTTTGAGTCACAATGCCTTAAAAGCTTCCATTGATCAGCACTTTGAAGGCTTGACAATGGATTTGCTTGTTTGCTGTCTTTTCCACTGTAACTGGTAATGAAATAATTGCATATTTCATAGCCAACTAGAAAAGTTTTGTCTCTTCTTATTCCTATTGTGATGACAAATGCAGAAAATGAGCTTAAATGAGGCTTAAATTTTGAACAAATGACAGGAATTACGCATGGATTTACATAATATTCTTTGAAAATATTGAATTCTGGAGTTAATATAGTTATTATTTCAAGCGAAATTCATCCCTTCATTGTTTTATTCGCTTTGCTTTGAGTTGAATGTATGATTTTGATTGCAAAATATGTGAATTTGTAGAAATTGCGGATATTTTATGAATAAGACAAAACTGTCCGATAAAATGCATGTCTTTATGTCTGCTTTATCCTTGTATAATAAAGGACATGAGCCAAAGAATTAAATTTTCATGGACATATCTTAAGATTCTGCTCATTTTTTCCGCCAAAAACTAGAAAGAAAAGCATTCAATTCTTAACATCTTTACTCCAAAACGTTCAGTACATTTCCAGTCATTTTCTCTGGCACAAACAGTAGTAAAAAATGTAGATATCTTAAAGCGGAATTTACAAATTTTCACACTTTTTCCCTAGGAAACAATTTGAAAAAAAGGTTGTTTTAGTCTGAAAATGAAATTCACATGGGAAATGTCTGTTAGTGTGTCAAGTTGTTGTCTGCTGACTTGTCGCTTGTGTCTTGAGAAGATCAGTGGGAATGTCTTAGGACGCGCTTGGAGAAGTTTTCAGAGAGCGAATAACTGACGCTATTTCGCATCTTCTTCCACAGATACGAGGACATTTGTCCCTCCACTCACAATATGGATGTGCCACATGTTAAGCGCGAGGATTATCAATTGACTGATATCAGTGATGACGGGTATTTGACGCTGTTGCGCGAAAACGGAGACTTGCGCGAGGATCTCAAGCTTCCGGACAGCGAACTTGGTGCTCAGTTGCGTTCTGAATTCGACAGTGGCAAGGAGCTTTTGGTGAGTTTATGAGAGTCTGGTTGGCTGGTGTTTCTTTTTTGTGTCGTGATTTGTAATTGCCTGAATCGTTTGCAGTGCACCGTGTTGCATTCGTGCGGCGAGGAGTGCGTGATTGCCATCAAAACAAACACTGCCCTCGAGAAATAAAAGCGCAAGCGGTGAGAAAGGCGTGGTGTGTGAAGTCAAAGGCAGAGGAGAAGAAAATCAACACGCAGAAAAAGAGTTAAACAAAAAGCAGACACACAGAGACAGGAAAAAGGGAGGAAATCATATTCCAAAACACTTTGAGAAAAAGATTGTAAACGAAGTCACATGCATTTTCTTTCCTTCTTGCAAGATAAAAAAAAACCTTAACAAAGACGCTTTTCTTCAGCGCAATTTCAAGTAATGAAAGCTTGATTTTTTCCCCTCAAGTGAGACAGTTAAAGAAAAAAAAGGCATTTTCCCCTTTGCAATGGCATGAAGATTCTCAGAAAAAATGAAAATTGAATATCGATTAACACAGAAGAGAACAAACACATACTTTTTAAAATGATTACTGAGAAATGAAGAGAGTGAAAAGAGAAGCATTTTTATGAGAGAGAGAAAGAGAGAGAGAGAGAGTAAAAATGATAAATATTTTTCGTATGTGGAAAAAATCAAATTGAAGAAAAGTGCGGAAAGAGTGACAAGATATCGACAAAAAAAATATATAAGGAAAATGATGGAAAAAATCCACGAAATGTAGAAGGAATTTATTGAAGAAAATTAATAACAATTTTAAATCACATTTAAGTTTATCTCCTGTTTTTTATATAAATAAATAAATAAATAATGATTAATATGATGATACAAATGAAAACTTATTAAAGAAGAGATGAATGAGAGAACATAGTAACTGTAAAATGTAGCAAAACTGATAAAAAAGCGAATCAAGAAGCAATCCAAATAAAAAGGTAACAAACGATAAAATTATATAAAAATAGTATTTAAAAACAAAAGTGAAAATTCTAATGACAAAGAAAGCATTTCTTGAGAATGTGTGGAGAAAAGGCATGATTTTTGTTCCCCTTTAAAAGCAAAACAAACAATTCACTGTTTCTTTGAGCCCCAAGACAAAGTCCAACGCGAAGTGAGGCGCATTTCAATAAAAAAAACATTGGAATTATACCAAGAAACAAAAACAAAACACTTTTTTTTACTGAAGTGCGGGCGGGAAAGTTGTGAAAATCGTGGTTTTTTTGGGGCGTTGAAAAGTGAGGGTAAGCGAAGAGAGAGAGAGAGATTTTGGGGCTTTTTCCACCCTTTGAAGCACGTTTTTTTGCAAATTATTAAAATATTATGAAAAAAACAAGTAATGAGAAGCGAGTGAAAGGCTCTGGAAGAGGGAATAGATAGGAATTATAATTTTTTTATTAATTAGACTAATAAAAAGGAGATGTGGAATATCTTTTTTTGTCAATCTGAACAGCCAAGCAATAGCCAGAATGCGATGATCAATGAAATAAGTACTAAGGAAAATATTGAAAAAAATAACACTATCAACCATGAGATTTCAGCTGAAGGCAAAATAATTATTATACAACACACAAGCTTTTGTGAAAAGAATGAGATATTTAAAATTGAGAAATATAAAGAGAAAATATTGAAAATAATTGATTTTATAGGGATTTTATCACAGCTAAAGCGCTCTATTTTTGGTTTTCTTCCAACTTTTCCTTTCCTGTTCTTTTTTTTTATTTTATTGATTTTTACTTGGTGGTAAAACAAAAAAGAGTAGAGAAAAAATATTGAAACCTTACAGAAATATAATGTGAATGAAATACGACGAAGAGAAAACAATTTGTTGGTTCCCAAAATCTTTTTGATACAATAATAATAATATACCAGCATTTATAATAATTTATCATTGGTTTTTGATTTATTTATAAATCCCCCTTGATTTTCGGCGGTTTAACTTTTGAGTGCGATTCGTGCAGCGCCAATCTCCGCTGCGTGGCGCCACTGCATGGCGAGAAGAGTGCTGCTGTCAGAAAGATTGTGTATTGTTTTCCTGGGAGGAAAATTGCATTTCCAGAGGGAAATCCACTCTCTGTCCGCTCATGTCCAATCACTATGAGGTTCCCAAGTGGTGAGGCGCACGCAGGAGTGGAGAGACACATTGCCGGACGGCGTTTAATGGGTGTTTTGCTGTGTGTTTCAGGGCAGGAAAGCCACCCACGGGCTTTCATTTGGACGTCCTGAAGGAGGACAAGCTCATCCAGAAGCTGATGATAGATGAGAAAAAGTGCTACCTGTTTGGGAGGAATTCCCAGCTGAATGACTTTTGCATCGACCACCAGTCGTGCTCGCGTGTCCACGCAGCTTATGTGTATCACAAGCACCTGCACATCTCCTATTTGGTGGATCTGGGCAGCACGCACGGCACCTTCATCGGCAATGTGCGGCTGGAGGCGCACAAGCCCACGCAGCTGCACATGAACTCGCAATTCCACTTTGGTGCTTCCACGAGATCCTACATTCTGCGCGAGCGCCCCACGACGGGCGTCCGGCCGAACATCATGGAGGACCTGCCGCTCAGCGATGCCCCGGAGGGCGCCCTCCTCGGCCTGCCAGAGAGCCAGAGCGAGCTGGACAACTTGACTGAGTACAATACGGCCACCAATCGGCGAATCTCAATGCTGGGCATCGCCGATGACTCGTACAAGAGCAACCTGGACAAGGACAAGTCCAACCGGAAGAGGATGCGCAAATGTGTGACGTTCAACGATGACGAGATTGTTATCAATCCCGAGGACATCGATCCTACGATCGGGCGCTTCAGGAACCTCATCCACACGACAGTTGTGCCCACGAAGAGGGCCAAGATGGACATCGGCATCCCCACGACGTCCAGCAGCAGCGCCGTGGACGCCAAGCACCTGCATCCCACCGCCCTGGTGCCTCATCTCTACCACGGCCTGCCGCCATCGGCCGAGGAGGGCAAATTCGACGCGGACGACGAAGCGACGCCGCTGAGCCTGGGTTCGAAGCTGGGCCTGCTACTGCCCAATCCGGCGCCCGACGTCCTGCCCACGGGAGTGGCGGAGGCGCCAGAGGCTATGGCGCCGCCACAGACCACCCAGGCGCGCCTCGAGGAGCCCGAGATGCACGGCGATGAGCCACGAAAGAAGAAGTACGCCAAGGAAGCGTGGCCAGGACGAAAACCACTGATGAGTGGACTCTAAGCATGAGATTTGTGTAAGCTGACATTGTGAGATTCGCGAGAATACAAGATTTAACCCTCCTGAATTGGATCCTTTATTTTCTTCTTGCATCTCTTCACGTGCTTCCTCAAGTACGACGTCAGCGTGAATCCCTCGCCGCACAAGTCACACTTGTGCCCCTTCACGGCGCCCACCTCGTGAATCTTCATGTGAATCCTGAAGCTGTTCCTGTGCGAGTACTTCTTGCCGCACACTGCACACTTGAGGAACACCTGGCGATGTCCGTTGAGATGCTCCTCGAAACGCGAGGCGTCCGGAAAGCTCTTTCCACACACTGAACAGGCGAATGGCATCGCGTGGAACTTCTCGTGAGTCCGCAGAGCGGCTGAGGTGGCGTAGGCTTTGCCGCAGAGACGACAGAGATGTGGACGTTCGTTGGTGTGGAAGCTCTTGACGTGGCCACGAAGATTTGAGCTGCTGGACAGGGATTTCTGGCAGATGTCGCACTGAAAGGTTTTGGATGCTTTCCGGGCGGATTTCTCTGTTTGATGACACTTCATGTGGACTCTGAGTCCGTCCAGACGCTTAAAAGTCGCCCCACAGTGTTGGCACATGAACTTCCTGGTGGACCCATGTACAGTCCTCATGTGGAAATTCAGGCGGTACTTGTGATGGAATTTCTTGGCACAGATTGAGCAGGATTTGTCATCTTCCTTCAATATTCTTAACTCCTGAGTCTTCTTAGAAATCTCCTCCAGACAGAGACTGAGAGCCTTCCTCAAGATTCTGTAGGGATACTCCACATCCTCCCTGATGTCGTCCACGGAATTGATGTCAGGAACTTCCTGACTCTCTGGAATACTGAAAAGACACGAGAATTCCTAGTATTTTGTAAAGTGCTGAAGACTTTGACTCTCACTCATTGTTCAGGAGGAACTGGAAGTGTTTCTGGCAGATCCTCTTGAAGGATTCACCCTTGGAGAAGATGCCTACACTGCAATTAGGCACCTGACACTCTATATTCATGATCCCACAAACCCACAAATAAAAACTGCCCGCAAAATCGACGTATTTGGAATATTGATATCAGTCGCATGGGGCAGCACTGCAGCAATTGCCGCTCATTTCAAATGCTACTGGCAAATCACCAACGTTTCCACCCTCGTGAAAGGAAGAAAATTATAAAATATATAGAATTTTCAACTTATGTATGTAAATGTTTTTGTTGTGGACTCATGAACATACCTTATCAAAATGTCTTTTTAACCATGTAAAATTATCTTCTTATCAATTGTCTTCGGAGCTCCTGTGATAGCACTCAATAAAGCTTTTTATACTCCAATTACCAAGACAGTGTGTAAAAAGAGATAACACAGAGGAAGATTGGACATCATTAGGTCATCTCGTATACGAAGTGTTTCTGAACACAATTTTCTTTATATGTATTTAAAAAAGAAGAAGCATTCATATTTCACTAATTGTTCCAAATCTCACAAATACGACAGAGCGAGAACTCTCGCCTATTGTCATTCCTTAATCCGCTAAAGAATTAGAGTTGTAATTCAGTCAATTGGTGTCTGTTGAAAGAGTCACACTGCAATTCAATCGCGAAAAGTTCGATAGTCAATTGCAAAAATGCGTGGAAAAGAGTACATCAGGGAGAATCTCCTGACGATTCTCATGGTCGTGGGCGTCGTGCTGGGCATCGTCATTGGTATCGTCCTGCACACTACGAGTTCCGGCGCGTGGTCGTCCAGGAACGTGATGTACATGCAGTATTTGGGGGATCTGTTCCTCCAAATGCTGCGCGGACTGGTGCTGCCGCTCATCATCTCGTCTCTCGTGGCGGCGGTCAGCAGCATGGACATGTCCATGTCCGGCCGAATAGGAGGCCTGGCGGTCGCCTACTACATGCTGACGACGATCCTGGCCATTATTCTAGGCATTATTCTGGCCATCACGATCAAACCAGGAGTGAATCACAGTGTCGAAGATGGCGGCGAAGAGATTGTGGGTCGAAACACAACGACGGCCGACACTCTCTTGGACTTAGTCCGGAATCTCTTCCCACCAAACTACATTCAGGTAACTTCCACATCTTGGCATTATTACGACTGTCTGATAAGATCGTAAGGATAAGAATGTCAGAGTATGAGTCAATAATTCTTATCGGGCTTTTACCTTAGCTTTTACAAATAAAAAATTATTGTGATAGAATGAATGACAAAATTGAGATATCAATATGCTAAGGAGATTTTTGTATTCTTCAGGCTTGTCTTCAGCAATATCAAACACATTTGATTCCACCGTCTGAAGACAACACTGAAGCATTGGCAGACATTAATCTGTGGAAATTGAAAGGAGTTTTTGTTGACAGCACAAATATTCTGGGGCTCGTCGTAGCATCCATTGTTTTCGGCATCGCTCTCAGTTCGCCAGTCGGAGTGCTCTTTCTGATCTGCGCCAAATTCATTGAAGCCGAGAACCTCACCGTTTTCACTAGTCTTGGCATCTTTTTCGTAACAGTACTTGGTGGTGTTCTATTTCACGGATTCGCTGTTCTTCCGCTGATTTACTACATTCTGACTAGGAAGAATCCTTACATCTTGATTCGGCACATGGGACAAGCTATGGCCACAGGTTTTGGTACATCCTCCAGCACAGTGACAATACCCGTGACAATGCGGTGCCTCGAAGAGAATCACGGAATCGATCCTCGCGTTACGCGATTTATGGTTCCGATTGGCGCTGCAATCAACATGGATGGAACTGCTCTTTATGAGGCTGTGGCCGTTATCTTTATTGCTCAAATGCGAAGTATACCTCTCTCTTTTGTTGATATTTTGATCATCAGTCTCGCAGCCACTGCGGCTAGTATCGGAACCGCCAGCATTCCTCAGGCAGGAATCGTGGCTTTGGTGATGGTCTTGGATGTTGTAGGATTACCAGCCGAGGACATTGGCCTCATTCTGACAGTGGACTGGCTGCTTGGTCGTTTCCGCACTGTGACAAACATCCTCGGAGATGTATTTGGAGTGGGCATTATTACCGAATTCAGTAAGAACTTTTTGAAAAAGCTCGACACTCAAGAAGCATGCGACAATACTGAGCATATCTCATCTTAACTACACATTTAAATCTGGAAAATTTTATGCTTTGACTGCTTTACCATTTTGTATTGTGTACTTTTACGAAATAAATCTCCTTCACTACATGATAATGATTAAATTCTTTTTAATCGTAAAAAAATTGTCACACAAATATTCATTCAAAAAGTTGCAAGATATTGTAAAGACTCGGTAAATACACCAAAGCGTCTTCGAAGCTCCTGTGATAGCGTTCATTGAAGCTTTGTACTCCAATTACCACAAGACAGTGTGTAAAATATGATAAGACTGGGGAAGAATTGGATATCATTAAGTCATATCTCGTGTACGAGGTGTTTCTGAACACACTTTTTAATTGCTTTATATTTATGATTGAAATTCACATATTATTGTCGCAAATTTCACAAATACGACAGAGCGAGAGGTCTCGCCTATTGTCATCTCTTTATTTGCCTATGATGGCATTGCTGTGTGCCACAATTCGTGTTTAATCACAATGTCGACCGCAGACAATTCTGAGGAACTAGAGTTGTAATTCAGTCAATTGGTGTCTGTTGAAAGAGTCACACTGCAATTCAACCGCGAAAAGTTCGATAGTCAATTGCAAAAATGCGTGGAAAAGAGTACATCAGGGAGAATCTCCTGACGATTCTCATGGTTGTGGGCGTCGTGCTGGGCATCGTCATTGGTATCGTCCTGCACACTACGAGTTCCGGCGCGTGGTCGTCCAGGAACGTGATGTACATGCAGTATTTGGGGGATCTGTTCCTCCAAATGCTGCGCGGACTGGTGCTGCCGCTCATCATCTCGTCTCTCGTGGCGGCGGTCAGCAGCATGGACATGTCCATGTCCGGCCGAATAGGAGGCCTGGCGGTCGCCTACTACATGCTGACGACGATCCTGGCCATTATTCTAGGCATTATTCTGGCCATCACGATCAAACCAGGAGTGAATCACAGTGTCGAAGATGGCGGCGAAGAGATTGTGGGTCGAAACACAACGACGGCCGACACTCTCTTGGACTTAGTCCGGAATCTTTTCCCGCCAAACTACATTCAGGTAATCTCTACATCTTGGCATTGTCGTTGATTTGAGTATCTGATGAGATCGTATTGATAAGAATGTTTAACAATGAATGAATAAGTACTTATCAATCTTATAAGATAAGCTCAAGTTTCCTCTTCCCGACTAGGCAGGCAAAAATCAGAAATATTACTCAGGAGATTTTTGTATTCTTCAGGCTTGTCTTCAGCAATATCAAACACATTTGATTCCACCGTCTGAGAACGACACTGAAGCATTAGCAGACATTAATCTGTGGAAATTGCAAGGAGTTTTCATAGACAGTACCAATATTTTGGGTCTCGTCGTAGCATCCATTGTTTTCGGCATCGCTCTCAGTTCCACGAAGAAGGAAACCGCCACGGTTTCAAACTTGTTCCGCGAACTTAACTTACTGATGATGAAGATCACGCGATGGGTAATTTGGCTGTCGCCAGTCGGAGTGCTCTTTCTGATCTGCGCCAAATTCATTGAATCTGACAACCTGGACGTCTTTATTCGCCTAGGTATTTATTTTGCAACAGTACTTGGCGGTATTCTATTTCACGGATTCGCTGTTCTTCCGCTGATTTACTACATTCTGACCAGGAAGAATCCTTACATCCTGATTCGACACATGGGACAGGCCATAGCCACGGCTTTTGGCACATCATCAAGTTCAGCTACGATTCCTGTAACGCTACAGTGTCTTGAAGAGAATCATGGAATCGATCCTCGCGTTACGCGATTTATGGTTCCGATTGGCGCTGCAATCAACATGGATGGAACTGCTCTTTATGAGGCTGTGGCCGTTATCTTTATTGCTCAATTGAGGAATGTACCTCTCTCTTTTGTTGATATTCTTGCAATCAGCCTCACCGCCACTGCGGCTAGTATCGGAGCCGCCAGCATTCCTCAGGCGGGTCTTGTGACTATGGTGATGGTCTTAGATGTTGTAGGATTACCCGCTGAAGATGTCAGCCTTATCCTGGCGGTCGATTGGCTACTCGATCGCTTCCGCACTGTGATAAATGTTCTTGGGGATTCATTTGGCGTTGGCATAGTTAGTAACTTCAGCAAGAATTTACTGAAGAAGATTGATGCTCAACAATTAAGTGACAATGTGGAATTTCACGAGAGACTCTGACAATCCCAATACCAAGCTTTAACAAAATGATAAAAGGATTAATTTTTGAGATATTAGACCCAATTGGATGTAGAAAAATATAAGATTGGCATAAATATGATTAAATACATACATCTAAACTTTGAGTTTGTTTAACTTTGTAAAATCGCAGATACAAAATCTTCTTGTGCATGTTTTGTACACTTTTGCAATTGGCAGTGACATAAGTTTTCACTATCTTTAAATCAAATGTGAAATAATGATAATTTTGTGATGGAATTCCAACCATGAATATTATTTTGGGTTTATCATATTTTTTGTTCCTGCTTATGCCGTTGTTGTTCTTAATGAGCGGTTTGTGGCGCCAAGAACTCTGAGTTGCTTCGAATCCCAGTTTTCAGAGGGCGGTTCGAGCAGTTCACATATTTTCCTTCATCAAAATCGAGTGAAAATGTCGAATTCCCACATTTTCATGAAGTCTGGCTTCCCCAGAGCGCCCCTGCAGAATGGCATGGGGCGCTACGTGTGCCAACTGCAGAGACTGACGCTGAAATACTGCAAAAGCTACGGGGCGAGCAAAGGAATGCGGTGAGTGGCCGAATTGGGGTTTGTCTCTGTGTTTACAACTGCATTTTTCCTGCATTCGTTCAGGGATTACCTGGAGAACAGCTTGCTGGACTATGCCAAGGCGAATCCGGGGGTCGCGGTGTACGTGAAGCCGCGCAGGCATCGGACGCCCGTGATTGTGGCGGAGTATTTGAATGGCGAGCGGCAGTGGCTGCCGTGCGCCAATCGTCCGCATGAGGAGATCATCAAGTGGATGGAGCTGCTGCGGCAGCAGAACAGCGACTCTTCGGCCGTGAGGTGGCGCAAACTCTGGCACACAGACGTGCCTTCGATCCAGGGCGTCTGGACGCCCTTCACGCACCGCAATCCGCAGCTCAATCTCACCGTGTTCCCGGACGAGGCGCTGCGGGAGCCCGTGGAGCGGCCAAAGTCCGCCACGGAAATAGTGCTGGAGATGCTCGAGCGACGGAAGCTGGAGTGAAAGTGGGGGGCATTGATAGTCGAGTGTAAAATAAAAAAGAAATATATTAACTCCTTAAAATATACAAGATTTTACACATTCTGAGGGTTCTCGAGGACACAATTATATGATTATCCTGTAGTTTATCTAGGGTCTCTCTCAACATCACTCTCACTTTCTTCCACCCCAAAAACTATAATTATATACCTGTAGAATGAGCCAATTTCCACTTTCCCACAGTCTTATTTTTCACATAATTTCTCACGCATTTTCCTTCACCCATTTCTTTTTGTTTGTCAAAAATGCCCCCGAAAATAACAGTGCAAAGATTGCCGACAATCAAACTCCTCCCAAGTTTCTATCTTGCATTTAACTTTTCACACAGTTTTTTTTCTCTTTATTTGCTACAAAAATAATTAATTATAGGATAAATTATCTGGGAAACAAATCATGGAGCGTGTGTGAGTATAAAAAAATTCTGCTCTTTCGACGGGCCTTTTTTTACCTCAATTGCAACACTTGGTTTTCTTCCGAGAAGAAAATCCACCTCAATTGGAATGCAAAATCTATGTTTTTTTTTTTAACCCTTCCTTGGACATTTTTCTTTTTCTCAATTTTTCTGCTATATTTCTGTTAAGTGATTTGTTGTGTGACGAGCAGCTGAAACCGCTATGACTAGCTTTAATATTGTGTATCCTTTCAACATTTCTCTCTCTCTCTCTCTCTCTGTACAATATTTCCTCACTAAACTAAGATTATATTGCAGGGAGACTTCCAGAAAAAAAGTTCTAAACAGAGTTTCAAATCAAAGGTAAATAATTTCCAGTACAAATGACTTTTCTCTTATAATTTATCATTTTTTTCTGCTTGTAGAAAAAGAATAATAATCACGTTTCTGGAACATTTTTTGATTAGAACACGGAATATAGTTAGAAATAGTCACAAAAAGACATTGACGATAAGATTCGAACCTGATCTATTCATGTTCAACCTCAATTACATTTTAACATGCAATTCTTACTCCTTTTTTGTACTCAATTTTGCAAAGATTTCCAGTTGTTCTGATCAAATCTCTAGAGTATTTAATTGGCAATGTTCATAAACCAGGTTTTTTCAAGCTCCTTGTCAACATTTTCTCACTTTATTTCACTATAATCTTATTAGTTTTTGTGCTAATATTTGAAAAACAAACATCAAATCATCATGATTTGAACTCTGTGCCAATTTATAATGTGAAAATTCTTGGTTTCTTTGAATAGAGAAAGAAATAGAATTTGACTAACAAAGTTTTTTTTTATCTTTACAGCTTTTGTTTCTTTTTAGTTAAAGAAGTCACCCTGGCAAAGAAAAAAAAACACGCACACACACTGTCTTAAACTTAATTATTTAGCCAGAAATGGAAGAATTTTTGTGTTTTATCCTTTGTTTTCTAGAACAATTTTAACCAGGCAAAAAACAAGACACTTTGTCGCGCAACTACCAAGTGAAGAAAGTAAACAGCTAAATCAGAGCTTACAAAAGACGAGAGAAAATAGGCTAATTATCACATTATGACTTGCTCTGGATCTCTTTCTCCTCTTCTCTTCATCAACCTTCGCCGCCTCATTCGCCTTTGAGTCTCTTGGTGAACTCCTCTTGCTGCTTCTGTCGCCACTCCTTCTTTGGCTTCATCCGCTTCAGCTGGCCATCCCACATGAGATCCACCAGACCACCCTGCTTCGCGATCACGCTCTTCACGCGGTTGGCGAAGTCAATCGCCGACTCGCCCTCCTGCCGGAACATGGGCGGCAGATACCATACGTCGCACACGATCGCCCACGAGGTCATCATCATGTACAGATACTGCATCATTGAGTAGCGCGAGCTGTTCCAGAACGCATCGCCGAAGCGCGCGTCGTACTTGATGGCCACCGGATAAATCACGCCGCCCACCTGAAAGAAACACAGAGAAACAGTCATAATCTGCGCAATGCGATGAGTCTGGAGGATGTTAACGAGCATTTTTCATGGGGTTCACAAGAAAATCAATAAAATAAAAAGATCTTACGTAATAAAAGTTGTAAAATCATAAGAAAATTCCGAGAAAAATCTACTACTGTAAAAAAAATAGATTAAAAACCCGTAAAAGAGCAAAAATGCATTTTAAAGTAATAAACTTGATACAAGCAATTAAATACTCGATATTATCCCAACAAAACACAAAAGCTCGATCTTTATGTATTCTCGAAGAACACAAAACTAAATTCTAGCCAATTCTAGCTATATTTTCAAGTAATTCAGTAAAAAAAAACATGATATTCATAGCTATTTTACTCGTTGAAGCTTTAATAGTGTTTTGGATTCTTTCTAATCAATTTTCATTGAATAAACTAATTTGCTTTTATTCTATTTAAGAATACGTAAAGCAGTAAAAAGTCACCTCAAAGCTGCCCTTCTTGAATTGCATCACAGACGTGTTGTTGATGCACGTGCCCTCGGGGAAGATGAGGATCGGCGGATTGCGTGGATTCGAGACGTGCTGTCGCAGGCGTTGCGCCACCGCCAGGCGATCCTTCGCCTCGGCGCGCTCAAACCAAATGTGCGGCGACGCTCTGGCCAAGGCGCGCTGCAGCACACCCAGAAAGCCGCCGTGTCGCTGCCCGATCTGCCCATCAGAGAGACTCAATTAGTCATAATGTACATTCGCAGGTTCAGCACGACACAAACAACCACCAAACATCCCGCAAAGTGCTTCCACCCAGTCAACACACAATTATAACAACAATTGAGCAAAACAAGCGACGTGTTGCATGCAAAAAGCGGAAAATAGAGACACAGAAATAGAACGGAAGCCCAGAAAGAGAAAATATATGTGTGAAGAACGCTGAGAACGTTTGAATGGAAAAAAGGGTGAAAATGAAAACCGGTGAATGACCAGAGAATGATAGGAAGTGTAAAATGTTGTGGAAAATAAAATGTACAAAAGAAATACCCTTGGCAAAAGGGCTTATTCTTTATCTCTCTCTCTGTTGCCATCCAATCAAAACCACTGTGCCATTCATCACAAACTAAATTCATCTGAAATTATATAAGAAGAAACGATAATGACTCTGTGTGTATTATTGCTGAAAATTTATAAGAAAAGGTAGACAATTAATTTATTAGTCTGTCTTTTCGCTTCATAGAGAGTTGTAGAAAGTAAGAGTTTCAAGAGAAATGCAATTAAAGGAAAAGTTATGAGTTATAGAGAAGAGCGGAGTAATTATGGATAAACCTTTCAGGCCTTTTCACAAGCAATTAATTGAATTAAAAGAACCCTAAAACTACATTTTCTGTTCATCCTAAATTTCTCTATAATTTCTTATCGATTTTATGCAGTAAAATTGTCTGCTAGTTTTCATTTTAGCACATCAAATCCGAATTTCCCAATTTATTCAATCTATTTCATCACTCAAAATCCCATTCAACCATAAATTCTCACTTCTACCTGCCGCAAAATGTATGAAAGTGTCACAAAAAAGCCCCGCTCTTCCCTATTTCCATATTAATTTAACTACCAAAATTGCCTTCCGATGCGAAATACCCTCAATTTGTACAACTTTTCTGTCTCTATCTTGTGTCACAAGATATTGCAGCACAATTGCGACTCATTAAGGCAAGATCAAGCAACAGCGAAGGTCAAGATTGTTGATCTTGATCGACTATTCCAATCGTGGAAGGTGATTTCGAGAGAAACACACAGAGAACTTCTCTCAAATCTGTTGGCAAAATTGCACACGAACGCGGGATTTCTCAATTCTAATACTTTGACCTATAAATTCTTCACTGTTGTATTACTATTATTATTATTATTGTGTCACTAAATTGACCTCCACCTTTTCCTCAACACTTTCGTTGTCTTTTCCGTTAAGTCAGAAAACATTCTTCAACACTATTGTATGAAACTTTACTACATGCCAATATTGATTTGTCTACAAATCCAAACTAAAGACACACCAAAAAAAGGGAGTAAAAATTTCACTACTTCTACTTCTATTTCTACTATTACATGAAAGAAAAAAGAACTCCAAAGAGGTAAAAGAATCTATGTACAGCCAGGAGAAGTGCGTCGCCTTCCGCGTGGACTCACCAGTGAGTAACAATTGTCGTGCATGAGAACGAGGGCATCGATTGGCGTTGTGTGATTAGCCACACAAATTCCATTCAGCGGTCGATTCTCCTCGTTGTGATACGTGATGACTGTGGACACCGAACTGGCCAATATCGAGAAGCAATGCCGCAATATTGGCGGCACCATCCATCGCTTGAAATCATTGTCTGGCAAGGATCCCACCAGAGCTGTGCAAATGACCAGCCACATCACCTGAGATTGTTCACTTGTTGAATCACATTTGACTCATCGACTTGCACTCAAAGTCCCTTTCTTTCGCGGAGAATTTGATGTGAAACCTCTTCTTGAGAATGGCAAAAATGAATTTTTATGCATGATTTGCAGTGCTCTCTTGCCACCTTCTTCCTCCTCCTTTTCTTCTCCTTCAATTCTGTGCACTCACAATTTGGCTCAATGAATGATCATCTCATGTTTTGGCGCGTGATTGTGTGTGTGTGTGTGTTTGTTGAACAAGCACAGGACATCACATTTTAGTATCATTCCTTCCCCTTGACTTCCCCCAATTTCCTGCCCTCCAAACAAATTGCTGATTTAGGAGAAATTATTCAGTGGTCGACAGTGAAATAAAGCTCAAAATGTTGCTGTTTTAGAAAGAATAAATTGATAACTTATAAAGGATTTCTGCGCAAAACTCTTTAAAGTTCATCAAATTGATGTTTAATAGTAGATTTGATTGGAAATTTACGTCAAAATTATGCAATAATCACGATTGATTGGCAATGCAAATGATAAATTGCATTAAAGTTCAAATCAAAGAACGGTATAACCTGAAATACGTTGAATATTAGCCAAGAAAAGGCTTATAAAATTACAATTCAACTTCAAGATCATAATAATCACTAATATGGATTAAACACTGGTGAATTGACACTTCATTCAATTCTTATTTATAGCTTCTCGGCAAATTCTGCACTGAAATATCTTTAATATCATTTAATTTTCTTATCAACATGAAATTTTGAAGCATTTTCACAGAATTCAAGTTGTTTATGGGTTCATTTCATCGCCAACCACTGTGAGAAAACACATAGATAAAAAGGAGTGCGTGTTGAAAAGATCGTCTCACCAGAGAATAAGTGCAATCGGTGGACAGGATTGATATATCAATTGGTGAAGTGTGATTTGCCACGCAGAATCCACAATTTCTCGGTCGGAACTCTGGATTGTGGAATGTTATGACGGCCGATATTGAATTGGATATCAATCTGAATGTTATCTTAAAGGCCTCATCATTGAGACGACGTCTCAGGCGCCTCATTGGAATGCATCCAATGATGGCGAACGACACTACGGCCCACGCAACCTGTCAAAATTCACATCAAATTCTTTCCACTTCTTCATCTTCGACTCCTCTTCCTTAAAGTCACTTCATCACACATGTGTTGCGGAAGGGATAAAAAAAAAACACATGGGCGGCCAAAGAGCGGCCCAAGTGAATACAATAACTCACCCCAAAGAAGCATATAAGGACTCTCAGTGGCATCAGGACAATGTATCTTATGAAAAATCCACACATCCAAATCACCGTCAATCGCCATGAGATGAACTCGTAGTGACGATTTGTCCGTGTGAGAAGATTCCAGTTCTTCAGCTCCTCCGCCTCGAATCGCGACGTGACATCGTCCTCAATTATGGCCTCCATTCCTGCCTTCACGTAATCGAGGCAATTTTCCAGATTGAACTCGAAGTTCTTCTCCTCCTGCTGGAAAATGAAGAAACACCAATTGAATCAAAGAATTCTCATTATTTCACTATCTTTTAGTGAAGTTCTCTTAACAACTGTTCGCATTAAAAAAAACCAATTAAGCCTATAAAAATGTTCTAACGTGTATTGAATTCATTACAAATCACTTGATTAATCACGTTAGTCATGTGAAAAACTGCATGATTTATCAGAACAAGAGAAGAACAAAGCGAATTTTGCAATAAACATATAAATAAAATTGTTTGATTCAATTTGAAACTGTTTACCGAAGTTTTGAGTTATGATAAATACATTATTTCAATTATTTCCCAAATTAACCGAATTAATAAAATTCATTATCAAGAATTGTATATCAATATTCTGTTTTGTCCCGCAATTCAAAACGTATTAAAAATTGATTAGATTATATAAAATTTGGGGTAATCCTCTTGGATTATTCATAACACAAATATTACTTGTCTAGTTGTTCAAAAATGAATCTGAATATTGATTTCGAACAAGATTCATTATTAAGTCCGCTAAGCCAGTATCTTTGGTGAACTCAGTAGAATTGATTACTTTGTTTTCAACTGATTGACAATAAATTCCATCTCACCTCAGCATTGAATTCGTCACTGCTGCTGGAGATCTTCCTCGGCGGCTCCTTCTTCGTCGATTGATACTCAGCGTCCGGCGCCAGGATGAGCGGATCGCGTGAGATCAAGTGATTTCCATTCGGCTGCGGCTTCCCCAGGAATCCATTCCCATTCACCATCACTTTCTGTCCAGGCTCAGCAGCCGCGATGCTCGTCTGCGACGTCAGTGACGCCTCGTCGTCCGTCTCCGCGCTGACATCATCGTAGCGCGACTTCTTGGCTGTCTCAATGTTAACACGGCCATACTGTTCGCGGTGTGGAAGGAAAAGAGAAAGAAAGAATTCATCGTGAAAATTGTATTGCTGCACACTGTGCAAATTACTTCATCGAACTTGAGAACAACTTGAGGTCATTCTCATTACATTTTCACAATTAAAAAAAATCATGCCTCCGAGCCACAAACACACACAGACAGAAACGCGTTTGATTGAGAAACTAACATTCTTCTTTATACCTTCGGCTCGTGGTTGATTGATTGGGGAATGTTGATAAAATACTTTTTTTTTTGAGAAAAACACCCTTGTTTTTCTTCACTTCTTCTCACACTTGTTGAGGAAGCAGAAAAGTCGCGCGTCGCCAGAGCCTCAATTTGATAAGGTTTTCGCAAAGGAAAGAAAGAAAAAAACACTGGCGATAAGAAGACTGTAAAAAATACCCAATATATCGAGAGCAATGAATAGAGTGAAAATTCATTAAAATATTCTCACTTTGCCTTCTGTATTTCATAGATATAATAAAATTTATCTATTTTCCCATAAATAATCTATCCATTATTTACTGATTGCAGAAAACCTGTTTGCGTACGCAAATTCACGTCCATTTGCACTTTAAGCATTACTGATAGTACGGACTCGTGTGCGAACTCCATGATTAATAAGAGAGGTCAAGGCCATATTAACCCCGCGAAGAGAGACACACTGCCAATTGATTGATACCACAATTGTCTTATGCTCTCCCCACTTTCATTATATCTCCTTATCATCGCCACAATTTCGCGTGCAAGAGGCGCATTATGTAAAGAGAAAGAGAGATGCGATGAAGCACCTCTTGCAGCAGTTTGTAATTATACTGTAAAGCATTCTCCACTTAATCCCTTGTCATTGTCCGCACAGAGCGCTCACTCTCTCCGGGGAAGTAAATCCCGCAATCGATGTGACTCGCTGCCGATAAGATATCACTGATATTTCGATTGGTTTATGGCTACGCTTGATCATAAAAAAGCCCACCATTTTTTGACGCTCCTCACTGTGCGGCTAAAGGTCAATCGAACTGTGGCGATAAGAGGGCAAAGAGACTCCTGTCGCCACTCAAATTTCTCTCCCGCACAATTTCCATGGGAAAACTCTGTGTTGCACTGTGTCAGTCAGATTGGCGAGGAAAAGGTTATCAAGCGTGACCGCGGATGAAATATACACACATTTTCCCTCCATCAAATCTCAACCCGCGATCGTCAGCATACGCTGGCGTGCGCCTTATGTAATTGATAAAGCAATAAATCACAGCAAGAAGAAAAATCTCAAGAACAGAAGCGCCCAAAATTTCATTGTCATCTCTCAAAGTCCAATATTGGCAAGAGGTGGAAAAATTGATATTTTTCAGGTGTTGGAATGGGTCAAGAAACTCAATGAATTCCGCGTAACAAAATGTGAAAGTTTTTCACCCAACATAAACAGGTATATTAGAGGTTTGATGCAATTCAACATTAGAGAGACACCTTTTCCCGTCTCAGCAGATGGTGCAGCAAGGCAAACACTTCCATCAACCTCTTGCAATCCAAGGGAGCATTGCCAAATGGCCCCGCAATTATTGGGAAACCGCTGAATTGTGATCAGGCAACGACTCATTAAATATGTATGTTGTGCGTGTGGCTTTACATATAATGCCAAGCACAGATTGCAGCTCAATCTGCTGGATAATCCATCAGAGATTTGACAATAGAATGTCTGTATTTAGTTATTTCCTCTCACTTTAATCACGCCTTCCTGGATGTTTTGAATAAGTTTTGAACTTGATTTCAATTGCCATCATCTGATCACATGTGGCTCAGAATTACTTCATTTTACATCAACAGACTTTGGCGTTGTAGTATTTAACACTAATGAAAAAAAAAAACATTTGTCTCCCGGAATACCTCAGGAATGTGTGAGGAAAAAGTTTAAACCTGAAATCCTAAATTGTCACAGCTGCGTTCCATTCAGGCCTTCTTCTAAACCACTATAAGCAAGTCATTCAGAGCACTCGGAGTTCATCTCCAGAGAGACTTAAACCTCGCGTGTGAAGCGAGTCTCTTTGCACTGTCCGAAGCGAAAGTGTCACACTGGAAATCCCTTTCCGCCCTCCGTGCCTTCCGCCCTGCCTGAGGCGCTCTGAATTCCCCAAAGTCCGGTGTGGTTATGCAAGAGTGGCGAGTCATGGGCTGAGCCACCCCGCGACTGTCGCGGGAGCGGAAAGGAGGAGCGCGCGCTGATTGATACTCCGCCGGACTTGACCGTGAAATTGCGTCGCGGCCAAATTGAGCGGAGAAAGACTCACTGCACCTCCGGCGCAATTCCATGCAATTAATCACTGGATCGCACGTTTCCGCACAGACACCTGGGGCGGCGCGCCCTGTCGCGGGGGCGCCCCACTCTGGGCAGCACGCACACTCACCTCGAAGATCTTGAGGAGGAAGTTCACGTACAGTCGCCGTATGCCGAAGGACTTGCCCAGCGATCCCACAATGATGATGCTCAGGACAAACACTTGAAAAAATGCCATCTCGGCACGAACTGAATGTGTAAAAGTTATTTTATGTTGCGTCGAGCCATGGAGAATGACAAAAACTCGCGCAGCAGCGCCCCAAGTGACTGGGCGAAGCAGTGAAAAATATCTCGTGAGCGCGCCCAGCGCCAAAGTGTCCGCGAGTGGTGGGAAAGACGAAGCTGACAGAGTGTGTGGCCGAAGGAGAATCAAAACATCCTCGAAAAATTGAGAAAATCGCCCAGAAATGGCTCTTCATCTCACCAGGTGAGACTGCGGTACTCTCATTGAAGCCTCCACGGACATTTACACACATTACCAGTGGGGGAATTGGGAGTTTTAGTGGGGAAACCTCGAATTGTGCGGGTGTTATGTAAGCAAAACAACCTCTCTTCCCAGGGCACTGTGTGGCCGCTCTCTGACCCTCCAGCTCACTCCCGGACGCCTGGGCAGCCCCATGATCGCCGCTCGGAGCATCGTGCTGAAGTCAGAGGCGCCCAAGGTAGAGACGATGGAGAATCACGATGAGAGGAACAGCAAATTGGGGCGTCCTCTGTCGCCCCACATCACCATCTACAAGTTCGAGCTGCCGGCCAATCTCTCCATCACGCACAGGATCACCGGCATGGCGTTGGCCACGTACATGGCGGCCTTCGGGATTGGCGCGCTCGTGTGCCCCCACGACTTCTCCTACTACGTCGACGTAGTAGAATCCTGGAAGCTGAGCGCTCCCACGCTGATCGCAGCCAAGTTCGTCCTGGCCTATCCTTTCACGTACCACCTGGCCAACGGGATGCGCCACTTGCTGTGGGACACTGGCAAGGGCCTGAAGATGAAGGAAGTCTACACCACGGGCTACACGATGCTGGCCGTCTCTGTGGCCCTCGCGGCCATCCTGGCGGCGATGTGAATGCAAATTGCGAATTCTGTTGTATAATTTATTCACTGGCGTGAGAAAACATAAATTTCCTATAGTACTTTAGTTCCTCAATGCTCTCCAGGATGTCGTCCAACGCTCGATGGGACAGCTTCTTCTTGGGCGCGTCCCAGAATATCTTCGGGTGCCAGCGACGGCACAGCTCCTTCACCGTCGACACATCCACAAGGCGGTAGTGCAGGTAGTCCGCCAGGCGTGGCATGTACTCCATGAGGAAGAGCTTGTCCATGTACACAGAGTTCCCAGCCATGGGGCATTGCTTCTCCTCCGTGTGCTGGTGCAGGAAGGTCAGAATCTTTGCCTCCACGTCCGCCTCAGACAGCTTTGACTGGCGGGACGCCTCCGTTAGGCCAGACTCTCCGTGCGTCCGCCGGCACCACTCACCCATGCCGCCCAAGACACTCTCCGACTGGTGGATGATGAAGTCTTCAGACGAAGATATCACGTTCAAATCCTTGTCCGTCACAATGCAGGCAATTTCGAGAATCCTGTCCGTCTTGTACTCCAGCCCAGTCATCTCCAAGTCCATCCAGATCAGGTGACCTGAACTCATTCTGGGAGCGCTGCTGAATCTCCTCAGCAGGGGCAGGAAGCGCGGGATTAGCTGCCCAAACACCATCAATCCCTATGGCGAAAATCCGTGGAATATCCAATGGATAACCATGGACGATTTCCATGCTATCCGCGTAACAGCATCCATGGAAAATTCCTCGGAACTCCGTGGATCAACAAGGAAAATCCTTGGATTCAGCATGGAAGATTCCATGCTGAATTCCATAGGAATTTAGCAAGGATGATTTTCCATGGATTATTTCCCACATTGCTTCCAAATTTTCCATGGTGACTTTTCCCATATATGGAAGATTTCCATTGCGATTCCATTGACCAATCCAAGGACGATTACAAGGAATACCATGGAGGAAATTCCAATGTGTGAAATTTCTCCCAGAAATTCCCGGCGCTCCGCCCCAAAATATCCAAAAAAAGACTCATTTATATTTGGATTTGTATTTATTAAATATAACCAATCAATCTTACAAATGTGATTCTGATTGTGATTACGCGTTGCCTTGGTGGCTGCTATGCCGCTTCCCAGGGACTGCTACTTTTCTAGACGACTGCTACCGCGGTCGCCGGAAGTCGAGATGCTCTTTGATGTCTTCTCGCACCGGTCCGGATATGTTTGAAAAAAGCTGGAAAATAAAATACACTAATTACTGATCGTATATTTGCATGGTATTCCCTCCATGGTATTCCTTGTAATCGTCCTTGGATTGGCCAATGGAATTGCAATGGAAATCTTCCATATATGGGAAAAGTCACCATGGAAAATTTGGAAGCAATGTGGGAAATAATCCATGGAAAATCATCCTTGCTAAATTCCTATGGAATTCAGCATGGAATCTTCCATGCTGAATTCCAAGGGTTTTCCTTGCTGATCCACGGAGTTCCGAGGGATTCACCATGGATGAAATTCCAGCATGGAAATCTTCCATGGTTATTTATAGGATGTTACATGGATTTTCGCCATAGGAATTTGAGAACATGAAGAACATTTTTTACCTTGTCATGAGTCCACTCTGTCGGATAAGTAGATCCTCCGGTAACCGCTTTTCCGCATCCTATTTTCCTGTAAAAAAGACATGTTCAGTATAGAAAACAGGATATATCTCTTATGTTTTGGTAATTCCATACTTACATTGATTGTTTCTCCTACTTTGACGTTGTCCGGAAACCTCGAGTCTTCTCTGACTGTGGGGTCCCTGTGCCGTCTCCATCGCATACATTCAGCACTTTTCCTGAAAATATCACCAAACTTAGAGTGTTTACCATTAAAACTTAACGTTTTAGTACTGAAAAGTACAGAAAAATACTTACGCGTTCTTTCCTATGAGAAGAATTTCACAAGACTGACGTAATCGCGTGGGGACGCGCAAAGAGCGAATTATTCCGTGGAAAACCCATGGATATTCCGCGGATTTATCACCATGGAAAATATTCCATTCTAATATCCATGGATGGCCAAAAGGAATATATATGGAATTATTCCATGGTATCTTGCTTGGAATAAAGTGGAATTTATCCATGGAGGATAGCTTGGAATTCCGAGGATTTTATTCCTATTATAGGAAGAAAAGTGGAAGATATTCCATGGACGATTTCGGATCGTGGAATCCGTTCTCCATAGGGATGCGGGATTCCGCGGAAACCTCACGTGGCGATCGCAGCGCCACCACTCACGTTGACAGGCTTCGAGGCTGCGGTGTAAAACGTCAAAATTTGCTAGTGAAAAACTAGAGAAAATCCAGGAAAATGCCAGAATTAGGAGCCCCCGTGCGTGTGTCGCCCCTCATAAAGGTAATGAGCAGCGGATGAAGTGATTGTCTCGTGAAATTCTCATATATATTCCCTTCAATCCTCTGGACAATACAATCGGAGATTATGTAATATTTTCCTCAGTTTTTCCAGCATATTCCCACTATTTACCCACATTTTATTGATTTGACCTGTAATTCATCCTTCCTGCACCGTCTGGTAGTTTGCTCATGTGATATTTCAGTGGTTATCTGCGATTTTCTGATGACTTGTGAACATAACCTTGTCTAGTTGAGTAACTCCCGGAATCTTTCAGTTTGGCCGCTGGTCCTTCCTCACAGTGGGCATCGCCTATGGCGCGTATCACCAGAGCCGGCTGTCCAAGAAGGCGGCCAAGGAGAGGGAGATCGAGGCGAAGGCCAAGGCGATCAGAGACGTGAAATTGGCCGAGGAGAAGAAGATTGCTTTAGCTGGTGAGTCCTAACTCTTGATATATCCTCTCTCTGGCCGAGTCTAATCGCCATCCTTTGCCTTTGCAGCGGAACTCAAAACGCTTGAGGAAATGGCGACTTCCAAGAAGTAGGAAGGTAATAGTTTATTGGATGAATGATGTAAGAAACACCCTGTAAGGTAATAAATTCACCTCTTATTGTCACCGGGAAGGATTTCAATGCTCCGCGTGTCATCTTTAGAGACTCTTTAGACTCTCTGGAGGTTAAATTTACAACCCCAAGAAAGTGTGGAATGATTAATATTTCCTAAGCTCTCACTGAGCTTAATTTTTCTTCGATGATTTACAAGAGCGGTAAGATTCTGGAACAGGAATTATGATCAGCGAATGTTTCTTATATTCTTAGATTCTTATATTTGACTTTGATTCAGCAGAACAACATTCTTTGCTATTCTATCTTTACAATTGCGAATCAGCAGTGATTTTAGCATCATTTTGACGATAATTTTCAATCCAACTATCTGTTAAACACCGAATTGATGAACTTAGAAGAAATTTACTTACAGTTTCTTGATAACTTGTTCATTTTTTTCTTCTAAAAAGTAGAATTAAGAAAAAATTTCAAAGACTTTCACGTTCTGCGCAATATTTGCAAGAGAATAGTAGCAGAATCATTTTCCACTTCTTCCCTGCGACACTCGGTGTTATCGCTATGCATTGTTGCTGCGGGAAAGGAAGATAAACTGGGCATTCACTACGCCGCTGCGCAGCGCAATGGACTGTTTTCTAGCCACTTCTATGCAGAGGAGCACACACACGGAGTCCAGGTAGCACATCGCGAAGTTGAATACCGAAAATTCCATTGGCATGCCGTAAGAAGTGGATGAATGTTGGGAAAGATGGCAGGGAGAGAGTGTGAGTGCGCGATTGGAGTCTCCACAACCGTTCGCTGAACGACGGAAACCAGTCTCGAGAGGCCAGTCATCCGCTTAAGGTGTCTCAGCGCTGCACCGTGGTTTCTGGCAAAGAAGTGGAGGAGGGAGAGGCAACGGAGCCCATCTTAACTGTGCCTTGAAAGCTCTGTGTTGTAGACAAAATCTGTCCACGTAGGAATATTTTCTTGTGTGTCGCGCTATTCTGTGGCCATTGAGCGTGATTTGGTATATCGCGGTGTTGAGTGTGGCGTTGGAAGTGCACTGAAAGGATTTACACGCACAGTGACGTCTTGAAGCCACCTGAAAAAAGAGGTAAGAGCGAAGGAGTGTCTTAGGGATTGTAAATCATACCGTTTTTCTCTGTGAATTGGCCACCCTCGAGCCCTAAAACAGCGCAAAACTGTGATGTTAGGCGCACACGGCGAAGTCGCGAAAAAGTGGCGAAAGCCGAGCGCGCGAGGTAGAAAATGCTAAAACGAAAGAGTTCAACGATCAAGCGACGAAACCGATGCTCGGCTGAGATGCTGCTCAATTGCAAATAATTGTACCGTGCGAAAAATCACATAAATAATTAATTAAGATAATGGATTCAGGGTCACGTTTATGGTAGAGAGAAAGAGATTGCTCGTGATGAGAGCTGCGCATTAGATGGCAATTTGCATGCCCAAGAGACTCTTTTTCCCCAGTTGCGATCCTCCCTCTGGTGCGTTTTGTTCTTTTGCTCCGGCCGCAGAGAACCGTTTCCGCGCGCGAAATGCATATTAGACAAGAGACGAGAAAATTGCTGGAAAGACTGCTGAGGAACTCAGAAGAGGAACGCGGCAAATTGATTTAATAGCACAGCGTCCAAATTAATTGCGCATCAGAGAGGAATTAAATTCTCAGCATTGAAGAGAGTTTTCCCGCACAGATCGCCTGGGAAAATGTCCAATTCCTCAGCTGCTAACCCTCGACAGAAGTGTGATTCTCGGGGATTACCAGTCACTCCAGCATTCATTTCATTCAATGTTAATTCAGAATTTATTTGTCTAATCGCTCTTAAGTACGAGACTTGTATTAGCTTAAGAAAAGAATGATTTCTTTTATATTTTATAGCACTTTGCATGCATAAGAGAATAAAAATAGTAATTTTAGACTTTTCCTGTTACGTTTTGGTCTTTTCAAGTACTCTAGAGGAAAATCTAGGAGGAATCTAAAGAGAAAACTTTATTAGTCTTGAATAGAAACTTGCAAGAAAATTTCGCTTAACATAATTAAAGCTTTGCGACTCAAATATGTTCTTTTATCCGCAGTATGTTTTTGTCAAATGTAAAACTTGCACTTAGATCGTATTTATTGTAATTGAAGCGCGTTTTTGCAATCAATATTGACCTTTTTATACGATTTGTTACCACTTGAGGTGCTTTAAAATGGCAAATAGTGAATTAATACTGGAGACATAAAAAAAAGATTAATATGAGAGAAAATAGTAATTAAAGATGAAATAAAAAATACAGCAATTTCATCTTTTAATTCATGAGAAATTATTTGAATACTTTTCCATTGGTTTAGCAATCTAAGGGAAGTTGAATTCAGAAATGCTCCTGGTTTTGACAATTTGTCTGCGACGTGTTGAAATTTCGTGAAAAGACACTTTGAAAAGTACTGAAATGTTGAAGTGAGAGGAAGATCGAATTGAATGGCGATGAGATAGTTTTGATTTGAGAAAAAGAAGAGTCGGTAGATGAAATTTGCAGACCGTGTTATGAAGATGATGGTTATTATTTGATCATTTGACTTTCTAATTTTTATATTGAAAATTGCACTGCACGGCAATTTATCAAGATCCCTCATATGAAAGCGTTTTCCATACTGACCATTGGGATCAGCGCGCGCGCGCGATTGCCAGGGTAAAAGCGTGTTAAAGTATTGAAGGGAGACAAACAATTAAGCAGCGATCATAACTATTGATGACTCGATTGATGATGCGACTGTTGGGCCAAGAGATCGAAAGAAGGTGTCGATGGAGAAAAAACTTTCTCAGACGAATTCTTTTGCATATTGTCCGTGTGTGTTTGCCACGGAGATCGAGAAACTTTCGTTGGGCGATCAAGACACGTGTCCTCATTGCATGGCATTAGAGAAGGTGTGTTTGAGTACATGAATATCATCGTGCGAGAGACGAGCGGAATTCAGGTTATGTGGAGGAGATTAAATGTGATGAAAAATGCGTACATTTTCTCCAATTGCACTTCCCAGTTCCGAATTTCTCTGGGGCGCGCAAGGAATTCATCAACGCAGAACGCACTTGTTGCAAAGAAATTCAGCTCTCAGCGTGCATTACTTGATCTTTTTTTTTTGTCGTCATCATCATCATCTTGGCCACATTGAGACGACGCGAATGTGTGCAAGAAAACACAGAGAGTGAAGGCAAAAAAGCCGCCAAAATGAGGTCAACTCGCAAGACATCGTCATACAATTCAATGCTTTGACTCGCCTGCATCTCTGAATGAAGAGCTCTAAACGATCGCAGGTTGAACTCTCTCTCTCTCTTGGCGCTCAAGAGAATTTGCAGGAATTCGTGTTAAGGAGTCACTCGGTTTCTCCACATCGCAGCCAAGCCCCAAAAATTGCCCCGCCACTTGACAATTTCCACCAGCGAAGAGTGGCAAGCAGCGGCAGAAGGACATTGCGGCATAAATCACTGGCGTAAGACCATCGTAAAACTACAGCTCAAATCTGAGCGATAAACAAGCATAAATGATTGAGGAAATTTCATAAATTGCAAGGCACTTTCCATGCGCAATTATCCAGTAGAATTTATTAGTCAAATGTTGCTTGAGGTGAAATTTGTCACATAGCGCTGCATGGCAAGCCATGACATCAACTGTGCGCGCGATGAAGAGATCGATGATCTTGATGCGATCGCGCGCAATTCTTTCTCTTCGCCAATTAATTAGTCGACCTGTGTGAAGAGGCACGAGAAAGAAGAGCAGCACATTCATGTGATGATTTGCCTGAGGTAGAATTTTGGTCCAATTTTCCCGCGAAACTCCTCTTATTTTATATGCCCTCAAATATATCACTTTGCGAAGACAATCTGTGTGCCCATTCTCAAGATCGCGCTCTCTTACCTTGTCTTTTACATCGCGCGCAACTTCTAGAAGTGAAGAAGATTCGGAAATGGTGCTAAAAGACACAATGATCTTCGCATGGCGCTTTTTTGGCCTCATGATCGCCATCTCTGGTATTTATGACTGCTGGTCACTTAGCATGAGAGCGGTAAAATATGATTATTACAAACCCCAGCAAGTTTACAGACTAGATCCCGTAGCTAGAGGCGCTAGTGTCGCACGACGCTGGAATGGTTTTCCAATTCAAGTGCATATTTCATCGTCTTTTATTTATAATTCTCTCAATAATGCAAAATTGTCGTAAAACAATTTCCTTTTTTGTATTCTGCTGTAAATTTCGTGTGAAACATAAATCAATTAATTATTTGTGAAATATTACCAGTTTTCACGTAGAGTCAGGCGGCCATTTTGAAAAATCAACATAGAGCTTAATGCATTTTAACAAATTTTCTCTTGTATCTTTTCCTCTAAGAAATCAACATTGCTCTAAGTTGCATCAATCGAAAATCAATCCGGCTCGAAGGACCAATTTCAGGAATTTTTTTTAATATTCCAATCGTAACTGCTCAAATTACACACAGATATTTATGATTTCATTTGGACTAAATTGCGTGACTTGAAAAGAAGCTCAGCTTTGCGGTGTAAACAATGTGAATTGAGGATTGGAAAAGTATGTGATGCAACATAACCGCGAAGTTTGCGAGGATCGCGAAGATCGCCAAAGATATTGGAGCTCTCTAATCACCCATTTAATGATCGACTCAGCGCACAATTGCCACGAAATCACAATTATTCCCATTGGGAATTACACGCAAAGACAACACAGTTCATTGTTTCTAGAAATTGTCACGATTTGACATAAAATTTCATACCTTCGCGATCACAACAATGCGTGTACAATTGCGAAGGTGAAGTATAAATTTGGCTTAAAGAAATTTCCACCCAACTAAGTTTACAAGGTGTGTGATATTACATTTACCATTTTTTTGCCACCACTTTTCGAAAATGCAAAAGTCTCATTTTCTTATGGCGCGACTTTTTTCCACGGGGCGCGCGTTTTGTCTCTTGCGCGCCTCGCAATTGACCATGGACGTTTGCTGACTGTATGTAATTTTCCATGGGCAATATTTTCTAAACCACGCCACCAACAATTGCGCCACGCGAGAGCGGATATTTTGAAAGAATGGACAGCAAGAAGTTGATCTTGAGGGTCTTTTTTCTCTTATCAGGGCATATATAATGATGTTGCGCGCTTGCTTCTGGTGCAGAAAATCGCGGTCAATGTGTTTAAGGAATGGCCATAAAGGCGCCTCCACAGACGCGCCCAAATAGTGAAAAGCAACGATGAAGATCATATCCGAAAATTGACTAATCGCCGAGTCTTTTAGCGCCACAGACACTTGGTCTGAAATTCATTGGGTGATTTTGAGAAAGTTTTTACGCTTTTCTTGGACCAAAGTGGCACGCTTTTTTCCCCTCGATGGCTAATTGATGGATATTTAGCACTTTGTGGATGGAATTACTTCGAAAATTCATCCAAATGTCACTCCTTTAGTCGTGTGGCGTCAATAAATTTGCCACCTAATTGGGAGATAAGGTGCGAAGAGAGCACTAAACGCCATCGTCCATGGCATTTGCCAATCTGAAGATCGCACAGTTGAGATTCAGTGATATTTTACGCAATACTTCTGCACTCAATCATTGTTCCGAAGATGCGGATAATTAATGAGAAACAGCACAGAGTATAATTTTGGCAAGAAATAGAGTTGAAAAGAGCGTCAAAATACAGGAAAAATAATTGTGAAACTGACTCAATCATGAGCCAGAATGCATCAATCCTTGACGAATGAGCAAGACTACGATCGGCAGATTATAAAATGTTCCCTCATTGAAAGCTCTATGAAATAATCATGAAGAACTTACTATTTTTTTTCGGTGAATAATTCACGATGAATTTCGGTTATGCGCCGCTTGAATTGCAGATGAATATTCAGCAGGGTTTGTTGCCATAGAAGATGTGGAATATTAATGGCCGCGAGCCCGGAGAATCATAAATAAGCCCACAAATCCCAGGTGCGTTCGAGAGTGCAAATCTCGCGTGGAAAAAAAGAGTCTCTGTTGCAACAAGACCAACGAAGGTCACTTTGGGAATAAACGAGAAATTCCGCGAAAATGTCACACATCTACACAAAATGATTTGTTGGGATGCTGGAGAACCCATGAATGTTTCATGCCACACAATTGCCATGGAATTTCGATATGGGAAATGCAAGAAAAGTGTCCCAGTTGCGGTGGATGAGATTCCACCAAGTCCAATAGAGCACCGCGGCCTTTGGCAGTATATCTTTCCCAACCGTTGCGGCGTAATTGTTTTATAAGAACAAAAAGTCGTTAAAGAAAAACGGCCAAATAGTCAATTCTTTGCTGAGGTGCTTAACCTCCAGCGAAAGATCAGTGTAGTAAACACTCTGATGGGCTTCTTCAGTGGGGAAATCCGACTCGAATCAATCTAATAGACATTATTGAATGAATTTCGATCTCTGTGTTTTCGAATTCGGTAAAAAATTCATCAGGAATCTTTGTGAAGTACTGCTAAACTAATTGCCTATCTTTATTTTTATCTGAATCTTTTTCTAGCTGTTATTTTTGTATAATTCTACTAAAATATTGTTTTATTTATAACATTAGTTGATGTTAAATGTTTCGAGCGCAAAAAAACCGTCGAAAATCCTTACAAGAATTGTATATGGTAAAAACTTTCAGAAAAACGGTTAAATCGATAAAAAAATGCAATAAAGAATATTCTTAAGATCATAAATTGCATTTTTACGTAGATATTACGCTTAATTTCAATGGAGTTTAAAGTTATTTTAATTTAAAAGCAAGACTTTCTTAACAGGGAAACAACACTTTTGCTCTATAAATTTAACAAATAAATACATTGGCCTGGATTTGAGACTTTTCTCTCGTCAAAATAACATTTATTAATTTATTAACAAATAAACCATTCAAGCCATTGAATGGTTTTGAAATGCCAGAGCAGGAAATAGCCTTGGGTGTTTACTCGATTTGGCAGGCGTATACAATCTGACGAAATCACACTTTTTCTTCGCCATGGATTGTCTTGAGGACGCGCAATGCTGCAAAGCTCAGCATTAGCGACAAAACTCCCACAGAAATTTCACCGATGTCTTCTGCGTGAAATTAATTGGAATTCACTATATTAGAGACTAATCACAACTAACTCTCTGATGGCGAATCACGTAATTGATAATTTCAATTGAAAGGTACACAGCTAGAGGGAAAGTTTCGTCTTTGCGCCTCTTTTTCGGCATTCGCAAAAAGTCTCGATATTTTTGGAGGATGATGCTTGGCATTTTGGCGTCCATGAGGTGCTCTTTTAATTTTGTTGAGAATTCCGCGAGTGTTGGTGCGCGCGCAAGGCGAAGAATATAGAATGGTTTTGGCGGTCTGACATTTAAGCCGTGTGGAACTTTGGCTGGTTCTCCTCCTTCGGCGCGCGCATATTCATGAAGAATAGGAGCCCCCAAGTTGAAAATCAAGTCTGTAAAGACCAAGAGACGCTCCATGGCATGCTGATGATGATGAGAACAGCAAATCCCATTACACAATCTCTTATACCTTCTATTTATTTCTCCTACAACTTATTCGCTCTTTCTCGTGTTGTGATTTTTTCTTCTCCAGCCATCTTCAAAACTTCTTCCACCTGCTTTAGATTACATAAAGGAGCACGTCTTCGCTTTTATTTCAGTGAGCAAATCAATCGTCATATAGTTAATAAGTGAGCATTATCTAATGAAACCACTTCAACACGCAGACTCACTGAGGGAATATTAATAAATTTTATTTAAAAATCAATTTTGGGCATCGTGCCAAATTGTTTTTCAAGCAGGTGTGAAAAGAGTTTCATCATAATTTTACTTCACTACTTTTTGGATGAATTGTGAGCATTTGCATAACGATGAGTTGTTTCACTGTCTTTCTTTTGATTAGATCATATAAATTTTTATTAGTTCTGTCTCAGTCTTAATTGCAAATTAAATCTCCAACTCACTTGCAAAACCCTCTTTTGAATTTCCTCATAGATTCTCGATCTATTGTTTCTGCTTTTTTGCTCCTTGTCGACAGCAGAGACCCCTGAAGTGACGCCAAATTGTCAAGGATGGGCGGAGCTCTTTTTTGAAATGTACAAACGCAATGGCAAAAATATCTGTGAATTGCCACTTAATGATGCTAAATATTTTTTACATAACGCCCTTCCTCGCTAATTTTTGTCTCTCGGCTAAATGAATTAAAAGAGAAAAATTCCTCACGTCTCTGACGTGTGAATAGGAACTTTTTCAGCTGGTTGCGGCCATTATGAGAGACTCATAGTCGAAAATGAATGCGTTGGATATCAATCTGAGGTGAAATGAGAGTGGAAAAGATATGAGATTGATTGTTGCGAGTGCGGTCTAACAATTAATCACTCTTGGTGGGGATTTTTTGCCCTGGCAGACCGATTTCTTAGACCAGCACACACCCTCGAGGTGATTGAATTTTTCGCGCCTCGTGGCTTTTGCAATGCCGAGGACGTGGAGGAATTCAAGAAGCTCTCCAGGGAGGAGATGCTATCTGCCCTCCTCGATAGCGAAACTGATGTAAATGACCCCGTTTGATGGCTATAGCTTCGGTGGAATGCACAGCTAACGGTGTCTATTCATCCTGCCCTCGAGATTAATAATCATCACCTAAAGACTTCTTTTCTTTTCTCTCTCTCACGACAGATCTTCGCCGCCATGGAGGACTGAAGCCGACGCTGAGCTCCCCGAAGAGATGGCACTGAGATTGAGGAAGGACGTCCAGAAGGCCTCCTACTATGTGTGGTTCCTGGGCGCCCAGGAGGCCAAGGGCCTGCGCGGCCAGCGAGTCCTGCTGCCGGCCATTCCGCGCCTCATTGAGCGCTCGCGTGAGCAGGAGCCGCTCAAAGTCACGCTGCAAGTGTCACACAAGGGCCTCAAGATAATCCAGGTGAGCGCGAAAGTCTCTCATCTTCATTGCGGAAGGGAGAATGGCAATAAAGCTGTAATTTGGCTTGATGGCGTCTTTCGAAAGTCCGCCCATAGAGACTGTCAAAGAGATCATTTGACGAAATCATAGCGTGCAAGATCACACTATATAAAATGCTCTCTTGTGAATAATTAGTGGCATGCAATGGGTGGAATTGGGTGGTAAAAAAAAGCACCGCTGAGAATGGGTAACAAAGCACATCGCGGATTAATTAAAACATTACCATTCTCTTGCATAATTCGTATATTGAAATTCCCAATGGGTTTTCTTTCCGCCAAATTGGCGCGATTTGCTGATCGCTTTGTCACTCTCGCCGCATTTCTTCCAAGTTCGATCGCTCGCGCAGGGACTTTTTGCCACCTGCAAGACATCGAGAGGGCCACAAAGTGGGAGGTGGAATAATTAAACTTCCACGTGAATGAGTTAGAAAGTGAGCCCGAAAGAGATTTCTAAAGGCGATCATGTAAAGTTCAGAAAGACTGAAAAACAGTGAGAAGCGAAATGTGCAGAATTGTGGTCAATTCTTGAATTTAATTTAATTTCTGTAGATTTTGTTAATATTGTATTAAATTGTTGCCTCTAATCGAAACCAAGCGATAAAGAGAACAAAGATGAGTTAAAGGACGATGTAGATTCCTTGGAAACCACATAAAAGCGATTAAAAGATACTTTTTACGCAATGCGCATGAGATTCTCAGCGTGTTGTTATTTGCGGTCAAGCTCAAATACATGTCGATGATAATGGCTCTCGAGGAATTCCATCTCGAGCAATCTCGTGCATCCTCTTCCGGTGCTCTCTCTCTTAAGTGCTTCTCATGTGTCTTTTAGGGCTCCTCCAAACACTTCATTCCGCATAGCGCGATCACCTGCTCAGTGCAGACGGACGACGTCGTGGCGTGTGTCCTGCTGCTGTACAATCCCGCCACGCGGTGTCCTCTGCACGTGCACGCGTATCGCTGCGACTCGGAGAGCACGGCCCAGGCGCTCCATCAGCAACTTCAAATATTGATCAACCGACCGGAAAATCAGAAGCGATTCAATGAACTCGAATCGAGGTGAGTGTTCTCTGTTCTGTCGTTTTACCTTTGCCAATTAGCCACACACTGCTCAAGCTATTGACAATGACTCGCGTTGAAATAATCGGTGAAATGCACGTCTTGACGCAAAATTTCTCTCCATCGGCGAAAGGATCGCGACGGCAAGGAGTGGCCTCTGTGTTAATTGAGTAATTGAGATTTCAGCGATCTTAGCTAATATCGTGCAGATATTTGCGCACGCATTAAGTAATCAGCACACACACACTTGGTCATTATCTAAGAAATGCGACAACTCGTCTTGTTGGGCCGAGTTGCAATCAATTATGCAACTCGAGTTCGGCATTGCTCAATTACTCGCGATCATCCCATTACCGATTTTGATGGTGTTATCGAAGAAATTAACTTATGAAATATATTTATATTATTCAGTAGATATTAAATAATGCGCGTGGCACGATTTTTTGGGCGAATTTTCTCCCATTTGGTTTTTCTTTTGAAGTTGATCCTCATGTTGCATTGCACAATATGATCGCATTCCTCAGCAGAGAATTCTCTCTCTCTCTACACACATATTAATCTTGACAAGTGTTTGCTGGGTATAACGAAAATATTTACCGTCGATTGTGTGAACATAATTGAACAAGTGGGATTTAAGAGTGGGAGAAGAAGTGAACTTTCAGTTTTCCTCTCCGTCACATTACAATCAAGAAGCAATGAATGTTCTTGTGCGAGGTCGCTCAATTGAGGAGCGCTGTGATCTCACGAGAAACACAATGTCGATTTCTGAGGGATTTAGAGGATTTTGGGGGATTAAATGGGCAGGGATTTCGCGTGGGCGGGGCTTGATGATTGTTCAAAAAAATTACCCAGTATTAAATTCCGGCTGTAATGTGAGCAATTGCACAATCACGACAGCGATAAGATGTTCCTCGCCATCCCACAATTCATGTTTATCTGCAAATTGCCATCTTTGCCATGGAATATGAGCCCGATTGACACGCGATGTGGACAAGAGCGCGGCAGTTATTTGGTCAATGGATGGCCAAAGAGGCTGCAGCGTGAGTCTCAAGTGCTCAGGGAGGAAACTTTCTACCAACAATTTCCAATTTATGCTGTTTACCCATGTTTGGGCGGCCTTTTTTTACGTAATTCGCCAGAGATTTTCCGCAGTGGCGCGCGATTAGAGTCAAGAAAAAAAATGAAAAGTGTTGCGCATATCGAAAAGTGCATAAGCATGGCATGGATGAAGTCAATATAGTTTCAGCCTGAATCTCTCTTTCACCTCTTTCACGATCAATTTAACTCCATGGCAATTTGGAGCAATTATTGGCATCATAGAGCAAAGAGAGGAACGCGCGTTGCGAGGCCAGAATCTGTGGATGGAAAATGTGTGCGCACAATCTCGGAATGGAGGATGAGACTTGTCTTAACGGTAAGACGTGTAGCTATTGTTAAAATTAAATAAATCAGTGCCATCAACAATGCGTTGGGAGAGAAGTGGAAGCCCTCGGCAGCTCGCAAAGAGCGAAGAAAAAGAGAGCATTTACAAATAAAGCACGCGAGGCACAAGCGCCGAACCAATTAGCGGAGGATGGATTATATAAAAATATATTGCGGAAATTTCTGGTGTGCAATAAGAATCTTATGAATAAATTCATCTTCTTTCTCTCCCCCAAATATTTTATTGTTACTACAGTGTCAGACTGCAGGAAGTTTCCACACTTCATTTCCATGTGTCAACACAGTGCTAGAGCTTATAATGAGGAAGTTGACTGTGACATGAGATATTTCAAGCATTTGCAGTTCGAGAATTGAGTACAAAACAGATTTTCTTGAACACACTTCTGCGCTGGCACGGCGTTGTGTTGATTATAGTTTTGAAATTGAGAATTTCACATCTGTAAAATGGAAATATCTTGCCTTTATCGTCACATGGGAGCTCTTCAGATTGTTCAGCATCGATTTGAAATAACAATAATAGTATTTTGAATTGATTCCAATGATGAAATTCCTTTCTGTGCTCACTCGTATGAAAGAATTCAACCACAAATCATATGAGGACTGTTAAAACAAACGCGCCTCCACCGTTTTACACTCGGCGTAAGACTCTGATTTAAATATAAACTGTGCTTCCACCTTCCTAAGAATGCATGTCATTCTATTATACATTCATATTCACTATTAATAGCGGCGCAGATACGATCTGAGAGGGTCACTTTCATCCAAACACCTTAATTTATGCCCTGATAGTGAAAGACAAACAGTTACTGCGTCCACCGGAGGAGGAATTCCTCACCATCCCACTTGCGATCTCGATAAAGTCACACAAACTTCCGTTCGTGATGGGCCACAATCTTGGGTGTTTAGTGAAAGAATGTGATTTACCACAGAGTAGGGTTCAAGAATGCTCATGAGCCGTGTCGCTGTTCATCCGCAGCACAAAATTCACCGCATCAAAGTTCCCAACGTGTGTGTTGGAAAGAAAACGGCGTATTGAAAATTGAAGAAACGTTTCTTAACTGTTGTTTCTTTTTCCCCTATGCCAACGAGAAAATGTGATAATTTCCTCCAATTTGTACACTTGCCTCCACCACTTATTCTCGATGGCTGTGGCCAAGTTTATCTGTTTGATCAAGTGAAAATTCACCAACAGATCATGCCTCAATGTCTTCAATGGGAATTTAATGCTCACAACATCCATTGAGAGAGGTTTCATCAGCATCACCGCAACATTGTTTACAAGATTTTTACTTATAGTCACCATTTTGCGTGCTTAATGTCTTCTTCAGACACAATTAGCGCGCAAATAATTAGGAAAGTTTGTGGGTGTGCTGGAAAAATTGCCCCTATCGCCGCGGAGAAGAAGAAGAAAAAAAAATGTTAGTGTTACGAAAATTTCTCAGCGTACATTCCGCACAATAATGACTTTTTAACACAATTTCTGTGTTCACCTTCCTGCCATAGAAGAAAAAAGAGTCGATATAAGGCACAAATCTTGTAATTAATTAAGCAAAGAGTGAGAAAGAGCGAGAGAGAATTCAAATGCCTTTCGAAACAATAAGAAAATCACAGAAAATGGTCACACAACTCAACTCTTGCCCTCCTTCGCGCGCTCTTCTCGCCATCGCGAGAGCCGCAGTCACTCTAAGACACTCCGATCGTCTCGCGCGCCGCAATTGACTTCCCGCCAAATTGATTGCGGGACTGCTGTCAGGGCTCTGGGCAGGCGGTGAAAAGGAGTGAAATTAAACCAGTTGGTGCTGCATTAATTGGTCTGAATTGTGACCCGACAATGCACCGCGAGCTTGCGATGTGGAATGCAAAAGAGACAGGAAGTAGAAAGTTTTCGGATCGATCGATCATATGTTGATCTCAATTTTCTCGGGGAGTCAAAGAGAGAAATTCCCCATCGCATGTCAGAAGGTCGGCAGCGCTGGAGGGATTTGAGGGCACAAACACCCACGTGCTCGTTAGACTCACAATGAGGCGCTCTCGTGGGAAAAATTGCACCTGCGAAGGGCCGCTTTTCTGCATTTCCCCCACAATTTGCTTCGCAACTACGCAGAAAAGCGTTTATCTGATCGTCTTTCTAAGGAATTTTCCCATTTACCTGAACTTGAAGATTTTTAGACAAAATCGAATCTTTGAATCGCCGTAAACTTTCAATTTCGGAAAAGTATGGATATTGTATTGATTTTCCAATGAGCCGAAGATCATTGAAATAGTGCAATTAGAATGGAAGTTATGTGCTGAAAATTCAAACTTCAACTGATTTTCTTTTCCTGCATTGCAGATTGGGTCTTCAGCAGCCGCCGCCTCATGTGTCGCCCAAGATGCCGCCGAAGATGCCCAAGCCGGGCCGTCGCGTGGACGTGGAGCGTGCCACATCGCCGCCGCGGCGCTTCGAGTCGTCGCTGGGAAGCGACGACATGAGCACGCGTGAGTCCGAATGCAGTGGCGAGCACTCGCCCACGAGCCCCATTTCACCGGTCGCAGGCGCGCCCAGAGCCACACTGTACGACTCCCTGGCGGCCGAGCTGCGCGCCAAGCTGAACGGCAACGGGCCGCCACTTCTGCTGCCGCCGCGCGACTACGACACCATGCACCGCTCCAAGGGCAACCTGGCGGCCACGGAGCTGCGCCGCTGTCAGAATCAGCTGATCGTGGGCGGGCCAGGCTCCGGGAAGCAGGGCGTCTCGTCGCGCGGTTCCTCAGGCATCGGCTCCGATCTGGCGCCCAGTCCGGAGCGACAGGACGGACAGACGTCCAGCGGTGAGTGGGCGGGAACTGTTAATGGGCGGGGCTTAGCTTTGAAAGCGTTGTGCGTCAGTGAAGAATCTCGCTGACTTGTTCGCGCTGCAACCGGATGAGCAGTCTGCAAGTGCACATGTTGACACAGTGACACATAAAAAATCCTCAGCATCTCGTCGCAATCTTGCCATTGCATTCCATCGGTTGGGGCGAATAAATCAATTTTGGCGACGATCGGAGAGTGAAAAGATATGTAGACAAAACGGGTAAATTGACCGATGATCCACTTCTGTGCTGTGTCACAGCTCGCAAGAAGCTGGAAGAACCACTTTGTCTGCAGACGTAATCAATCAATTTGGTCGAAGAGAAATTTCCAATATTCGCATGAATTCTCGCCGCGATACACATTGTTTTCCCTGTGCGTTATTTAACGGTTAAATCATGTTATCAATTAATTATGCAATCAATGAGGAAATGAAGATGAGCGCGCACTTATGTGAATCCGTGAGAAGTGAGCATAAGTCTTAAGTGAGCTTAAGAGCCCTTTTGGCAATCATAAATCTATGGCAGAGTTGCGTGTTTGCGGCAATTGCGCAGAATATTCACCAATAAAATGCAGCAATTTCACACTTTCTGGCACATGCGAAAAATTCCCCGCGTAAATTCTATAAATAGAAGTCGGAAGAGAAGAGAATTAAGATGCGTTTGTGTGGGAAGGAGATTGTTTTCTTCTTCTGAAATTCCTCGGTGAATTTTTGCCATTCAAAATGAGAGCTAATGTCCAAATGACCAACAAATTAACCTTGATCTGGATTGATATGAATAAATAATATCAACTTCGCATTGGCGACTCGAGGCGAGAAAAGTGCGTGCCGCATTGGAAAGTTTTCGATAAATTTGCATGTGTTGCACGAATGTAAATGAATTTTAAACACTTTCGCCTATTGGCGCGTCTTTTGCATCATCATCATCGACACAAAAACACCAATTTCTTATAAACTTTTAACACCATCCCAGAAAGCATGATTATTCTGGGACGAGGCATTTTCGTGACCTTGTGACCACAGAGAGTATTGATGGAGTTTTTCCCATGAGATCCAACACACAAACTCTCAACCTTGATCCTCTCCAAACTTCGCTATGACATCATTTTTCCAACTATAATTATTATCGAGAAAAAATGCCAGGGGAAAAAGCACACAAATTGTTGGAGAAAACATCTTGTCTTCAGGGCGATTTGTGGAGAAAAAGAGTGGAGCATTTATCTGGAAAGTCATGAGAGGCGATGGGCGATTGCATTTAATTAATTCACCTCTTGAGAAGCATTTTCTACTACTTTGCATAGCGCAGCCCGGCAATTTCCTCTCCAGCATCTCTGCATGCACCAATTAACACTCCAATTGACCAGTTGGAAAATGTGAGGAAATCCTCCTCACAATGACTTCTCGCTGTACTTTTTGCCCAGCGCGCAATGCTGATAATTGTGGATTCAAATGCTTTGAGCCTAATTCGATACTCTTTTGTGGCAATTTTATTCTCAATTCTTACTTGAATTACGCAATATTATATTTGCCTTTGTCTTCGCAGACGAGGACTGGACGAATGATCACCAGGAGTCGGTGATTGTGATGCAAGCGCCGAGGAGACCCGCACCGGCGGAAGTGGCGCCCAAGCGCCCCACGGCCACGTACTTGTATCCTCACGAGCCGCCGCGCAGTGAAAAATTCGCCGAGGACCAGCGGCCGCCTCCAAAGCATCGCCTTTCCGCGAAGGTGGCCGAGGAGAGGCAGCGCAGGGACTCTTCGCAGTCGCGCGAGGAGGAAGAAGTGAAGCCGGTGCTGATGAAGAATCGTCCGCCGTACAACGAGGCGCGCTTCCGGGAGGTGTTCGAGCAGGACAGACGATTTAGCGGCGAGGCGAGAAGGTTCAGGCCTCCGGAAGATGACGAGGACGAGGAGGAGGCTGAGGAGGTGATGGAGACTCCGGTGAGAAAGCGCTCGCCGCCGGAGAGAGAAGCTGAATTCAGGTGAGCACGAGTGTCTCGAGTCTGGGCGCAATTACTGAAGGATTTGCTTTTTTCAGGGAGAAATCCTTCAGGGAGAACCTGACGGACAAGCAGAAGTACATGGCGGAGAAGTACCGGCAGCAGAGTCGGTATCGGGAGAGGCCTCACTATCCCGACGAGGTGGAGGAAGTGGTGGAGAAAATGGAGAAGATCAAGTACCGCGAGAAGCCGCGCTACAAGGAGCCACTGTCCGAGAAGTCCAGCTACGGCAGCCGCGACAAGTCACTGGAGTTCTTCCCGGAGGAGAGGAATCCCTACCAGGAGCCCGAGAGCCAGCCGTACCGCGAGTCCATCGAGAAGATGCTCAAGTCGCCGGTGATGCGCTACAAGTCCTTCGACGAGGAGGCGGCGTGGCAGGAGAAGAAGCGCTACGGCTATCGCTGTGTTCAGGAGGAGTTCAAGCCGCGCCGCCAGAAGATTGAGGCGCCCAAGGCGTCGCCCAAGGAGCGTTTCCACGATGCCAAGGAGAAGTTCCAGGCAATGGAGCGCAGCGTCCACAAGCCGCTCAGGCGCTCTCACGACGCCCAGATGCAACCGCGCCGAGGATCTCTTGATCCGCCGTCCAATCATTCGCTACAGCGCCAGCGCTCGAATCCAGTGGCGGTGCGCGAGGACTGGAGCTCGGACGAGGAGCAGGAGCTGCCGCCGATGGCATATCGCGGCTACGAGGAGCGCGAGGCGCCGCGGATGGCGCCCAGCAAGAGCCTGGGCAATCTGGTCAAGGGATACCGCCACAGCTACGCCGAGCCGCGCAATCCGCTGCCACGCGGCAGTGGCAGAGTCGGCCTGGCCGCAGTCAATCCCTACTGACGCCCAGAATCCTGTATATTCCGTGTACATTTAGAGGACGAGCGACGAGAAGCCTTGGTCATGATAACACCTCCAGAAAGCCTGTATTTTGTGGTATAATTTATATTAACTCCCCGTTTCTCTATCGATTTATATGTGCCTTGAGAGAAAATCTAACTGAATTATCCGTTTTGTGGAAAATGCCTTCCATTTCTTTTGTTACTCTCTCTCTCTCTCTTATAATGTAATCTCTGTATGAAGATATACATAAATAAATTAATACAGTGGCGATGAGGAACTTTTAATTTGTGCAAGACAAACTTTGTTGGTTTGTTTCTTCTTTCAGCTCTTGCAAAAATTGACTACCATCAGTATAGAACATATGCACGATGCACCACTGAAACATCACAACAAAAATCAAAGAGTTTAACAGCTTCTTGGGGTTTCTAATTATCACCTTTATTTTATACAGAATTCCATTCATTCATTGTAGATTTGGATTGCAAAATCTTCTCTAGTGGTTTGAGGAGGATTCGCAGGAATTTTGTGGTTCGTTTTGTCTCCACATCATCGCCCTTCAAAGTTTGCATTTCGTCTATCAAAGGATTGAAGTTGTCCTTAGCATCAATGGCTCGAGGCACCATTTCTGCTGCTTCGGAGTCCGCAGTGTCCATGCGCTGTGAACATTTACCCTTAACGTCTTTAACACCCTTCCTCACCTCCTTTCCACACTTGTACATGTTGTTGAGCCTTTGGTAGTCTTCTGGCGACGGTTTAGATCTCTGACCGACAAGTTTCTTAGTTTTCTTCAGGATTTCAATGGTCTTTAGTCCATTTGCGCTGAAAGCGTTCGTTGCGTAGTGCATAACACTGCCATAATCATATGGAACACCAAAATCTGATGAGATTGTGGCGTCGTACTTCTCAAAGTTCGTCTTCGTCTCATTCTTGATGTTCTCCCACAGGATTTTCACGAATTTGTCCCTATTTGAGCTATTTTGCATGTGAAACAGTCCAAGAGTGTGGAAGATCTCGTGATAAATGACGCCGATTTTCGAGAAGCAGTTGCTATTTAAGTTCACAATCTGCTCAAGGATGTTTTGGTAGCCAACGTGAGACCAACATCCCATCTCGTCCGACTTGAACTTCAGGTGATTCACGTTCGCCTTCTTCTGCTCAACTTCCTCGAAAGTTATGCAAATTCTGCGCTGAATGTTCGCCAGGACAGATCTTATGACTTTCTTGGCAGGCGGTCGCACGGTCTTGTCCAGCACGTAGAATACCTTGCCGTTCGGCCAGAGGAACTCCTCGTCAACTCGGCCACTGCGGAAGAATACTTTGCTGGCTCTCGTCGGCGTCATCACCATGTCACCGTCAAACACTATCTTGCCCTGGTGCACTTCGAACACCGCAAGGCTTCCAGGAGCGACAAGAATCAAGAGTGTCATTTGGACGTTCAAGAACAGGTTCAGCATGATGAACAACAATATATCGGTTGTAAAGTTTCTTATTGAAACTTACTGAGAGTCTAGCTGCTCGATAATTTATAGAAAACTTGCAGAACTGTTCAAATGTGTGATTATTTCCGGGGAGAATTGATTAATAAGAAACAAATCAAATTTGCAGGTGTTTCTGTAGCAAGAATAGAAAGAAAATGATAAGATAGACACAAGGGAAAGAGTGTTTACTGAAATTTGTACACCTATTCCTGGAACTCCTATAAAAACTAGGACACTTTCTCAGCAGTGGAATCAAAGAGAATCGAAGCAAGCAGCAAAATCTCCAACAGAAACCTACTTTTTTTATGACGCGGTAGATCTTTATTGAAAACTAAATCATTCATACATCGAATTTTACAAAGTGAAAAAGGTCCTGACAATAAATGGAAAGTTATTCAATTACATCTACACAGCGAAGATCCTGCCAAAGAAAGTGCGGACAGAAATTGTGTGGTTCTCATCCTTCTCTCTTCACCTCTGGGCGCGCGTATTTACAAACGGACTGCAGCGGAATTAGTAAATCCATGACAGCGTATAAAATTCCTTTCTCTTTCTCTGCTCTTGTCACTCCTTAATCGCCTCAATTGAGCCTTACAGCTTAATACCTCTCTCTGTCTAAAGCCCTCTTCAACGCCTCAAAGTCCATCATAAATCTGGGGGGTTTTCTATTTACAGAAAATATAATGTCTCTTTTTATTGAAAAAAAGAAAAGAAAAAAAAACCTTAAGACGTTCAGTTTAACTTCTTTCTCATCGTCACTTTTCATCAAACGAAAAGTGTGTGTTTAGGTTTTCATACCTTCCTCACGAGGGGGGCGTTTTACAGTCTAGAAATCATTATTCTATCTCTTCTACATTACTAATATTCATCATTTTGTCCTACTAGTAGTAAATTGTGTGAAAAATAAATCCATATTTTAATATATAGAATTTCTCTCTAAACGCCCGTATTTTCGTGTTGATTTTCCATTATTATTTTCTTTTTCGGATTCATAAAGAGTCAACGAAAAGTTGCGTGAATGTGGAAAAGTTCGTGACCATTGTTTTTTTTCCTTATCATTATAATATTTTTTCTTATACTTCAAATTGGCGCATTTTCTCAAATGTGTGCCTCAAATTTATCCGGTGGCTGTGAAAAGACTACTCATGAAATACACGCGCGCGTGCGCGTGCAAAGTTATCCCACATTTTGTATCATCCTAAACATGGTAGGAAAGGTCATATTCCCATCCCTTAAAAACCCATCTTTCTCACTTGATATAAATCTGTCTGTCTGACGTTCGCTGTACCATCGCAAATCCTGGGCAGCGCATACGGCCATTCACTTGACGGGAGAGTCTTCGGAGGTCACCTGCAAGTGGGATTCTGAGGTGAAAATTCCACCCCCAGACTCGCAACATTCCACTAAATTCCTCCTATTGTGAGACTTTTCATATTTCATACAACCTTTTTCTGAAATCTCTTCGTGCTGTTTAAGTGCGATTACACTCGGTGCCATTTATTCCGCGATTCAAGTAAGAAGTGGAAAATAAAACCCCCAAATAGTCGACTTTACTGTTTTACCTTTTCTCAACACTTCGAAGACAATGTTTTTTTACATCCCAGAAGAGGCGAAATGAAGAAAATAATTAACATTTGGGAAAGAATTCGTATAAAATTACTGAACTTTAATGCTAACATTGAACAATATATACAGAATTAAGAGCTAAATTATACACTATAAATGTCCCTCTCTCATAAAATAGGAGAACTTTAGTGGAATGTCGCGGCAGGAATTTCCCAACTTGACCAACGCACACACTTACATGGAATCTCAAGTGAACACTGTGACTCCACCAGGATCAGTCTCATGCTCCAATCATCCCTGTCACGAGCACATCACCTCTGCCGTCTGCGCGGGCGGCGCGTCGCCCTTCTGCTGCTCCTCCGCCTCCTCCTTGCCCGCGTCCGCGCCGCCGCTATTGCACCCCTCCGCCGACTCCTGTCCATCCCCCAAGTCGCCGTCCACGATCACGTTGACAGACGTGTTGGGCGTCGTCCTCGGGCTGTCGTCGAACTACTCTCACGCACGCACAAAGGCAGGGGGGAATTGGAATAATGCACAAGAATCGCATCAACACTTACACACTCCCAACTACTCTACCATTTTTCTTGCATGATGGCAAACGGGTTAAATTATATAACGGACTCACGGTTTCTGATAACCTCATCCTCTTCGTGTCCTGCGGCGTCCCGGGCTGCGACGATGTCATCGTCTCTTCGCTGTTGGCAGAGCGCTTCTTGGACAGCGATGCCGGCATCAGATTCTCCATCATCTCCGTGTGCTTGCGCTCGCGCCGAAGGAACTCCGGATCCAAATACTGATTCAACTGCTTCTTCTTCACATGTCTCGCCTCAATTTTCATGCCCTCCTTCAGCATCTTAATGTTGAGCTGGCGTGAGAGAAGAGACAGAGATAATTAGATCATTTTCATAGCTGCATTAAACTTTCCAACTCACCCCGTGTTTGTGGATGTGATCCGTGAATGTCTGTATGCTCTCCGTGAGATCAACGTTGAGATTTTCCGTGCGCTGGAACTCCAGGCCGATGAACCACATTGAGCAGTGTGGCGACGATGCCTTGGACGGCTCCTGGTCGAAGCACTTGGGATTGACCTGAGCGTGCGAGATGAACACATTGCGCTCCAGATTCAGCACGAGGCAGCGCACCTTGGACTCCACGAGTCCACACCACTCCAGATGATCGTCGGCACTCTGTGAGCTCACCAGCAGCACAATGAAGTGGCGATACTGGAAAAAGAAGCTCGGTGCCTCGAACAGCGCCTTCCACGTCAGCTTGCCCTGCACAATCTCATCCATGATCTTCATGCCGCGCTCGAACTCATTGCAGATGATCTTCTTCGTAGAAATCGACACGTTGTACGTGGAGTTCTGCTGCGGATATGCCGGCGTGATGATGGGCATCAGGTGATAGCGATCGGCAGAGTTTACGCGCGGATCCCACACGAGGAAGCCGAGATTGACGTTGTCCGGCTGCTTCAGCAGAATCGGGTGTGGCCACTTCCAGCGCGAAAACACCATGAAAAACTTATGCACGAGCGTCGACGCGATGGCATTGGGATACAGCTGACACGTTCTGGCCACTAGCATTGCCCATGATACACCACCGAAGAAGCCCAGTGAATTAGAGTAGATTCCGTGGCGCTTCGCCCAGAGCTTGATCGCGCGCAGCGCCAGTCTGAAGTTCTCAATATTGGGCACAAGGCGCAAAATCTCATCCGTTACTCGGCATCCGTTCAAACTCCGCACACACTTCGGATTGAGATTCTTCAGCAGCATGTCGTCGCGTAGATCGAAATTGTCCGGAATCTCCTTGAGCGTGAGTCTGGCGAACAGCAGATCGATCTCAATGCCGTCGAAATTCATCTTGATCACCGGCACATAGGCTTCCTCCACAGCACGGCACTCTGTCACCTCCGGCATCTGCTTCAGCACATCCAGAAAGGACGTGAAGTAGTCATTGCGGTCAATATTGCGCGGCGCCACGCACAGCGCATCGATATCCGCGCCCTTGTGATGCACGCCCAGTCGATAGGAGCCGAATGTGTAGATCTTGCCGCCCAGCTTCTCGGCCATCTGCTCCGGCATGTTCTTCGCAATGGACACGTCGCGCACCCACTGCTTCACGAGCGTGTTGAGCTTCGCCAGGATCTCCATGCGGTGGTTCAGCTCCGCCTCCGACTCGAACACATTGTACGGCTGAAGTGTGCTCTCCAGCTCCTTCGTCAGATCGTGATCCTCCGGCTTCGGACCAGCCATGCTGATGGCCGACGTCATTCCGAACGTCTTCACTGGCGGGCTGCCGTTCTCCTTGCCCTTCTCCGACGATCTGCTCTGCGAGCTCCACATTCTGGCCACACGAAACCTCGTTTGTTCCTGCACGAGAAAGAGAAGAAATTGAGTGGTTAACGCGTGAATATCATCAAATCGCAGCGGTTCTTGAGACTAAACGGGAAGTATTTCGACAAAAACTCCCATGTAAAATCGAAAAGGGTCGATTTTGGATTCGTAAGGGTAGAAAACTCTTCACAAACTAACTTGAATCCACACAAAATTGCAAGAATTGTGATTTATCTTTCAAAAAAATTTTATTATTACCATTATAAGACTTCAAAGTCACAGTTTTTGAGCTCCTTTGCCAAATTTAATTCTCCTACAATGCTCTACACAGGATTTATCAAAAGAATTCTCGGAGATTTTTCAACTCTAGATTCTTAAACATGCATAGAAAGAGATGTTTACATGTGGAGAACTTCAGAGAAACTGACTAGAAATTGGCAAACGCTCTGCTTTTATAGGTTTTAAGCCTAAAGGCTCTGTTTTAAACCCATTCAGCAAGCCTTTTAAAAACTGATTAGTAAATAGAAGAGAGAAAAGGTATTTAATGGCCTAATAATGAGGGTTTCAGTGCGGTTTACCTGAGACAATTTTCGTAATTTGCTCTTTGATGGCTTTTTGCCAAAAATAAATCCCCCAATTTCATACATAAAGCAAAATGTTAAGGAAATTCCTTAAGCTTCTTGCATGTTCAGTATTTTGAAAATCCGCCCCTAAATCTCCTCAAGGAATTTCCGTCTATTCTCCGTCACTGACTCAAAAGTGCTGACTTGTTGCGAAATTTCAAGAACTCCGGCGCGCCTTGGAGGGTCTCAAAGTGTAAACAAAAGCGCTAGACTGTCAAGTTTGCAGAAATAAAGCACGTCTTGGGGAACTTTTCCACGTAATTTCGCTCTCCGCGTAACAGTAAAAGAGCGAGAGAGAGATAGAGAGAGACGAAAACCCGGAATTGTCAAGAGAGCGAATCAATGGCGGCGACGCTGGAGCTCCTCTTCGGCACCAGCACTTTTTCGCGTGCGCCCCAGCGCGTTTCACCGGCCACTGGCTCACCTGAGATGCACTGCAAATATGTCCGGGGGCGTCGTGGGTGCTCCTAAGGGTGGCGCGAGCAGGACGGAAGCCTCATAAAGCGGAGAAACTGCTTTGTTCGCGACTCTCGTGACAATGGTTGTGTTTCGCTTCGACGCACTTCTCAAGGGGCGCGCTCTGCAGTCACTTGTGCCACTCAATTGCGCTCTGTGTCGCCAAATCCTCACTCTTTATACACTTGGACGTGATTGTGAACACAAATGGGACTCAAACATTGCACCGAATCCTTCTGGCCGCCACCAAACCAGCCCATTCGCAAGTCACTCTGCAACTGTTATGATCCGCAAGACAAGCGCTCTCTCGCCAACATGGCCGACTGACAATCGATGAGTTTCACCGTGAAGTTGGCGACAAACCATAAAACGCGATTTCAAATTTTGGAGGCTTTTCTTTCTTGTAAAAATATTCTTGTAAATTCCACAATGTACAAAACAGAGGCAAGACAGCGGTCTTCGATGGACAATCACTTGAGGAAGTATGAGAAAATGTGATTCTCAAGCACTGCCTGGGCTGAAAAGATAGACAAAGAATGACATATTGATTCACCTATTTCATATCAACATCCTCAATATCAATGATGATAAAGAGAGAGAAGTACCTAAGTTAGCCCTGTTTCTTATCGCCAGAGAGTACGCAGTATCTCCGTGCTCGTTAGATTCCGTGAGATTCGGATGGAATGCGATCAATTCGTTGCACGTGTGCGGATGATTTCCCGCCGAGGCGTACATTAGAGCCGTATTTCCCTCCTTAAAGACAAAAAAACAACACTGCAGAAGTAGCGTAAGATGTGATTGAAAATTTTCCTTACAATATCCGTGTGATTGATGTCAGCTTTTTGTTGCAGGAGGAATTTCACTATTTCATTGTGTCCTCCGGCTGAGGCCAGCAAAAGAGGAGAAATGTGGTCCGGAGCGAGTTTGTTCACATCGGCTCCGCATCTGCAAAGACGGTCACAATTTATCTTTTACATCTCCGAAGGAGTGGAGGGTGTTCTTTACTGGACTAGAGTTTTCACGGCAGAGAACTGCCCGTAGTAGCACGCCCAATGCAGAGCAGTGTATTGGAACTGATCCAGGGCATCCACGAAGTTGAGCTCCTTCACCATCTCCTCGGTGATCTCGCCCTGGCCGGCTTTCTCGTGGAAGTTCAAGGTGATTTCCGATCCGTCTGTCTCAGTATTTCCGCGCTGGAGATTCGTCAACACCGTGTTTGTGGGGCGATAGGGAATAAAAGCACTCTTCCGACGCCCGGACAGCAGTAATGTGCTGTTGAGGTCCCACCTGGAGCTGCCAGAACGAGAGGACATTGCTTCACTTCGGCAATATTTCTTGGTAAAATTGAGAGAATCTTTACCTTGAATCCCTTGAATCCATGTTTTTGACGTTTCTTCTTGACTAGGAATGAAGATTTCGGGAAAGTTTCGTAAATATCACTCAATAAATACAGATTTCATATAAGAGATGGTAGATTTCATGAAAATTTCCAGTGAAATTTATAAAAAGATGCAAACTACGATGAGAAATCGATGAAAGTCTCCAAATCTCTCCAAAAGTTCAAAATTCAATTTCATCCATCGTTTGCTCTTAACTCTTAGATACATTAATACTCTTAACTTTAAAGATAATGACTAAAGCAGGATCTGAAGACAAATATTCACTAATGAAGATGAATACATAGATTTTGAAATTTGTTTTATATTTATTAGGTTTATAAATACTTTAGGATTATTTGAGATTTTGAGAAACAATCATGAAATAGTTAGAAAACCATTAAATTATATGATTTCATGATTATACTTAAAAGGGAATTTGAAAGAAAATCTTTTTGACCTACAGTGTTTCAGAACTGTATTTAATACATTATATTATTGCTCTGGAAATATACATTTTTGAAATGTATATTCCTTCTCTACTTTACATGCATTTTTCTATCAATTTATCTTCTAATTCTAAGAATTTTCGGGATTTTCGCTCTGTCTATATCATGCTATCATCGCAGCTAAATATGAGAAGTTGGCTCAATGGAATTGTGGGGAGAAATTACATTGATAGTGTGAAGGCGGGAAATTGATGTATTGATTTCACAAACTTTATCCTTGCCACTTGTTGGCAGATTCTCTCCTTGTGTTGTTATACGCCTAGGGAAAAGGAAAATAGAGATTACAATTTATGCTTTAAGTCACGTTGCATGCAACTAATGTCAATTTATACTCTCTAATGGGAATTGAGGCGAGCTTTTCCCCATGAAATTCTCCAGTGAGTGGAAAGCAGAGATAAAGATGACTTCAAGTCGACCGGATATATTAATTATGTGGCCACGGAGGAGGAAAATGAGTGCAACTCAAGGTGCAACCAAATGGAAGGACACAAAATAAACGCCCAAAAATTCACAAAATGCATCGCATTTACATTATGCAAAAGCAATTCTTTGCATGCGTAAATGTTTAATTTCAACATGTGTCTTTGCACAGTTAATGAGTTTCAGTGAAAAATGAGTTTTTCTTCTGGATAATTGACGTTCCAGGGGAAATATTTCATATTACTCTTTGATGAAGTTTTCTTATACAGAAATTTTAATATTTAATGAAAAGCTCTCTAATGACTTCCGCGTGATGAGCATTATTCTAGTGCATATTCTGAAATTAATTATTCAAAATTGCATTTTTACTTTAAATGCAGTCTTAATTTAATGCAAGTGTATTTGAAGAGTTCAGCTTTGTCCATGAATAATTTATTAATGCCTTGTTAGTTGCTTCCTCAAAGTTCTGCAATTTCATTAAGTGTCTTGTTGGTGTGCATGAAGGGTTCAGTGAAGATTGGATTCAATAGAAATGACTGCCAATTAAGGAATAAAAAAGAGTCTGTGCAAATTAGACAAATTAGATTAATTACTTCTAAATTGGTCGGTGAATTTTCAAGCACTTCTTTCTCACTTTTGACGAGATTGAATGTCTATACAGAGAAGGAGTTCTCTGGCAACATATAATAATGTAACATGTAAGCTGAATGTGTTCCGCTTGAGCTGCTCAATCGTCTGAAAATGTTAAATTGAAAACAAGAATGGCAAAAAACGAGCACAATCGTCAATTCTTTCTAGTTAGTTAATTCTCCATAATTTCATATTTACTCTTTTGCTTCTCTTCCTCCTTCTTCTCTGTGCCTATTTTTATTTATTCCACCGTCGAGAACCTTTTTATTCTTGCTCCTCCAGACACCCAGACAATGCCTGAATTCTCCCTATAACAGACACTTGATTATAATTAATGCGATTATGGGAAACGTCCAGTGATGATTTCTGATCATGCAACACAAACACGAGTTGCAATCAATGCAGTAAAATATAAATAAATTATGGCTCTTTTTGCCATCAATTCTTATGTATTCGTTTGAAAAACTCGCATCACGTGGCTTTCAATTTCCTCTGTGGACAATGAAAACCGGCTGTTGGGACATATTTTCAGTCATTCTCTGTTAGCAAATCCTGTTGGCTAAATCCATTGCCGCCACTGAGAAAGATGCTCGTGAAGATGAAGAATTCAGAATGAAATGGTTTTTTACCCAATCATTCACTTTCCACTCATTTTTTAGCGTCATCCAAACCCCCATTAAATTGTCGTTGCAACGGAAAGAGCGTCTTTCTCTCTTCAACACCACTCTTGCTGGGCTGCACCTCTTCTTGTCCCACACACTACAAAACTGGGTAGAAAGGCAACGAAAATACATGCCTGAATTCACCAGGTTGAAAGAGATCTCGTTGGCTGCAGCAGCAATTGCCGTAATTCATGTTTTTGGACTTACTGATTGTGTCTTCCACGTCTTGTTGAATTCTTTGCAATGTCTGCAAATCCCTTGAAAATCCTATTTTGCAATATTTTACTTTAAAAAGAATTTACGACATTTTTGGTGAGCATTTGAACATTTCTAGAGATATCTGTGTAGTTTATGAGAACAATGCGACTCTTTATTATTATGAATATGATTTGGAAGGTTTAATAAAAGTATCATGGATATTTAAAAGTAGATTTCTCGTTTAGAGTGGCATTATTCATTCCAATTGTTCCTCAATGTGCGCGACAATGCGCGAGTTGCTGCTGAACACGACGATCTCCCCATTCCATATGCGGTTGATGGATTCGGTGTGTGAGTAAAGAAGCCCCTGTTTCATTCCATCCACTTCCCGGCAAAACATCTGCTCGCAACTCGCAGCTCTACCTCTTGGCTCAGCTACCTTCTGCCTCGAGCGTCAGTTTGGCGTCTGTGTCGCAATGATGAGGTCAGGCAGCGATCGTGCGCGTCTCACCGAATCGTTCACTGTGCAAGAGAGCTAAGACAATGCGGCTTCGGGTGATTCTGTGGCTCCTGGCCAGCCTGCTGGCGCTGACGGAGGCGCGATCGCATCATGGGCGTCGCGAGTGGATGCGTTCCGAGGTGATGGACGCCAATGGACTGTATCTCATGGAGTGGAGTGTCGAAGCCAAAGAAGTCACATTTAGGATTACAGTGAATACACGAGGATTCATCGGTCTGGGATTCTCCTACAAGAGTGGCAAGATGACCAATTCAGACTTGGTTCTCGCGTGGATTGACGATCGATCGGGAAAGGCACATATTCTGGTGAGGAAGCGAGAATTGAGAATTCTGCATTATTTCTATTTTCAGCTTCACTGTTTGATGAATGCTATTCCAATCCATTTAGAAAAGGATATCTTCAAATGTGAGACTAAAATTGGAACTTTGGGTCGTTTTTTGCCTTGCAAAAAATTCCTTCAGCACAATTGTTCCATCGAACAATGCCACGGCATTTTTCAACCCCTATTGAAGAATTTGTGAGCACTGAAATGGGATGTTTTCAGTGACGGTCTTTGGGTATAGAAATGGTGGCAGAACGAGACGTGGTCTTTTTCACATAAATTACACCATCTCTTAATCGCGCTGCATTCGCACATTGCGTGCAATATTCTCTCGACCAGGAGAGAACCACACTTTTGCCGGCAATTGAGGCGCAGGAAGTGGCTAGTCGGCTACCTGGGATCGTCTTCATGCACGCTCTGTCCCGCCGAAATTGATCTTGCCACAGAACCGGTTGTGATTTCGCTGATCCTCTTCATGTTTTTCGCCAACACACCAAATCGCAAAATAGCCCATTAGTGCGTATATCCAGAGATGCAAAAGTCTGCGCGAAAAAGAGATCCACCACAAATCTCTCTTGTTAATTTTTCTGCACACAGCAATTTATTGATGAGGCACTTTTTCTGGCCGCCACGTCTCGTTCTGCGGAGCTGTGAGAGATTATATTGTGCGGATTGACTGTGAGATATCGATGGGAAGAGCATGGTTGGAAAAGATTGCAATCAATTTAATTAATTGCTCAAGAGCAGGTCCAAGTTTCTTCGCAGACTTCACTGAATGATTCACATGGCAAGAACAAGAAGTTTCACCACTTCAGCTGTCGTTTGTGGTTCTGTCGAGAGATCTTCAAATCACTGTCTCAGCGTCAGTGAGACAATTTATCTTTTATTAATAGGGAGAGAAGAACTTAGTTGTGCTCATATTCTATCAACTAATCAAAAAGTCGTTCTAGAACTTGCCAGAACTTGCTTCCACGAGCACCGTTCATGACTTGTTAAGGCGATGCCAATTAACCTTTTTTTCCTGATAATTTCTTGTATTGGTTTTGATCACAAAATTAAGTCCATCGACTGTGGGAATTTTCAGCTTTTCTAGTAAGCTTTATTCTAGTGACAAAACATAATAATTTTCATGCAGTCTAATCGTGCTTTCAATTCCACTTCTGAATTATATGGAATTCCATAGTGCAATTGAAGTACAAATTATTCATAGTCTCAATTGATAAGATCACTGCCACAGATTTTTGACACGTAATCTGTATATTTTATCAGCAACAGATTGAATAACTTTTCATTCAGTCGCATGAAATAGTCTCACGATGTTAATTCGATCTCTCATGCGATTTATCGGGTGAAAATGTACTCAGTGTGTAGAATTTTGAGTAGTGCGACGCCGAAGGAATTCAAAATGACCATCTTCGCACTTTCAAATCACTTTTTTCGTCTTCACTCAGTGTGTATTTTCACTACATTCGAATCATCCCATTCCCACCGGCGCTCTGGACAGCGAGAGACACTGGGCAGACCTCTTTGTATTCAATGCCATGATCTGCAAGTGAATCACCTGACGCGAATGCAAATGAGGTTCTTCGTGTGCCCGAGCGTAAAAAACACAGCTCCAAACACCCGCGAATATGGCAAAATTTCATTAATTAAAATACAATCTCCACATTTTCGTGGTGCGCAGAACGTTCGCTCTTCTGCTGGACCACTTGGCGTTTGGCCATGGATGAAAATCCCAGCAAGATTGCACAAATTCTGGAGACGTGATGCTTCTTTTTTTTTGTGTGCGCACAGCTTGTGTGTGGACTCGAGGATTTTCATGCTTGTAGCTTCTCTACAGTGGAATTTCGCTACAAAAGAACTCATCAGAGATTACCAAGGGAATTCCTCAGTGGTTGAGCTTGAGGATGGTCTTTTCAATAGAGTTGGCGAGAAAAAACGAGAGGGAGAATAAAAATTCCAACCAATTTTGTAGATTCCTCTATTGATCAACTCCTTTTCGAATGTGCTGTCTGTGCCTTGGTCGAAAAGGAGAGGGATTTTGAGGCCCGTCTTTAGCAAATTGTGACGCAGAAAGCACTGCCGGCAGGACGTTGTAATAGGAATCTCCAAATGAGGTGATTGACGGGGAGAGATTGCAGGAAATACGCTTTGATGATCACATTGTTGCCACAGAGAGGCTCTCTGTTTTAATTTACAAGTAGAAAAGTAAATAAGACGAAGCCACAAAAATCTGCACACATTAAAATTCCCTCACAGACTTTTCCTCTGTAATTTATGCTATTCGAAGGGGAAAACTCGACAGAATTTATCAAATTTACACCTTAAAGTGAGGAGACATTTGAACATTTCACTCTGCATTACGTCTCTCAAATGTGACATTGAGGAGCTTCAAACGGATGAAAAAGGGTCAGTAATTGATGATTTCCTGCCCTGCAATCGACATGGTTCTCGAAGGATGGACAAATCACTGAACAAACCCTTTCTTTTATTCATGGGCTTCATTCATTGTGCGGCGATTTATTGTGGAAAAACGCCAATAGCAATTTGTTGCTCTACACGTGCTCTAACATCTGCTCTAGGCGGCGCGTTCTTACCATTTATTTGTCCGCAATTCGCATTGCATCTGCCGTGAAATATATGCCAGAGAGTCAAACAATCCAGCACATTGTGTACAATTTCGTGAAGAGGTCTTTCTTTTGCCAACAGATGCAATAGGAAAGCGGGTGAGCGATATAATCTTCAATTTCGGGTTTCGAGGAGTAGATTTACCATAACAGAGGGCGGGGCTTATAGAGGGGCGGGTCTTCTTGCGAAGAAGTCTCATGAGATTCAATATAAAAGTTAATTGACACCGCACTTCTATTACACGCAATTTGTAAATTGTGAACGTGTGTAAACAATAAATCCAATTCCACTTCCATTCTCACAATGGAATAATTTTGATATCAATCATAGGATTCTCTTGACAAAGATTGAAAGCAATTCAATCCAATTGCAATCCGCTTGATGTAAAAGAGCCTCGATGGTCGCACGAGAGCGCCATTCATAATCTCCACAATGATAGCCTCAAATTGGAAAATTGATATGGCGATTCTGCAAGCTCATGATGGATATTGCGTTCTCACACCGCACGCTTTTCTGCAAGCCCGAGAAATCTGAGAAGCCTTCTTTGACACAATACTGCACATGACACAATTTGATTACATGAAATGAAACCAGGAATTTCCCTCTGGGAAATTACATGTCTATCGATATCAATCTCTTAACTTCTGGTGAGAAATTCCTAATGATTATGTGGCATGGAAATAATTGAGCGAGAAGTTTTAGTATCACTGTTTCGAATCTCCATAGATATTGATCTATACTGAAATTGCTGAAATTCACCCTTCAACATCAAACCGCGTATCTTGAGTCACATTTTGTGGTACAGATGGAAAGTTTGTTCTCAGTTTTCAAGCCAGAGTGCCTGTCTTTTTTTCTCGATGATGAATTTACCTAAAGACGACCCCCATTTACATAAGCATTTCTCTTTATTTTCGCGACCCTTCATTTTCTGCCACAATCATAAGAATTGTGTTGTTTTATGAGGAAAAAGAGAAAGATGAAGTTTCATCATCAGTTACGCACTGAGGAAAAAGTTATTATACCCAATCGAGTGGGTAAATTGTAGGTAAACAGAAGGATATGTTTGGCCCCGCCCACTCGAATGCTCCGCCCACAGAGGGCTAATTATTCTCAGAGAATGCACGATGCTGAGTAGTTGTCGATGTTTTTTTATCTGAGTGTGGCCGAGGCTTAAGTCTTCTTCGCCTTAGGCGACCCCACCTTCGCTGGGGCCAGGCTCCTGACGGCGGCAAACGTGACGCATGTGGCAGCTGCAGGGACAATTGCTCATGTTTCACGAGTCGCGAGCGGTGGATTTGGCGGGTGGCTCTGTAGGGGTGGAAATACGACACTCGGAAAAGATATTGGATGACACAGAATGGTTGGGGGGAAATGGAGAGACAAAGGAAAAAAGCTTAAGAAAACTCTCTGGCAGATGAATAGTAGAATAGTGGTGAATTGTGGGATGAATTCATAGATGAGTATAAGCTTTATTGTTCCACAACATGCGTTGTATGCGAGAAACATGAGGATTTGCTATATATCGCATTAAAGTTGTGCCACTCACATGCAAATTAGAGTGTCTCTCGCTGTCAGTCTGGGGAAAAGGATAGAATCATGTGGTGGAGTAATTAAATTTTCCGACGCAGCTCATGACCAAAATATACCCAGGAGTCTTTCAATACCTTTCAAAAGTAAAACTATTTTAAAGCTCGTTCCATGAAATCCCATTAGCACTTGAGGGACTTGAGGCAAATTTTGTAGACTATATGAAATTGACTTTTTCTGCTTTGAAAATCATACCTCTCGCGATACATTAATTATGAATTGACGAGAGGGGAAAATCATTTAAGCTTTTACATCTTCCGCTGACGCTACAATTGTTGGTCTTGTCTTACAAGAACAGTCACTGTTTCTGGTTAAAGTTAACATTCAAGAGCATAAAGGAAATGGCAGGAATAAAATGAGCATATTTTATTGCTTCCGATTACAGCTAATTGACACGCTCCAGATCCTTTTCACGCATTCGGGATGTTGAAAGCTGTGAATGAGCCGTTCTTTGATTTCACCTCAATTGGGGTTTTCCACTTTCCACCCAAACATTCTGCGTGAGGGCAGAAATTTCAATGAATGTTCATGAAAGCTTGCGTTTCATGCCAAAGGTGTTTGAAGTACTTTTTATTGCGGTGCCGCTAAACAGAACCGGAATAAAAGTCATTGATGTAATATAACGCATTTGTGGTGTATGAAATTGAGTAAAGCGTAATTAAAGTCGTACGGAGAAAATACACGTGACAGCAATTTGGGGTTTTTAGGGAAATTTCACGAAAGATTTTCTCTTCAGCTGTAAATTATCTACTCATTAAATTCACATTGAATGTTTCAAATCTTCTTCGAAGCTGTGTTTGAATTATTCCCAGGATATGTGGAGAATGATTTAGTGGTTTTCCACTAGAGTTTTTTTTGGTGAAAACACCCAAGTTAAGTCATGCACATGAGACCTATGTTTCAATTCTGCCTCTTTTACATCATCCCCCGAGGGATGAAGCAACTCAATTTGCTACTCTTTTCTTGCTCCTTTTATGTCCCCCTTAATCTCAATTGCTATTTTGGCAAATTTTCACGTGTCCTCCTTCTCTTTCGGGTCTTGACAAACCTAGAAAAGAAGGTAGGAAAACATATAGTTGAACGAGAAAAGTGCCAACGAAAATTATTTTATGAGGCCAATGAGATTACAAACAGGAAACATTATGAACCTTCTTTCTGTCAACACCATCACAATTTCCCCTCAGAATTCTCAAGGTAAAAGTCACGCATCTCGCCGTATAACTTCTCATCTTATCACCATATTATTTCGCAAACCTGACTGGAAAAAACTTTCGTGTGAACTTTTTCACGATCTGGCAATATTTTACAATGAATATTATTGTCTGATAAGGATTCCGAATGGGAAATTTCGGCAATTCAACTTAAAGGGTATAAAGTGATTCAATGGAATTTAGTCACTTGAACAATACATAGCACATGTTCATTTGTAGTTCGGGTCCATTGGGCGATGTTCTGTTGGAATCGATGCCGTCTAATTGGAGGTAATCAAACAGATCACCCCAACTCGCCCTCACCAAATGGTTGTATTTTGTAACAAACAGGCAATTTGCAGAGGACCGGCGGTCAATTCTCACTCGGATGTTTGACCCAGAAATGTTATATATTGCCCGCATGGAGAATTATCATTATTTTGTAACTAAATACTTGAGAACGACTAACGACTTTCAGTGTAATCCATTTGCAAACTCATGATGTGCAGCCTTTTTCCCCTGTCGCGGTAAATTTCCAAGCTCTAACTTAGACTTGACGGCTATTTATCAATTAATACCACTCCATTAACCCTTCGTGTTGGATTTCAAATCAATTTAATTGCAATCCGACTCACTTCTTGCCCACGCGTGCAGACAATTAAGCCACACTTCAGGTGGATGATGCGGCGCTCTAACCTAGAGTGACTACGTAGAGCAGAGGAATCACTTACGTATTTTCCATTCATCTTTAATTTCATAAAATTGTGGGATTTACAATCACGGCGGAAGTGTAATTGAATATGGCACGATTGGTTAGATGTGATTTAGATGTGGGAAATGGAATCAGGACAAGAATCAGGAGTAAAGAGATTAATTTAAATTTAATTTGTGAATAAATCTCATGTGTTTGTGGTTCACTTTGCAGGATTGTCACGGACCATCCAGTGGTAATGGAGCACCAATTCAGGATGACACTCAGAACTATGTGGTGGAGGAGGGCACTCAGAACGCCACCCACACTCAGATCCAATTTCGCCGGAGCCTCGAGACATGCGATCCACACGATTTACCACTCGGTGTAAGTATTTTTCTGTCCTTCTGCAAAGCTCCCATCCAATTAATCCGCCTTTGAGTTGATCCCTTCCGCGAAAGTGCACCCCAACGATTGCCTAATCAGAGCTAGAGCGCGTCATGAATGTTTGCTTGTACTCTGTGATGTCGCTGGCAGTCATTCCCAGGGCGTTTTTCAAGAATCCCGGTTCGTCACTGAAGAGATCTGTCACGTCGGACCGGTCAAACATGATGGATAACATGAGAGGTGAATTCCCTGCAAAGCAATATAATGACAAATATTGACCAAAATGCATTTCTATGTCATAAATTCACCCTCTCTCGTGACTGTTTTGCTAAGCGGAGTGTGGAATTGCATGAGGAAGTCAACGGCGTCCGCATGGCCGCCGAAAATTGCGGCTACCAGGGGCGGGACGAGGCTCATCTTCATGTAGTGCTCCATGGAAGTGACCTTCAGGAGGTTGCTCATCGTCATCACGGATCCCGACAGTGCGGCCATGGTCAGTGCATTGAGGCCAGTGCGATTGACGTGAAGAACATCCGCCCCATTAGATATGAGTGTTTGGACGCATTTCACATGTCCCAGCTTCGATGCCACCATCAATGGCGTGTCGCCATTCTCGTCCATAATATCGACCCACTCTGGGGACGTGGTCAGGAGAAGCTGCAGCTTCGAGTGGTCATTAGTGAGGACACAGTGGAATATTTCTGCCAGAGAGACGCAAAAATGAGTGAGAGTTGTCCGGGAATTACACCTCTTGCTCACCTACCGGACATTGTCACGGCTGATTCGCGTGCAAGCGGTGTAAAATCAACAAACTTCACGGTTAAACATGGGGACAATCACGCACTTGAATTGAGACACAGCACCGAACTGACGACACTCTGGCGTTGATCAATGCACGCTCCCATGATTTTCAGCAATTGAGATTTGATTGAGTGAGAAACGGGAAATCAATAAAACAGTACTATTGTCGTGATAACACACATTAGAGGAGTGCGGAGCCACCTTGAACACCACAATTTCGCACTGAGTTGAATTGCAAATCTTCATTGGTTGAAATAGAATGAATTCCTTTGAGTTATCAAAGAGAATTGTAGGATAATAATAAAATATCTTGTGTCCAATGCTTACCGAGTGCCCCGCCTTCCACTATTTAGAAAAGGCCGAGTTTTCCGTTCTATTCTCACATTTATACGATGAATTTATTCGTGCGAAAGAGATCAAAGTCACAAAAATTCCTTTTCCCACTTCCCTTAAATCCCATGAAGGCTTTCGCTATTGATCAAAGATGGGGTTATTTTGAGGAATGTCGCAGGAAGTGAGTAATGGACTTCAAAGCTACAAAGTAGATTATCTGTGATTGTGAGAAGAGTTCATAACATATCCTAGAAACTACACTCATGACTCCAATTTGCCGAGCCAATGCTATTGTGGAATTGAGAAAATTTCATTCAACAACAGTGATAATTGGGATCGATATTGTGGTGAAGCAATTAAGGAGATTAATGTTGACGAGTGAAGTGTGAAAATGGCGAGATTTTGCAATAACAATGCAGAGGATTTTCCTGGAGAGAGTAAAATTCACAGTAACACTTTAAGCGCTCAGAAGAATTCATTGAGGGGGTTTGCTTGCTTGAGCAATTAAGATTTAATTTTCTCAATTGAAATGGCAAAGGACGAGTTTGTTCGCATTACTGCAAATCTCGTCAAAGTTTTACGTCTTCCGCCAACGTCAGGAGCACACGAGTGTGCTTTTTGTCAAGCGATTGTCCCTCCTCTTGATGTGAAACTGGGATGAAAAATTACCAAGAGAGGAGATAAAAGTTTAACACACATTACATGATAGCATTTCACTGGTTTTCTCATGCTTTCCATCAATTTGAGTGTTTCTTGAATCTCTAGTAGGAGTGATGATGAATGCAAGCTTTCAGATTCGTTTTGTGTGGTGGAGAAATTTTGAGAAAATCATATTGAAGAATTTCTAGGATGTCGAATCCTCATCAGCACATGATTTTCATTCCACTTTGTATTTAGCTTGAATTTCCGGCGGTCACGAGTGCATGGCGAAGGGCAGTAAAGGCAGCAAATAAAAGTCTTCCTTCTCTCTTGCAGAGCAACACACTAAAGGTTTTATGGTCGTTCGGAGATGAGGATCCCACGCATGGCGATCTGAGGGGTCACGGCCGCAATCGAGGTGCCAAATCATTGCACTTGACTGGACCGCAATTTCGTCGGCCGGCCACCATCAAGGATGTGAGGCAGTGGGACGTAACAGTGAGGAATGTAAGTGATTTTTTACCGTCAAGCACACCTGCGAATTAAATTTGTCCCCACAAGTGACACGAAGCTCAAGGTGCTGAATATTTGTGTTTGCTTAAAATTCAAATATAGGCAAATTGACATTGCTCTCGCGGAGGAATTTCCCTGAGCTTTTTCTCCCTGTGTATGAGAAACGCCGAATCCACGTGCAGGGCGGAGGCCTGAAGAGAAATCGTGGGCGGAAGATGTTGACGAGTGATATTTATGCACACCCCTTTTTTGGCACAAGATAAGTTAATGCCACAGTAATGGAAAATCGCTTTTCCAGACTCCTGAGTTCACATTTTCCAAACCCCCGCGACACGTTAAGAGAGTCTTCTGTACGAAGGTGAATCACTCCTTCGCACACGTAATATCTTCACTATTGTTGTGATTGCTGAATCGAAAATCAAAGATTGAGATGTGTCACCTTTATTCATGATTCATTTGCCACATCCAAGAATCACACATAAGAAATGTATTTTAGGAGCTCTTGGAGCGAAATGATCCCCTCTAAAAGCTTGATTGAAGCGTCGTCTGAGCTCATTTCACCGCTCAATCGATGGCCAATGAGGGAGAAGAAAAGCTGATGAGTTTCATTTTGCAGGTCTCTGTGGAGTCAAACATGGACACACTTTACTGGTGCAAGATCCTCAAGGCGCCAATTCTGCATGACAAGCACCACATAATCGGATACGAGGCACTTCTGACCAAGGAAAGGTAAATTGGCTCATATTCGTGATAAAAGACAGTGAGAGGATCCTTTGTGGAATCAATCTCACAATACTTTGTATGCCTACAAAGGATTTCTCCTGGGAAATTAATTACTGGTTGTCTTGAAAGGACTCAGCATTGTTCACTTCGATGCCTGTTGCTTGGGATTTGAGTAATTTCACATTCAGTTCAATTTGACTGAAATATGATTTATGTGGATGATTATTGCGTGATTATTGAGAGCTTCTTTCGGCTCTCTCTCTCGAGGCTTTATTTTGGCTTCTTGTGGATTACGACTAAATGACAGAGTGGATAACAGGAGGGTTTTCACTTTTTGAGTGTAGGAGTGGATTTTAATCCAACTCCTTGATCGCCTCGGAATACTGTCTATTAAAAGACATTCTCATTTTGAGGGTAAGTGAAAGATATACGGATATTTTTAGAGGGTTGTCTATTAATAACCAAAATTCCACTCTTCGTGTGTTCATGGACAGCGTACAAATTGATATGTCCTCTTTGAGATACATTGTGTTCATCTATGTATATGAACTTTACGCACGGAAACTGATTGATTGAGGTTTGTTTGTTTTACATGTTTCACACTCCTAAAACTCATTAATAAAATACATATTTATAGTGTCTAGAATAACATGCTGAATTACACTTAAATTTATTTTCACGGAGGGACGTGAAAAGGAAATAAGTCAAAGCGATGGAAAGCAATTACTTTTCCAACTCTACAAATAAAAACTTCAATGTATTTGAGGTGTTTAAACTGTTGATCAAAATTATGCTCAAAGCACGCAAATAAATCTGCCAATTTTTAGACTCAATTCATTGTTTGTTAATATGTAGACCACGCCCACTTGAATGCCCTGCCTATTTATCGACAGTGCTTTTTTATACTGTTTCTACTACATTGTTGGCAGAGCTTTCAGTTCCACGGCACAATGTTGAAAAATAGAATTTAGTACAGAATTTGATAGCGATGAACTGAATGCAATTTGCGAAGCCCCGCCCACGCGAATGTTCCGCCTATTTGCAAGAAAGACTGTTAACAATACCAGAGTGTCTTTTCCAGTTTTGCTAAACGTATTGATTAAACAGCAGAGAAGATCCTAAAGTGCCAAAAATTTAACGTAATTGAAGATGTGGTAAGGCAGTTTGGTGTGCCATTCATTTTCTTTATTACATTTCCAACCCGAACTATTCTGTGCTTTTCCCCCTAATTCTCGCAAGGATAATTTCAATTTTGCTACTCTAGTCATGGGTAAACTGAGGGGATGTTTTGAGTCAATGAGTTAAATTGCAAGGAGTGATAAATTTGCGTGTAATTGAGTTAAGTTGTGCTTGATTGTGTTGAAGATGGGTGGTGAAGAGGTGTTTCTCCGCACACGATTTTACCAAATTGTTCATGAAATTCCATCTTCACTCTGCAGCTCCACGAAGAAACCACTTGTTCACCACATGACACTCTTTGAGTGCTCCACTTCCTCCTATCCGGGCTCCGATCCGCACTCTTGGGACGTGTGGGTGAAGAGCAGTGGGGCGGTTTGCAACAGCAATTTGCTCACACCACGTGACTGGGACTCTTGCATCACACCAGTGGCCGTGTGGGCGGTGGGCGCTTCCGGTGAGTGTATGCCATTCTTCACGCTAGCAAAGCTCACTGACTCTTCCATTTATCCAGGCCAATTCCTGCCGGATCACGCAGGAATCCCACTGGGCGGCAAACATTCGGCCAAATACTACATGCTGGAGATTCACTACGATAATCCGCGAGCTAAGAGAGGTGAGTTGAGTAGCGAATAAGTGGCAAAAAAAGAGCATTAATATTGCTCATGCATTAAATTGTCCTCTAGCCAATGTATTGATTCTTTTGTTGCTGTGACCCTGGAAAGGAATTGAGTGGGAATTTATTGGTTCAATTGCCACACATTGCAAGCTTTTTCTCTCTCGAAATAATTCCACTCTTCTAAAGCCCAACTAAGTCTCGCTTATGTATTCCATTTCCCTCTAAATTCTCTATGTGATGAAACCCTCTCTGAAATGAGTTGCTTATTGGATTGATGTTGTGACTTCTTCTTCCCCAACATAGTAATTGATCACTCGGGCTTTCGCATTCACTACACGCGCCAACTGAGGAGGAACGACGCCGGAATGATGATTTCTGGAGTGTCCATTTCCGATACGCAAATGATTCCGCCTGGCCAGAAGTTGTACCGGAACGTCGGCATCTGCGGACCCTCGTGCACTGGGGCCATCTTCCCAGAGGCCGGCATCAGGCTCATCTCGGCCACCCTTCACTCGCACGTGGCCGGCAGGCGGATGAAGTTGAGACACGTGCGCGACGGACAAGAACTCGAGAGAATCATCGAGGATGACAACTACGACTTCACCTATCAGCAAGTGCGTCAATTTGCCAATGAGACGACAATCCTCCCCGGTGACTATCTCATCACTGACTGCGCTTACGAGGTGAGAATCTGCACCACTTCTCGTCTGTCTTCCATATCAAATGAGATTTGCTTGCAAAACCACACAGAATCATTTTATTGTACATTTACGATTACGATTATGGCATTGAACGCGTTCTTTGGCACGTTGTATCAACTGTCTTCAAAGTTGTTAGTATTGTCTATTTAATACTGACCGACCTTTGTTTAATTTTGTCATCTTCATTCGTTCTGTCAGACAGATAACAAAATAAAGTAATTATCTACTCAAAGTTTTTGTTACTCGTAGCATCTTCTTTTTGGCAATTTAAGAGAGCGCATTCAACTGTCTATTAAAACTTTTTTTCATATTTTTCTTCAATAATACATTATGATGAAATTCATACTAATTTAATTCGAAATTCCACCAATTTTACAATTTATGAATCAACTAGGCCAAATAATTTTAATTTCACGATTGAGAAAATATAGAAATAGAATTTCAGTTTATTTTTATTCACGCGTCAATACAGAAGGGAACACAAATTTCCCGAAAAAAATTGGTCTTTAATGCATATTTCTGTGGTATTGACTGATGATTTTCGCAGGAAAAGCATTACGCGTGATCTTATTGTTTACTGTTTTTCGCAGACAATTGGCAGAAAACGGCCCACGTTGGGAGGATATTCCACAAAACAGGAGATGTGTCTATCCTTCATAACATACTATCCGCGCATTGACTTGGCTGGCTGCTACAGCATGACGCCCGTGAAGGAATTCTTCGAGACCTTCGGCGTGTATCAATTCTACTCCATGAACATGACAGATGTGGAAAATTTATTCCTGTACAATGGGTAAGCATTAATTTGCCACGAGCGACTACAGATCCTTTTCCCGCATTTCAAAAATACTTCTGCGAATTTTTCACTGGCATTACATAAAAAAAAGCATTGTGCTCTCTATAAATTAGATGTTATTGAAATTCTTCACCCTATTTCTGTGAGCACACTTTTTCCCAGCTTTTGGGGGGTTTTTGGACTTGGGATTCCGTCCATATATCTTTAATAAGTCACCCAGGAGATGCCATGACAGTGAAGTGGATTCTCTAAAGTTGCCTTTGAATTCTTTGGGCTCGTTTATGGGAGACAATCGATAAGTTTCACAATAGCTTAGTGACAATGAATTGATTTATTCACTGCTCAGCGAATTCTTTGTCACTGGGAGTTGAAAGAATATGAGGAAAAAGTGTGCGAACAGTTTCTGTGAAGTTTGGCATTTTTTGATAATACACAGAATATGGAATATATGTAGTACGTATTGTATTTTAAATCCAAATTCCACTTGTATCTGCTAATTTGGAATTATTTTCCCTTGTATTTTCCATATATATTTTTTTTAATTCATGTGGAAAACAGTGATACGAGAGTGAATCAGGTTTTTATCATGGATTAATACATGAATTATATTTTCCCAGAAACATTCTGGATCTGCTGCCAACCACCATTTTTCCAAACTACCCTCCAGGTGGAAATGTCGATGACGAGGAGAATCGAAAAGCCATCGAAGCACTGAAAAACGCCAAAGAGTACAGCTTTGTGGATGAAGAGGATGTTCTCTATCAGGAATCAATACTGAGTGAGTGTTTTTTTTTCTCGGTAAATCTCCCATCCTCGCAGGATAATACAATGTTTCCGCATCTCTTGCTCACGCAGATAAGCTCATCATATCGGATCCGGTGGAGTTTCACGACAGGACCTTCCTCTCGCACCTCAACCAGCTGCCGTGGTCTGAGCCACTGTTCACGCGACGCGTGGAGCAGACAATTCTCACGGGGAAACACATGACATTCTGCCGAGTGTCCAACGAGTCAATTTCAATTGTGAGAAGAAAAAGCAATTTTCCACACGAGAGACGCTCTCGTTGACGATGGATAGCATTACTTACGCAATTTTCCTCCTCTCTAGGCAAGTGAAATTCTCAAGTATCCCAACTTCACCACCTTCATCAAGCCAGCGAGTCACTGTCCCTATCACATCAACATCGACGACATCGCCTCGTCGAGCTGCGCTCTGGCCAGGACGCTGATGAGCCTCGTGCTGCTGATCTCGATGCTCCGCACGCTCGTGTGTTAGTCATTCCTTGTCGCCCTTCGTGTGTAATTTATTATTTATTCGCAACCTGTACATTTGTTCCCATCTTCACGCCCAGACAGATGATGATAAGTCAGAGAATCGATGAAATAAATTGTGTGAATGAGAATTGATCATCTACTGTCACGCACCTTCGCTTCGCGGCTTTTCAGACGATTACACCCAATGGAGTAGACGAGGCTGCTGTTATTCATAGTTTCAGCAACATTGCACACCACAAAAACAATAGAGATTTGACTTTTCTTCAACCCTTTCCCGGTCTTCTTTCCATTTTTTCCCATATCATTTCAATTTTTATTCCAAAATTCGCTCAAGAACATTTCTATACAACTTTACGGTCGCATCTTCTTGCACAAGATGTCAAGTTATGCAGTAAAAGGATGGGAAAAGTTCAGTGAGAACCGCAATATTTACTACATCACTGGATTTGTAGTATGACGAGCTTCGATGTGTGATATCAATTTTCATAAATTTATCGATTGCGGCGGCGATTCGTGGCTCAGAGGCGAAACTTTGATCATTGTTTATGCGGAAGAGGATAAAATATCGTCCAATTTCCACCAAAAGTCGATGCTAGACACGAGCAATTCAATAAAAATTACGATATTGATATTCGCTATGATGTTGCCTTTACGATGCTGTCGACTGAGAAAATGATATTTTCACCAATTTTTTCACATCAGCATCAATACGCACACACACACACTGTCCATCCCCGTTGCCATTTAAATACATCGTTTGAGTCTAAGAGGGTGAATTTTCCATTTTATTTCACCCAATAAATTGATGGATGTAAAATTGGTTGGGGCAATCTTTACGAGAGCGAATTTCTCCATTGCCTTTTTTTCCTCTTCGTGAGATCAAAACATCGATGATTAAAGCTCAAAAGAATAAACCACTCGATGGTCGGAAATTACCTCCTGAATTGACAGCACATAATTTGCATTTCATCATCTAAATTTATTATCAATCTCTTTTTCTTGCTTCAACACAAATACAAAGTCATGAGGATTTTTTTTTCATTTTGTTATCACACCACAGGAGTAAATATATAAATAAATTTGTTTCTCTCTATTCTTAGATGCCTAAATCATGTGATTCTTTTCTCTTTCTTTCTCCACTCAACTCAGGGATGTGCGGCAAAAGAAGTGTGGCGAAGCACAGAATAAATGAGTGTTTTGAGGATGAGAAATGGTGGTGTAATGCCGAAGAGACAGTCTGCAGGCCATGGAGGAACACACTGAGTATTTTCGTTGATTTATGAGTGCTGCGAAAACATCTCCCGCGGAAATTATTCTCAAAGCATATTACATGGAATTTTGCATACATCCTTGACAATCTCAGCCTAATTATTTTACATAATTGGACTATTTATTTACGCCCACGCCTTCGTGACGGCTCAATTGGCGCCACGATGGCCTTATATCTCTACCACAGTGATTAAAGTGATTGTGCTACACGGTGGGAGGTGGAAAAACTGCGAAAATGGAGGCGGAGGTAATTAGGAAAAGAAATCTACAAGATGTTTTTGCTATCACGCGCAGCAATTCATCAATTAGGCCTAATTGTATCCTTTGAGGCCGCTCAGGGGCCAAACTCAGCTTTTCAATTTCTCACCTCAATCAGAGATGGGCAATTAGGATAAGAGATGGATAATCTAGCTTGCATATTATACATGCTTTTAATGTATATTTTAGCGAATCATTGAAAAAAGAAGTGAAAGTTCAAATTCACGTGTCGTCTATTGAATTTCATAATAGTTCTTGAAACTTGTCCCATAGGAACATTCAAAGAAAAAGGGAAATGGTGTGTCATGCAAGGGTTTGAAGAAGGAAAAGTCAAGTTGGATATCATACAGATTCAATCATCGCTCAATTGTGAATACTTTTCATATACAAATTAGCAACATTTTGTAAGTTTCGTGTCACACCAAAACTACAGTGGAATTTATGTGTTATTGGATTTCACCTTTTTCAATGTCCTTCTCTGTTGAATGTGCAGAAATATTGAATTTCGCAAAATTATATTCAATTGCTTTATAGCAATATCGCTAATTCATTTACTTTTTATGACATTTCTCAGCCAGTTCCCAATGAAAATGATATTTTTCATCATTTTCCCTTATCTAATTTGATGAGGAACTTAGATTAAAATGCATATACTATTTATAAATATAATTTGTGTGACGTGAAAAAGAACCATTTGGACTTTAATGAGATGACATTGGATAAAAGTTCGTTATGAAGCGTTAGGAGTTTTTATCAGATGGAAAGTTTCTCCCTTTCCGTGTCTCTATCAACATGTATACATCTAGGGTGGTTTTCCACACTATTTACATTCAATCGGTCCCATTTTTATTATTACCCGCTCCGTTGGGGAGAATGGTCACTGACGTCTCCAGCACTTTGCTGCCCATTTCCGTGGGTGGAGAAAAAGACAAAAAAGGACAGCATTTTAGAATGAATTTTAATTATTATTCCAGCTCGTGGAGCTCTTCTGCGACTGGGTGGGGGACTGGTTGATTTAATTGGGGGGTTAATTGGTCGAAAAGCTCTCCTCTTCACGAGAATTAATAGGGTTTGCCCTCGGCATCATTATCCTGTCATTATGTGGATTGCGGAGGGCGTAATAAGCATTGTTCGAGTGTTTGTACCTTCTCATGGTGCTCTGGTGGTTACATTGACGCCTCGATGTATAGCGTCGCGAGACTGTGCTCGTCATGGAAGTGTCACGATGCGTGACGACACATCCATCGCGCTTCCTTCGCGAATTCGAGCGGAAGCGACACAGCAAATACCTGAAATTCAGAGGAGAAACACAGCCAAGCATCTAACCGTGAGTTACCCTCTCGTGTATTCCCAGCACGGACCTCGTGAAGTGCTTCCTGAAAGCTCCGCTGACACAGTACAGGGCGACGGGATTGGCACAGCTGTTGGCGAAGGATAAGCAGAAGCCCACGATGCGCAGGACATGCCAGTACACATTGTAATCCTCCTCGGCTGTTGGACTGCATGAGGAAGAAATTCTCTTTTTAATTACTCCGACGCGAACTTTGTCTCCATCGTCATTATCTGGCATTTATGTACATGCTCGTGGCATGAGGAATACAATGCAAATGCATTATAAAGTTTCATGTTCTCGCGCTTAACAATGCATAAACAAAAAAAAAATCTTTGCGCAAGTTTTGGAGCTTCAGAGAGAGAGATTCAAAATTAAATATCACTGTGGACGATAAATTTCTCTTCCATATAATTTTAGCTGTTGAAAGTATACTATAGATTTTGGTTTGTTAGAAGCTTTTAAATACACTTTGGAAACTATACACATGAACATTTCAAACTAAACTATCACATTTCATTAAAACATTTCACATAAGAGCATTTCACTACTCTTTTATAAAGTTTCTTTAGAGAAAATAATCACGGTATGGAACATTTCATAAACAATAACTAAGCACATTTGAATTTCCATTATATTTAATTAATATTGAAGTTAAAATTGCACGCATAATCAAATGTGTTGAATATATGAATTTAACAGGAGCTTTTTCTCTGCATGGCAAATAAAGCGACCACAATATCGTATTCAAATTAAGATAACATCAAGGGAAATCATTACTGACAACATCAACTGCCAATCCTTAATTAAACATGAGTTGAATAAAAACTCCATTTCGCTGAAATGTCACTCACGCCGAGTAAAAGCATTCACTCATACCTTGAAACGTGTATCGTAACAAGGTGGATAATCGCAAATTCTTTTGCAAACGCAGCGCTTGATGCTCATGGAGAGAATCAGTGATAATAATAGACATTCTCACTGCCATTCACGAGATCTGCGGAGGCGTGATATCGAATTGAGTCTGGGTGAGAATAAGTGTGAAAAGATTGTGCTAAAAGGAGATTGACGTGCATCAACAATTGCCATATCGCTGGCGAAAATACAATCATGGAGCTTTTACCTTTCTTCTCTCTTTTTTTCTGTGATAATGTTTGTGTAGCACGAAAATGTGGTTAAATGGCGTGTGAAATATTTGTGGGGAAAGTTGGAATTTACAATTTTCCTCAGAATACACGTGTGATGAGGTTTTGGCTAATTGAATTAAGATCTATGAATGTAATATTGTACTGCCAAAGTTACCATATAAGACCCAGTGAGTGAGTGTTCTGGAGAAGGAATCAAGTCACGTGTGTCCTATCGTATGCGTGGATATGGTGCGAAATTATTGAGTGTCTCGTTAATATTTTGGCGCCAAATTGCGCGTCGTAATAATAAAATTTTCCTGGTCATAAATCGCCCATGATGGAGATCAATGGCAAAATAGGCGGAAAATATGACAGATAAGGTTATTAGGGGTCATTTTATTCATTCACACACACCCAAGACACTTGGACAAGGCGAGGGCATTTTGCCATCATCGCCATGGTGTCGAAGATCGATGATGGCGAAGGACGAGAAAAATGAGAAATTCTCGCTTTGGACTTAATTAACGGCAACGAGAGACAATAGAGTTATCTCGGAAATTTGCATCTCAAAGCATGACACAAATGCTTGATTGCACTCACCAATAGTAGAACCATATCATGAAGAGATGCGATGGCAAGAAGCACAATCCAAATATGACGACAAATGCAAGAACTGTGATGGCAACTTTGCGCCGAGCTTTAATCTGCAAGTAACATGAAAAGGAAGGTAAACACGCTGAATTAAATTGTGACGAATTCAACACCCAACGGTGTGATTAATATATTCCGGAATAATTTATATACAAGCATTTTCCTCAAAGGCTAATTGAAGAGTGAGATAGGCAAATTTTTCGCAATATGCGTTACGCGTCTTCATGCTAATGATGATTAAATTTCAATAATTTACTTGAAGATTGTAAAACATTTACATACTCTTATATATTATGTACAAAGTGAATTTTATAATGTATAAAATGCTTCAATATATTGATATGTTTTTAAGGGTGCTTCTCGTTCAATAAATTCTGTTCTTGTCGAGAAAACGAAACAAGACACTTAAAGCGTCAATTTTCACATTCTTTACTTCTTCTGTAATCTCAAAATTGAACTTGAATTAAAATTAAAATTAAAAGTTAGACTTTTTCTGTAAGTTCATGGAATGAGACTCAAGATTATGTGTATTTTATGTAATTTCCTCATTCATTTCCCGGAACAAAGTGAAAAGTGCTATAAGAGTTTAACGTCTTTGAAGTTTGCATAGTGTATTAATCTCTCTGCAACTTATTACTTTTAATTAGGACTTTGTCTTACCTGACGCATGGCGCCCTGCATCTCGCCGGGCACATTGCTGGCGCTGTAGAAGAGATGCCGAGCGATGAGCGCGTAGAAGATGGCAATTATGAGCAGTGGAATGGCATAGAAGATCAAAAAGCGCGCTATCACCATGTATCGAGCGTAGGACTTGCCCCACTCTGGTGGCCCGAAAGGGTAGCACAGCTCAAAGGAGACGTCCTTATTCACCTCAACGACCTGCATGAGAAGCACAGCAAATTGAGACTCCTTTCACTTGGCAAGATCAATGCGGAAGTTGGAAACTTTTCTTTCAAACTTGATTAATCTCGGTGTTCACTTGGCGCTTTGGAACCTTGTTTGGAACACGAAATGCATCTCACGAAGAATTTCAGGGAACAAATAACGTTTGAAAATTGAGAAAACTAAAGAACTTTGTCTCAAGATGCTTAAAGAGAGACATTTTCAAATTGAGAGCAACTTGTCGGTAAGGATTAGCACATGATTAGTAATCTTGTTGTGTGCTTCCTTAATTATGTACAGCAGACTTTTTGCACGTATTAACTTTCTTGCAGTTTCAGCAAAAAAAAGTTTCTGACACATTCCTAATGAGACTAATTATATCTTGAAGCTTCTCTGAGTTCTAATTAAAAGGATTTAAAATGTCGCGACAAATTTTAAGACTCAATTTCATTTGATAGACTGTCTAATTATTACTGTTGAACCTAAGAAGTTACTCAAAAAATTCCTTCAAAGCAATAATTAATGATATAAGCTACTTTTCCTTTTATCGTTGCCTCTTGTGATTTTCTGGGGGAAATCAAGGGGAGAGAGTTCTATGAGATGCACGTGAAAGTGATTCAAACTAACCTGTTGCTTCTGAATTGGCTAAAATACACATTATACTCACTCGAATATAAGATCCCACTAGGGCGGGAATTCCGCAAATGATGGCGAGTATCCAAATTGATATGGCAATGGAGATTGTTAATTTCGTTGCTCTGCCACCTGTAAACATCGTTCGCAAATAAATCCATCCCAGAGCGAAATCCTATACATTGCGAGCATTAGCGCGCCAAGAAAGTGGCGCAGAGGTGAGGCAATTGTTTCCCAATTAATATTGAAATTTGGATAATTGAGGATTATTGAGGATGGGTGGAGTCAAGAGAATATTAGCATTTTGATGGGCATGAGCGTGATTTCTGATACGAGATGGGCTAATTAGGGAAAAATCACGCGTAAATGACGTGTCTTGGGATTGGGGAAGAAGTTAATTAGGGGGATATAATAAGGGGAGTCTGAGTTGTTTTGAAAATAAAATGAATATTCATGTGCTATAGCGTCATGCTGTAAGTGCTTTTGGCAATTTGGAAAATTTTCCTCTGGTCAGTCTTCACGCTTGTGCGATTATGGATCAATTCTAGTTAACGTTCATTAAGAATGCTGGCTGAAGTATCTTTAATACTTCTTTCTTCCAGTTTTATCAAGTTTATCGTACAAGACTACTCGCCTTGCTCCTTGTCCAGTATTGGTCAGCAAAGCAATTCTTTGTAATGGCAAAGTATCGATTTATAGAGAGAGAAGATGAAACAGAACAAGTGAAAAAACCTCTTCAGTTGATAAACTAATAAAAACTCAAATTGCACCTCAAACAAAAAAAAACATTCCCTTCATTATATGAATATCATTTCTTGTGAGAAATTCAAGTGTAATTTGAAGATTCAATCGACTTCAAAACAAACCGCACAAACCTATTGAACCGGAAGTATGACTATTGAAATGTATCAAAGAACAGAGGAATATAGTTAGTTCTTAACAAGTTGTTGAGAAACAGCTTGAACATTTGCAATGTGGTCATACACTTTCAGACGAATCACATGGAAAAGTTGTGTCAAAGAGGTTTTCTGTTTGAATGCTACATAGAATACAGTCAAGCTTTGGGTGAGGAGAAAACTCTGCATTGAAAAGAAATAAGAAGGTGAAGTTCTATGAATATAAATTTATGATAAAAGGCAAGCGATCAGAACATATTTTCAAGTTATTTGATGTTTCCCATGGAAAATTGTTTGTATAATTCAATTATAATTGTAAATTGATTTGCTGACTCAGTATGTCATAAAATCGACTCAAAAACACGAAAAGAAAAGTATGATTTTCGTTCATATGAGATTGGTGCTTGAACTTGTAAAGAAAAGCTAAAGGTTTTGACTTTTTAGCACCAGAATTTATCTAAAGAAAAGCACATTTAGCATTATTTCTCTCCCTGTTTTTCCACTTCAGTGAATTGTATTTATGTTGTGTTGCGAAGACGTGGGTTTAAATGGAAAATGTGTTTGTCTGATAACAGATTGAAGTCTCTTCAACTCACTGTGCGTGTGAAATTTCCGCAGAGGATCCACAATGGCGAAGAACCTGTCTCCTGACAGCGCCGTGAGGGTGAAGACCGACACGCCAATGGAGACATCCTTCACGAATTCCGATATGGTGCAGAGCTCCTGACCCCAGAACCACGAATCGAAGACGTACACCGTGGACGTGAGGGGAACTGTGGTGAGAATCACCAGCAAGTCGGCCAGAGCCAGCGATAAGATGTATCTGGAAGGCGGAGCGCGAGTGTTTGATCAGACCACTTTGGCAGGAAGGCACGCGCCTGAGTGCTCTCTCAAGTGTCCGTCGACTTCCCTAGACAATTCACTCAGTCATTCAGCACGTTTGTGGCCTTATGACTTCGCCCTGTGACACTCAATTTCCGTCGAAAAAGCGCCGCCATTGACATGAGCATTTAATTTTCTGTGCAATGACGCCAATAAAAGACACATAACATGTCCCTGCGGAGAAAGCGTGTCCTCTAATGCGATCTGAGCGTCTCACAAAAGCTTTACAGCTTCCACGACAGACGTCAGCGTCTTAAGTCCGTCAAAGATGTGTCACAAAGTTGGGGTGAATTTCACAAAATACCCGTCTTCAGCTTTAATTCATCTCATATCCCACGTGACATATTGCTTCTGTCGTTTCTGCATAGAAAGAATTTTTTTCTATTCCTCTCTTAGCATGTTTTCAATTCTTTACAATATTTTGGTTAACCCTATTCATTAATTATTCATTAATCATATTTCTGGTCTTGTTCTAAATAGGAACAGGCAATAAATCTGCTAAATTTGGAACTTTTAATGAATTTGCATTATTTTGTATATGATTTTGAAGAAAAACCGTCAATACAAAGAGAAATTTTGTGAGATTTACATCGAATTCACCAATGTAATACGCGTTGCAATGTAATACGATTTTATGTGAAACATATTGAAATCTCTGCGCTCTGAAGAATCACTTTTAGAATTATTGTCTCGGTGTATTTTATCCATGTTATATTGAGAAATTTCATTCAAAAAGCAACGAGCTATGAATTTCACTGACAATATAGTCTGATATTATATAGACGTGTTATTTTAAATTGCCCAGTCAATTGAAATTGGTCACAAAGTTTGACAAATAACATCCATGGCGAATTCGTAATTAATTTTCAACAAACTCTTCACAATATTATAAGCCGTTTGTGGAATTTTATTGCACAACTTTTAATAACAAATTCTCATTATACTTCCTTCCCTTCAACCGTGAATGTTTGGCACGAGTCAAAGGGGATTCCTCATGGGGACATTTATGTAATGAAAATTTACTCCCAAAGTCTATTTATAAATTCCGTCGGCAGACTTGTGGGCTAAAAGATGAGAGAATGTGTATATAAAATATAATCTCTGGGGGTAGACAATGCGAGAGGTTGTTTTTGTAAACATTTTCTGAAAGAACAAAGACTATTTTTGCTACCAAACTCAGCTTGATATTCACGTGGAAGACTAAAGAATGCAATTTATTGGACTTTCATGTGAAGGTCGTGAATATGAAAATGATGTTTTTTTCTCATTAGAGAAAAGTGGAGCTGCATTTTGAGAAGAGAATGAATAAGCTATACACACACAAAGTTGTGTTTTCTTTGCAATAAATTGTAAAAGCTCCTTACAATCAAAACGATTCTTGTCTTTATGACAGATACATGCTTGCTTTTCCACGTCTTTTATGGGGAAATCGTGATTTTTCCATCATGAAATAAATCAGCTGAAAATGTAATAGCAAAATTTTTAGTGTGGCTTTTAAAATATGACTTTGAATACATTTTATCATATTCATAGCATTTTAGGGATATTTATTTGATTCTTTTGCAATTCCTTGACTTTTCCATCTCCATAGTCATGTAAATATGTGTTTCCATTAGTCATTTAAGCTGTTTAAAACTGCCCCCAGTTTCTCCTATTCAACACTATACTTTATCGTTCAGTGTCTTCATAAAATTATGCTACGATGCAATGCAAGCAATATAAGAAACTTACGTGTTGGGGACGTTTCGCATCGCGCGATGCCTGAGGAAAACCACCACGAGCGTTCCATTGCCAATGACGCCCACGACGAAGATGAGGAAGAAGATGACGGGCACGATGTACGTCTCGGGTCGGTTCTCGTACGGCGTGTACGCGACTTGGGTGGTGTTCTCGAAGCCCGTGCCGTTGAGGTCGACGAAAAGTGGGTCGTCAGCGGAGAAATTGGCCACAGCGGAGAAAATGTCGGTTCTCGGGATGTCTGTTCCTGACTCTAGCATCGTTGAGGCCTCGAGTCTGGCGTGCACAAGCAATATCGTCGTCTACAGGCGAGATCCACCGCGGCGACAATTGACCATTTCCAGAATGTGGCGCTCCGGAGACGCGGGTGGTTGTCAATTCAGCACTTTCGCTGTCGTTGGGGAGCAGCAAGAAATCTGCAGAGGGTAAATTAATTGTGTCTCCATCATAATATCTCATTTCATGGGCGAATTTTTCATTAGGAACCACCATGAATCCACTTTCGTCACACTTACAAGTGGCTTTAATATGGCGCGCCCTGAATTGAATTCATCTAATTGGATAAATCGACATGGAAAATGGATGGCAATGAATTTTAAACTTTTTCACTCGATTTGATAGTCTTAAAGTTGCCTTCATGTGGATTTGGCTATGTCATTTTCATTTCCTTTCCGCTGTGAAAAACGATGTGGCATCAGATGGAGAAAGTTTGCAGAGCAGCAATCTCCCCTTCAGATGTCAGTGGGAATTCAATGGGAAACACACTGTGTTCTATTTTTGGAGATAAGAGGAAAGTTTCGGGAAATATTGGGTATTATATTTAAAGGAAAAAATCACTGCATATCCATAAGTTAGCATTTCACGTGTGTTTAACCCTAAAATAATACAATCTAGTATCATAGCTGAGTGGATGAGTTTTGTTGAGCAGTCGTGTAGGTGGAAAAGAGAGCATATTTCCATGCAGACATAATAAGCTGAGGCTTTTGGCAAAAAGAACTTTCCTCCACACTTAGGCACAAACACTCACTTTCTTCTCACATAACACTTTTGGATTGATTTTCCTCCAACATTCTTTCTTTACATCTTCATGTCGACGCTGAGATAAAACACACATTAAGTGATGGTTTCAGCGAAGGAAAACTTTGTTCATTTTGATTTTAACTTAATAATAGTGTCGGGCTTTTGCCTTTTACGCGCGACACGACGAAAAGAATGGAAAATGTTGACTCTGACACAACTTTCCACTCACAGGACCGCCAAATGGGGAGCATGGGCATCTTCCTATGTCGATAAATGGTGAAATCTGCACAGCAAGAAGCCGTACAGCTGACAATTTAATTAAATCCGAAGATATTGCCCTCGGGAAAAGTTTTTTTTTATTATGGGATTTTAGATAAAAAAAATCACTCCTTGTTTTAGAATTGTTGCAAAAAATTCGCACAGACAATTTTTCTCCCATGAAAAATTCCACACATAAAATCCCTGAAGGCATGATTGTCTTCAAAATTAATTACCGAAGACAAATATTGGATCAATATTCTGTGTTAGAATTGCTCAAGCTTTTCCTCCCGAGTCGAGATTCAAACTTATTGTTATAGGCAAAATGTTCACTCAATCTGCCCACAACTGCTGAAGTTTCATACAAAGAAAGTCAACAGTGAGAAAAGAGGTTAACACTGAGCACACAAGAAGTTACTTGAACTTCTGAATCAAGCTTGCAGTGAGCAAAGTGTATGCAAAGAATCTAATCTTCAAGAATTGTGGCATCTTGAACAATTTGCGAGACGCCATCAATGTGACAAAACAAGCGATTTCCATTTGATTTTCATCTGATTGTCAAAGAAGTGCGAATGCCACAAAGTCATGCAAACGATGCGCTTATGAACTTCAAATGTCACTTGAGATTGACGATTTATTAGTTGTCACAGTGATAAAGTGTTAATGAATCTCAAACAAGAGACGAGCTGCATGAGAAATGGAATATGTCGGTATGTTGAGTGTTTGAGAAGCTTGTGATCTTTTCCTTGTCTTCTGCAGCGTATCTTATATGAACATTGCAAATATTATTATTATTCCACGCGGTGAAGAACTTTTTCATTGTTACTCTGCATATGTGATTTTTATCTCCACCACAGCGAAAAGCAAACGATAGTAAATGGATGGTGTAATTGCGTGACAAAAGGATAACATAAAAAAAATGTAGTATTTCAAGCACTAAACGCGTTTCACACTAAAAGCTTTTCTGTTCAGTCTCTTAATTTGCAGAACTCTTGAGGATTGCACAGAAATCCTTTGGAAATTATGCTTTGTTTTTTGTTGTAGAATTACTCTCTGTCTTTATGGATTGTAATGCCTCTCGACTAGACACAATTCAGTCTGGCGTGAAAATATGAATTTATCCCCAGTTGAATAATGCATGTCTTTGGCAGAATGGAAATACTCTCTCATATCCATTTCCCTCTCAATGTCGACCTAATTGCTGGTCATTTAGCCACAGGGAAGACTCATTTTCTCGCCATTCCACAGATGTATTTGCGAACGATTTCAACTGTTGGCAGGAAATAAAATAAATTTCAGCTGGCAATAAAAGCATCATAAAACAGCGTACAATTGTGAAAATTCGGCTTACAAGCATGAGTAATTAATAAATTCTGTTTATTTGACTTGCAAACGGCCACAATCTTGAACTTGGCATGTTTTCTAAGTTCATTATCTTCTCCCTTTTGTAGTGTAATTTGTAATTTGAACGGCACTAATGCGAATTAATCTTGGGATTGGGTGGTGAAAAATTAAATTTTACATGAATTAATAACCAAAAAAGCGCCCAGCTTACAATCGTAAATGCCATGGGAAGTAATGATAACCCTGGCCAAGCGATGATAATCCCCTTTTATGCATTACAGTTTTTCCCTATACAGCAGAAAAATGTAGCAGAAAATTGCTTTGCGCAAATATTCATCATGTGTGCTGCTCCGTGATTGTTTCTTGATGATATCGGAATGGTGAGTGATGAGAAAAACCACGCGATATCATTTGCATTTCACACCCTGTCTTCTGTGCGGCGCTGAAAATCGTGAGATGCGCGGAATTGTCCAAGAAAGTGTGGGCGTGAAGACTGTGTCAGCGTGAAAATAAACATTTTTGATGAATCTCATGTCAGATAGTGTGAATCTCACTAACAAAGTGAAATCATTACATGTGAAACAGTATAAAAGGAGCTTTAGCAACTCGCACTCGTGGTGAAAATTTATGGCATCGCAACAACGGCGACCGAACATTTATTTTCAGACCCTTTTGTGGGTGAAAATAATTAATTGGGAGTCATTTTTGTAAAATACCGAGGGAAATTGTTGAAAAAATCTACTTAAATGACACTCATTGTGATGGACAATTCAGCTGGTAGTTTTCCAGTATGAGAATTCAGGACTAATATAAAAAAAGCAAACGAGAAAAATTCACAAAACTGTCAGAGTTTGACGGTCATTTTTGTGCTATTTGTTTTCACTTAATTTTAATTATCATTTAAGCGGTATTTTGCTGGAATTTCGTTATTTTATGTGTTTTTTTCCAATATCACTTGTCGCATTCAACTTTAATGACTTTTAATTGAAAATCAATTTACAATTTATCTGCAGAATGACAGTAAATTCGCGTTATTTTAACTTTCAACTTTAATTATAATTTCATTGTATACTATTTAAATAAATTCAGTATAGTTTTAATCAATTGTAGAGTCATTTTGTGGTATTATTCGTTTCCATTTGTCTCTAAAACTACATAGTTGTGTTTTTATTTTTCTTCGTAGTCCTTTTTTATGAGCACAGAATCAATTATGATATTGTTGCTTTTTCACATCAGGTAAACATTATCTCGTAACGAATTCACCATTGTTATCATCTATCTATGGTATAAGTTGGCATACATTTTTACTTTCCCACCCAGAGACTCTTAAATCTGACAGATGATATGCCATTCTGTGTAAACATTGCTTCTTGTTTCAGCTCATTTCCAACGCTGAGATGCTTTAGTGAGTGGCTTTAGAGGGCAAAATGGGGGCAATTTTATGATATTACACTCCGCCTTGGAAGTGTGCTCAAGACGCAACAGAAGTAACGTGATTAATTCGCTCCACGAGAGCAAGCAAGTTTCTTCAGATGCTTTTTTACCCCCGAGAACAACACACTTGCAATATGATAGTAATTTAAGGCAAATTCTGCACAAGACACTCTGTTGAATAAAATACACACATGATGGCGAAGTGCTGCAATTTGTTTTGCACGCCCAAAAGTGTTTTTATATACATTACTCAAATGGTCTTCATCGGGAAAGGCGCGAGGAGCCAAATCAGTGATTTATACGAGCGCAATTTTGAGCCTTTGAAGCGGCCGTATTGAATGGAAATCGTTATCGGCTTTTATGAGGGAATGATTTAATTTAATGATGATCCATATGAAGTGCATATGCAAATTTGTCGTGACTGATTTCCGATGCTTGAGCGATAGAGAGAATATTATATTGAATTATAATGCGGATTTGTTGAGGGCACTCAATTAGGTGTATTCAATTATGCTATATCAGATTCGGCGAAATTGAATGTGTAATAATTTATTTTTCTCTTTATTACTTCACTTAATTATGTGATTATTTTATCGGATGAGAATTTTCGGAGAACTTTAGCGAGCTTTTGCAAATTAATTCCGTGAATATTTCCATGTGGGATTTAGTAATTGATTTTAAATGCACATTTTACATCTACAAACTCGCGGCATCGGGAGAAAGTTTCTCAGCACGAGCAAAATTCTCTTCTCTACATAAAATATGCAACACAAGTGTTCTTATCCAGAGTAAGTGTGTATATCCAATTATGTGTGAAACTCTGAGAATTCCACAAAAATTTATACACCGAATATTCCACGTAAAGTTGAGAAATACTGAAGTTCCCCCCAGAGTTCTTTCCTTTTTATCTGCAAGAATCTCGAGAGGGAAAAATATTTCTGGCTATCTCTCCATTGAGATACCTTTCAATTTCATTCAAGAGCAAGAAGGACTTTGATGACGAAATGAAAGAATCTTCAACGATTTTATCTCCTCCATTGACTTTTGATGTGGAGAATCCTTTGAATAATTTCACGAGTAAAAACAGACATTTATATTCACAGAAAAAAATGAGTAACTTTTTCTAACCTCTTGTCTATGAACACTCACAACCCAAGAAAGTGGACAGTCTTTTCCTCGAGGTCTCGAAGTTAACAACTCAACTGCGAGAAGTCAATTTTGTGGGAGAAAAGAGCCCAAGATAGCCTTTTATTGTTGGGTGAAAACGCATAAAAGGAGATGCTCTTTATCATCCCTTCTTCGCACCATCACACTTTACTGGAACGGGATTTGCACAACTTTTGAGCACTTGGTGTTTTTATGAGTAAAACATCTGCACATTTTCATTGTTTTCCATCACAAATCACCCCGAGTGTGGTGTGAGAAAAGTGCCACTTTTGTATCACAAAGGATCACATCACATTTCTCCATCTTACGCGTCAGACTTCATCGGAGCCCATCAGTATCAATTTTCCCTCAATTCAGCAACACAATGATAAAATCAATACTTAATTGTTGACGATAGACAATTATATACTTCAAACACACTCTCTCCCACTGGCAGAGCTTTTCCGCGCGTCGCGAGATGTTGATCGTACGAACGAAGCGCGTAAACTGAACGTTTCATTTGGGCGCGTTGCAAATCATTCATTGAAGTTCTTTGCGAGAGAATCGCCGAGAGAGTTCAAGTGAGAGTGAGAAATGTCGAGAGCAGGTTCAAGTTCACAGTATAGACGAAAGACAGCGGAAAAGCACGTGGTGGAAAACATCCAAGAAACTTTACCAATGACATCAACCCAAAGCTCTCCATGTGGAAAACGCTGAAAGCTCTTTGCGTAGAATGACACGTCGTTGGCTGCATCACCCGATGTGTAGATGATGTTGAGTTGAAACATTAAAAATGCAAGAGGCTGTTATTACAAAAATTTATTTTCATATTTATCTCGTGTAACATGTCTAGGTTGGTAGTTTAGTTGGATTGATTGAGAGATTCGTCTGAATTGAAGAGTGTGATAAAGCAGAGAGATCAGATGCGAAAAAGTGATTTTCTTTTTATTATGACACTTTCTCACCAGAAATTCACTTCTTTATACACAATTATTCTTATATTTTTGGTATTTAATAGAGAGGGATTTTTACGCATATTATTTCTTGTGTCTCATTTCAGTTTAAAAATAAATTGATTTGACTATTTCAAAGATATTTTTATTCTCTAATTAATTGTATTTTATTTTTTTTACTTTCCACCATTTTTATCTTTTAACTCACTATTTATCGGTAAATTTACACAAATTTCCATCTTTTTCATTCAATTACTAATTAGTGTAATCCATAGGAAATGTCTTTCTTCCACTCTTTTCTATGCAATATGTATATTATCTTTCTTTTTTTCCTAAAATCATAAGATTACTTTTACATCTCTCTCACTTTGTTCATCTTTATTGTAAAATTTTTGCTAATTTTCCACATCTTGCTAAATGAGTAGAAAACGAAACTCCTTTAAATGCCACACAATTTGGTTATTTTTCTTTCAATTGAACAAGAAGAAAATGTTTATCGCATGAATTGAAATTGTAATAATTGAGACGGAATGAGATTTTTTTCTGTCTATTTATTTACACAATAATACTTCTACAATTTATGAACTCTCCTTAAATATCCGTGCACGTGAAATTTAATACTCTCCTCCACTAATTCTCTACATCATCCCATCCACTTCCATGTGAAGCATCTAACCAGAAGTGAATGTGAAAAATTGCGGCAAACACTTAATATTCTTTTATCACTTTAATGGTGTTCTCTTGATGTGTGACGACTCTAGTGGAAAAGTCGAGCAGAAACCGTAAAATACTCTTTACGACTTCCGTAAATTAAGAGAATTTTCATCTCACTTCTACGACATTACATTTTGGCGTGAATTTTCTCTGCCTCTCATCTAACCTTTATACGACTATTGAGGAGTGTGTATCAATATTTTTGAAATATTGACAAGTGTTCAAATTGAGGAAAACATCTTTTACAGCATCTTCTATTGGTTACACGGGCGGGAAGTTAAAGTTTATTGCTCGTACTTTTCACGATAAACCACTCTAAAAGGCAAATTGCCACTTAACTATAAAACATTTCCATCTAAAATGACTGACATTTGGTGTATTTTTTAGTCTATTCTTGCGACTTCTTGGCAGTTCGAGATGGCACACAAAACAGAGAAGATGCAACTGGGCGGGGCATTCGAGTGGGCGGGGCTTCTGGAAACGTCAATTTAGAGGGAAGACCCGCGCAACCATAGACATAAACTTACTCTTATTACCCTTGTCAGTTCACTAGAATCTACAGGTGAGATAATAAAATCACTAATTTTTAGTGATTCATAACAAGTCAGACCCTTTTGCTGTGCGTCCATATTTACACAACCTTAGTACTTTCGTCGGCACATCCGGCAGAGGATGGCGAGGAAGATGGCCAGCAGGAGGCTCAGGCCCGCCGCGATGAGCAGCAGTTTGAAGTAGGGCAGGTCCTCAGGTGGGGTTCGATGGCAGATCTCGGGAGACTCGTCTGTGAGGTGCGTGAGAGTCTTCAGGTGGTCATCATAGATGCCCAGCCGAATGAGATTCTCCTCGATGTACTGCGCGATCTTCTCCAGATTCGTCAGGGTCATCGTGACGTTGGGGCAGTTCATGATGCCATTGCACACGAGATGCTTGGGAATACAGACGGATGTGTCGCCGGGACAGCGGAAATCACAGTCGCCACCCTGAAGCATTGACGTGGCCAGTGTTCCGTCGGCATTCCTGGGCAGATGGAAGAGCTCCGTCCACACCAAGCGGAAGGCATTGCGTCCCGGCGTGTTGTCGCCGATGTATTGAATGAGGACCGGCAGCGGCTCGTTCTCATTATCCAGGGCGCCCAGTTCGGCTGCCGAGAGAATTGGCAAGTCGCGCGCCAGACTCGTGTTGTCCGGACAGATGATGAAGCGCGGTTCCAGGCGTCCCGCCAAGTACACCTCGATGCGCCCCTGATCGCAGGAGCGCTCCGAGAAGCGCGCCTTGTCCAGGTGAAGCCAGAGATCCCTCTGCGAGGCCACGCGCAGCTCCCAGATGCACTTCTCGTGCTTGTGCTCGCTCGAAATGGGCAGTCCGAGGGCGTTCCGGAAGGGGAACATGAGCTCCCCGTCGGGCGATGGGCCGATGGTGATGGGGCCGCACAGAGGCCCGTGTGCGAACTCGTAGTTGGCCTGGAATAGTGGATTGGTGTTCTTGAAGTATGACGCAGTGGCGTGCTGACCCTGAACGATCATCTCGAGGTTCATCTGGTCTCCGGACGAAATTACGCGCACAGCTCGCGGGATGTTGTCACAGAAGCAGGCCAGGTGGTTCTGCTGCTTGTCCCGATCCTCCCAGATCACGAGCTTGTCCACGCGCTCCTCGTGGCATCGTGTGCATGAGTTCATGTTGTAGGGCAACTCCTGCAGGGAAGGAAATTGTTATTCAAAACACATTTCTAATTAATCTTGAATCAAAATGTGAATCGTGAGCGACATATTGATCCTTTGAATTACAAAGTCTCACCTTAAAAGACACCGCAGTGACTTCCACGACAACTCTCGCGTAGAGTCTCTTGTCCGTGACGAACTTGTACTGGCATCGCACGTCGCTTCCGGCCGTTCTCTTGTAAATCAGCGTGTTAAGCGGCGAGCGCAGCTTTCCCCTCGTGAACTTCCACGCGTAGAAGACCTCGTCGCAGAGTGTGTTGGGCACGGCGTCGCCGAACTTGGTGTTGTTGAAGAAGTCATAGTGCGCCCAGTAGTATAGCGAGCTGCCGCTGTACGAGCCCGTGTGCGACTCGAAGCGCACGTACAGCGACCGGCCCGTGCTCACGAAGTCCACCTTCTCCATAGGTCGCGAGAAGGTATCACAGAAGGTCTTGATGATGCGTGCGGGATCGGGTCGTCCGGAGTCGTAAATCGTGAGCGACTCAGCGCAGTCGCCGTCGTACTTCCTTATGGCGGCTTCGATGCGATTGATGCGGAAGCTAAAGGGACGAAAGTGAATTTAGTCATATTAAGTGACTTATTTCAATCTTCAGACCATTTTGGAGATTATATCTTACTTTTACAACCAAAAAAGTATTAAATAAAAATGAGAATAAGACTTAAAATTCGATTTTGAAACGTTTTCTGATATTTCCTTGCACATCCAAGGAATTGCACGCAGTATTCAACCAAAATATTTTTCCAAGTATTTTTCCCTTGATGATAGCCTTCGTAAATTTTCACCTGACAGACGACTCTACTTTGCTGATTAAATTTAATTTCTAACGACATATCAAAGTTTCCAGGACCTTTTATACATTACACTCGGCAATTTGTCTGCTCCATTGAATTCTAGTCATATTTCATTACGAAATTCCCACCACAGAGACACTACAGTGGGGTTTTTTTTGTCCCACCCACTCCAGCTCAACCAACATAGGAGAGAAATATCGCTTTTCATTTGTACTGCGAGTTCCATTCTCCTGGTGAAACTTTTAGTGCGCTCCTGAGAGCTTTCCTTTGACAAAAAGCAGTTCAATGGGTGGGAAAAAGGATCTTATGAATGCGGGGGGGGGGGGAAAGTGATGAAAAATTTTATGAGATTACTCGTGGAGCACATTTCAATGTTTCAATGATACTCAAACAGTGGAAGTGGAGAAGAATTCCACCGAGAAGTTTTTCTACCGAAAAAAAGCACCGTATCCTCGGAGCGGGAGAGAAGATGATGGAAAAGTCCGGGATAATCCGTCATTGATTTCATCTTCCTTTCACCCATTTCGTCCCTCCTTCAGCAAGAGAATAAATCCACAATTTCCACCCCGGGGAACCTTTTATTAACGTATAAGAAATCATAAAAATTTGATGACTCTCCAAATGCAATCAATACCAGACAACTCTAGGGTAAGTGTTAAGTCACCTGGGAAAGTAGAGGCGAACGACTTCGCCCTCGTTGCCCTGGATGTGGTAGTTGCAGCTCGTGTTGGGCGGGTACCAGTGCGCCACGCTCAGAAAGATGCCCTCCGAGGCGCTCGTGGCGCGCAGGGCGTCAGAGCTCAGCAGCCAGTCGCAGGCGCCGCTCTTCACGCCCGCCGTCTCCACGTGACCCGGCCAATTGCCCACGTTGAAGTGGAAGCCCGTGTTGAGCAGCGGACCCGCCGGAGACGTCACAAATTCCACATACATGTGCTGAGAAGTGCCTGCAAAATACACCATTTGCAGGCGGTGCACAGATGAGTATTAATAAAATATGTATAAGCTTAGCGAATATCAATTTCCTCATCGTTTCTATCAATATTGCCTAATCGCGGTTAATCCTGCTGAGTGTGATGAACTTAATTCCAAATTTTTACTTTCTTATAAGTGAAAATACACGTGAAATAACGATCAAAAATTCGTTTTAATACGAAATCAATGGAGTAATTTCAATACTTTTATATTTAATTTCTAACCTCTTTAATTAATTTTAAAGATTTCCAATATTTTAGTATAAAATGCCAACCCATTTTATACTCGTGCATCATTTGGTTTGAGAAGGTCGTGAAATTCAGTTAGGGTTAAACCAATTACAATGCGGGTAATTTTCGAGCACATCGAAATGTTTCAGAACGTCTAGTAGCCCAGATACAATACTTCATAAAATTCTACACCACCAAACACGATTTGCTGGTTAAGAACTCAGGAATCATATTTGAAATTCAATCGGAAATTTAATAATTGCACTAATTGGAATGCCTCTCATTCAATTACATCATTATTCTGTGAAACTGAGTTTGGAACTAATCTAGAGGAAATTGTCAATTTGTCAACTCACCAATGATGCTGAAGGGAAACTTGCCCATGCCACAGAATCGTCCAATGAGCGATGCATGCTCGTCACGTCCGTCATAGACGGCCAGCCAGTCGTACGGACAGTGCTCGACTCCGGATCCGATTTCGCGCATAGGACAGGTCATGATGTTCTCGCACCTGCAGATTATGGGGGAAATGAGAGGGATTGCGGCCAGGATTAATTCATCAGGCATCGTTTTTCATTTGCCACCACCGAAAACACACCACTGAATGTCAGATGGTCGCATAGAAGGGTAAACAGCACATGTGGGTAAATATTGATCTCTCTTGTGTGGTTTCACGGCATAAACTTTTGATATGTATCCCATTTGGGGATGGGGCGGTTGATGCCATCCAACTCGGTCGCTTTTGAGGCCATGGATATTGCATAACTGGCGGAGTAAACCGATCACAGGGCATTGGTTTCGACTGTTGTGCAATTTCCGCCTCATTATGGCAATGAATGGCATCAATTCCAGCTCGAAGGTGTGTACAACTTCACTGCGAGGATTCTTCTGAACAACACACAGAGAATTTTAATTTAATCCGCAATCTAATTGAAATTCCTAATGTTTTCTCTTTTGCGTCCTGGTAATAAATTCACATCTCAGAATTTCTCGTTTGCATTCCGCAGATATTTTCCCTATGATAATGTATATTCAGAAAATTACGCCAAGTACGAAAAATCTAAACATATTTCCAGCAGAGAAATGGGTTTTTCTTCTGGATGCGACAGATCTGCTAAATAAATTTCATCACAAGGGGACACTTTCGCAAAATATTTATTCACATTGTTTGCACTGCAGAGTTACTTTCGCCCCCCCCCCCCACTCCGGCCGGAAGCTTTGCGCGCGCTGTTTTACCAAATATTATGACGAAAGCACCATTTTCTTCACTCGCACATTTTTCAAACGCAACACGTTGAGCATATTTGGGCAAAGTTGGTTTGTATATTGAGTTTTGGGTCTCACAAGGGTTGAATTTATAGTGGTTGAGAGACTCTTGCGACGGCGAAACTAATATTTTTCACTCACGGCGAAAGGAAAGCCAGGGATATTCTACAAAATGTGTGATACAGTTGGTAATTTCACATTATAATCCGCACCCTTTTCCCATATATAACAACATTTTCCGAATATCTCACCCACAAAAATGTCATGCCGACAATCCAGTGAAGCCCTTCACCTCGTAACTTTTCCACCTGGATAGATACATTTGAGTGGGTGGATGCAAATGTGGGTGGATTACAATTTATCTGCTCGACACCGCAAACACTTTTTTCCCCGCACCACAAGAATGTCGAGCCATGAACACTCCCTGACATGCTACCCAAATATCTGAAAACTCTATCTCAAACTCAAGGGGATTTCCCACGAAGCTCTCATGTAACATCAATATTTTCAGATTGAATATCTTGTCCTTTCGCCCCCGCAAATTCCATCTCATCTAGTCACCCCTTTGACGTCAATTTGCCGAATAACATCGCAATTAGCTTCATTATCAGGAATGCTCATTATAGCAGATATCTGCAGTCAAATATTATAGTGCTGAATGAAAATTAGCGACAAATATTTGATTTCTGGATTTTATTAACAATTTAGTTGTGCATTAAAATTTATGTTGAAAATAGGTTATTGTCAGCAATAGCTGTATAAATGTTATTGTATCCGGACTGGACGTCATATAATTTGAGTGCAATTTGTTATTTAATCAAAAAACAAATAAATTATTTGCAGTGTTGCCAAACTAATTGTGCTCAATTTAAGTATATCTTCACCATTTAATAACAATAACATAAATTCTTGTCTAATTTATGAGATCTTCCAAAACCTTCAGTACTTATTTGGCAAAAATGTAAATCATTGCGAAATCAAATTGAAATTCACGTCAATTTGTACGAAAAATATTCCTTCATAACAAGTAAATCTTCACTTCCATCCAAAGCGAGAATTTTAATGCATTTCACCTGAATTCAATGCTCTTAGAGGGAATCTTCTTGTGGCATTATGGAAGCATTACGGACGCAAACAAGTCCATTCAGGCGGATTATTCACCAAAAGACGAGACATTTGGGTGGAAATGAAGTGTCATCGGGGAATTGGACGAGAACATTAGATTGCAGTGCAATAGAACAGAATTGAGTATGAGAGTTCAGATCATTTAATTAAATTGCAAACACTTGCCTTTATTAAAACGCCCGCCCACACCCCTTTGCACAGTCATCCAAAAGTGTCCTTTAGCGTGAGAGTGTTTCTCGAAAAACAACCCCAACGAAAGATGGCTAAAGACGACGCATTGAAGGCAAATGGAGTCTTTTATTTCACATTTTCCACCAGACACAGCTTTCTCCAGAGTCTGTGGGTGGGAAAATTCAGTGGGGAGTGTTTTTTCACGCCCAACCACCGCATGTGTAAGTACACATTTTCATGTGGTTTGCTCTCTGCAACAGTAGCAGCACAATAAGCAATTGGATGGGGTGGAAAAGCTTTTAAATCGATCGATGTTTTGTGAGTGAAATGAATGGAAAATAGAATTTCCCGGATGAATTCCCACTCTTCGTGCCGCCACAAGGAGTGAAGAATGAGGGAGAAAATGTGTGTCACATATTTATGACGCGGGGATAATGAAGTTAAGCATCTGCAGCCTTGGAAGGATTGCTGGCGACCACGTGACTCGCTCTATGGGTGGTTTGTGTAGGGAAAAGCGCATTTACCTCTGTCCATCAACGGCAAAGTGCTCGTTCTGCAAGTAGAGCTTGATAAATGGTTGCCTCGTGTGGAGCCGGTAGCGACATTTCAGGGCTCTCGGGTACAGGCCAGGATATGCGGGCGACTGGACGTAGCATGTCTGCAGACGACAGTCCCGAAACTCGCGTTCGCAGTACGCCCTGTCGAAAGGGAGGATGATGGTTAAAATGGGGCTGCTGCAATGGGGAGAGAATGCATATGACCAAAATCTGTACACCTTTTTCGGCTGTTTCGACTTCTTGCCCTATTTTTCACACTGATTCTTTTCAATTCGACATAAAATCTATATCTAGACTCTTTACAATTTTGATTTCTTGCTGTCCAAACTTAAAAAATGCTATTTTAGAAAATAATTTAAGAGAATTGTGATGTTGAATTAATCAAAAACCATTGATAGCAAATAAATTTTCCAGTTGTTTCTTGACTTTGTCAGCTTGAAATCTGTTTATTTAGGAAGTCTTTAATTTTGAATAACAGGCAAGATGACAGGGCGGGAAAGGTTTCAAAATATTATTTTTGAAATTATGTTTAAAGTTCGCTCAAATTTACTGCTAAGAATTCCAACGTTATTTCAGCTTATGCACTTATTTATCATCATTTATGATTTGCCGTCAAAATGCACCACTCGCTAAATTGCATTGCGCGGGAAAAATTGGTGCGGACATGAAAGGAAAAGACGGCAGAAAATGGATAACACAGGTTGGGGGAAAAGATGCGTTCTGGCGTGAGCATCATTTCAATTTATCACACAATACACAATGGCGATGGTATTTATGATAAACAAGCCATCAGTTCAGCCCACACTTGAGGAAATACCCCAGAGCTGGAAACTTACCCCTGCACCACTTCACCCCGTCGATTTGGGTACAGTTCTGGATGCTGGCCATAGCGCAGATACACTTCCATTTGTTGTTCGGCTCTCGACTCGAATGAGAAATACGTCTGCGGAAGATTTACAACATTGGAACAGTGGCATATGATGGTAAAAATAAACTATGTAGTTGCTTTAAGCCCGCAAAAACATCAGAGAACTCGACTTGCCCCCATTATTAAACCATAGTAAAACATTTCCTATGATGATTTATAAATTAAAGTCTAAGCATTTTTCAGCAATTGAATCGAGTCTCCTGAAAACCTGAAAAATCTTCCTACGCCACTGCATTATTCATACTGATAGTAAATTTCTCAATATTGCTTCATCTCAATCGATGTGGTTGTATCTTGTTTGCAATCTTCCGCATGCGAGAGGCTTTTTATCGGTAAAAAGGGAAGAATGGGAGTATTTTCTCATACACTTTTTCTCGTCTCTTTGCAATCCATTGGCAAATTTCCCGATGACTTCTCTGTCTCTGCGACTCGTCATCGTCTGACTATGACTCGAAATGCAGCCTCGAGGCAAAAAGTATTGTTATTTGCAATTCCTTGCCACTCCGAGACAGATATTTTCATGCTAAGTTATCAGAGAATTTCTCATCTGTGACTTCTTTTGCAATATTTTCTCTCGCTACAGCTTTTTCCAGACCAACAATAGCGTATGTAATCTTTCAAATGTCTCATCATCGTCATGATTTTCAATTGGGACAGACAATAAGTACTCTCGCACATTCTCTATGGTTTGACAAATATTTTAAAATTCAATTACATGCACCACAAAAACGAATCAGCGATAGAGAGATTAAAATTTTGCGTGAGATTAGTCTGAACAAATTACCAAGACGAATTCTGCACCCAACCCTTCGTCGCATGCAAAATCTGTGGGGATTTGTCGTGTCTCGAGCGTCAAATTTTCATCTCTGGGATTACATCTTATCCACACTTTATTTGATAATGTTGGGACTTATTGTTACTTTAATACCAGACCAAATTTTTGCACATAACAACTCCCAAATACGCTTAATATGCGTGATAATTGCGAAACTTTCCCGCAAGAGAAGAGTTTTTGAAGTTATAGTTTGCATTTTAAATGTGATGATGAAAATTTCACTATGCAAATTCGAGGTGGAACCCCATTAATGCTACTAATACCTCAAATTAGTGCTTGAAAAGGTGTTAAATCGCATGGAAGTTGCAATTAGGCTCTAATGACTGAACCATTTGTATGTTTTTATCGCTGATTCAATTCTTTACATCCACATTTAGTGATAAAGTGGCAATTTAATGAAATTGTCACAGAACTACAAATCTCTGAAACCACGCCTCCCCAATTTCCCCGCCCATTTCCAAATAAAGATTGAAGTTTCTTACAGTTTGAATGGGAGCAAATCAGTCAATAAACTTGTTTGTATTCAACGCTGAATATCCAAACGAAATGGAATGGATTGAATGTCTTCCGTAGCTTTTTATCAAAGTCATGGAGTTAATAAACAGTATCTAATTAGTGACAAACACTATAATGTGCATTTTCTTCCAATGATGCGCTCACTAATGACGCTGTGATTTCATCTCCGGCAACAGAAGCAGCGCAGCGAGACACAAATTTCTATTAACCTCATCAATTGTTCATTGTATTGTGGAAAACTCACGCCACGCTGGGTTAATAATCTGGGGTGTGATTGAATTTTCCCTCTCGGTGGATTTATTAATTAAAAAGCTTGGTCGAAATTGGTCGATTTACATGGTTGGCATTTTTGGTGAAGTTATTGTCATTTTAATTGGACCCAAACACGACATGGCAATTTGCATAAATTAGTGCAAAATTTATCTACCGTCCTTGGCGCAAACCAATGAAATTTGCCACAAGAACATTCCGCGATGCTCGGCGAATTTGCGGAGAGGGAGAGCATTGAGGCAATATTTTGCTAATTTCCGCCCTCTCCCTCTCTCTCTCTCTCTCACCCGGAAAAGGGAAGAAGACTCACCTGATCCGTGAAATTGTCAGTGTGAAAGAGAATTTTAACGTAGCTCGTCTCACTAATGAACGTCTGCGGTTGTTCAGCCTCACCACAAAACATGCCTGGTTCACGACGATTGGAGACATCAGTCTTGGCATTACCATCCACAATCTGCAAAACAAATACACCCATTTTATATCTCGTCAGACAAGCCATAATGTGTTTGCAGAAATTAAGCTAATACAAGAAGGCCTCTCGTGGTTCCAATTCCACATCCTTTCAGCCCGCACAAACCGAGCTTTTTCATTTCACCAAATGAACTTCCTGCCTTATTTGCCGTGCCCACAGATTTAACAAGAGTGACTTGGACAAAAATCCATTTCACTGGCCAAGTAAACACGAGTGATTTTAATTGAAGTGAACGAAAGCTGCAACATTTTGAATCATTACAATATTCCAATTGTGTGATTGAGACGTTCCCTAAAGACAGTAATTTCTGCGGAAAATATCACAAAAGTAATGTTTAAATAAAGAGTTGAATTTGTTCAGGCAATTTACCAAATAAAATCTGACTTTTTGATCAGCATTGAATTCAATACTATCAGAAATAATAACAAAATTGAAAATATTTGTGCTTTTTTCATGGAAATTCATTCAATTCTGATTGACTATTCTCAATTTTCAATTCATCAATTGGGCAAAATGTTCATTCTGAAACAAACAAATAAAATAAACCCTTCAAATTAACGTTTATTTGTCAATCACCTATCAGACCTAGAGCTTCACTCTAGGTCTCTGAAATTCTTCAGAAATCACAGTAATGAAAACTTTCTGGCACGTAGTCAATTATCAATATTCCGAGAGAGTTGCTAAGTAACAATTCGTCACTTATAAAGTCATTCGTATGTGAGTAAATGATGGCAAAACTTGCCCTCTTCTACTCTGGATATTGAATAACTTGTGCACTTTCTGCTTGAGTCATTCACAAAGCAGAACTTAGAAGAAATCACAGGGCAAGGAAATCGTGCACTTGATGGTTATCTTTGTTTTTCAATTTGCATGGTTTGTCTGTTTGCTCAACTGTGGCACAAAGTCACTCCTCAGCATAATGATACACTTCTTTTGGAGCACTTGTGGGGGTGGATGTAAAAAATGGCAAAGTGTGTCAGTGGCAGAATTCAAATGGCAAAAGAGAATATTTTTCCGCCTGTCGAATTCACCTTCGTCGCCCATGTTTACCCATCTTCACCCATAGAATTTTCAATTACTGCGAATCAATGGCCGAGCGGGTGTGAGGCCGATGGGAAGAAGACATTTCTGTACACACGCTCTTGGCGGCTCTCGGTGGTCTTTTGGCCCAAAAGAGGAGACAGAGAGCGAGTGGCACATTTTATTGCAATGAGAACCATTTCGATTTTATTGGCCAGAGCAATTCTTGGCACGTTCTAGCACTTCCCCGTATCGAGTCTCCCTCGGTGCCAATTCCCTGGCCTGGATTGCATGGCAGCGCCGAAACTGGGCCACTCTCCACTGCTTCCCGGTGTATTCCGTGAGTGCTGATTTCAAATTGCAAAATTACACACAATAATTGGGTCAGACGGAAATCTCTCACGTGAAATTATCCAGCATGGACACTTTGTCAGTTCGCTGTCAGATCAAAGACACAGTTAAGTGCTTAAACATTTTCACATCTTTGCTCGTATGAACGCAATTAATGCTGGTTTGAGCTGCCAAATGAGGTAAATTAGCAGATTGAAGAGATTCAGATAATTTGATTGCAAAACAAGTGAAGCACTTTCAGTGCATTTGCCGAATTAAATGTAAATTCTGTGTAACAAACTCTATATAAGAGGAAAAGAAGCACAGAATTTCAAGCATTTCCAAAAACTTCCACTCACTTGTCGGTGAAGTATTTTAAATGAACTTTTCCTCGATTCTTTCAGAAGTGGGAGGAATTTCTCGTTGCCAAGTGCAAAGAAAACTCTCTAGGACACATAATTCAAATGACACGGCGTAACAATAAAATCTCCACGAAGAACAAAGTGCTGCGCGATAGGGACAAAAGGGGTGGGAACAGGAAGAGGAGAGGATTTATTTCGAAACTAGACAATATTCCGGAACCGAAAAGTTTCATTTCGCTCTCACTCCCATTCCGCGCTTTTTCTTGCTTTCGCTCAGGGCGCATTTGATAGCGCTTGGGAAGCTTTTAAGCTTTCCACGTGCACCACAAGGAAATACATTCGCTAAATCAACTACTTTGATATTTTCCATTGAAATATGAATAGAGAATGTATTTACACAAAAAATATAGAGAATGTAATAACGCTGTCGCCATTGGGAAGTGGATTCAAAATGCTCAGAGTACTTTCGCTCAGTTCAGTGGTTTTGAAATGCAAACGCCAGAGAACTCCATCAGAAGAGGCGCTGAAAGGGGGAAAGTGGGCTTCAGCGTGAGGAAAGTGTGATAATTATGACTTTCACCTTTCACGGCAGGAGCAAAAGGAAGAAGCGGATGTAATTTAATACAGAAAGGTGTGCTGTTAAAATGCGTCAGCACAAAATACATCGCACGGTAAAATGTGAAGATTCACTTCTGGAGCCATTCACACGAATATCCATTTCATTCACACGCCGCACGAAGAGCTTTGGGGGGTGAAATGAGATAACGCTCTCGCCATGTATGATTTCCAATGGGTGAAAATGTGCTGGATAGATTAAATGTTGTATTTTCTGTCGGCATGACTTTGAAGTCTCGTACAGTCAGTTGAAATTTTTTGCTGGAATTCAATTAAAAATTAATTGAATGACGTCTACTTGTGGTCATGAAATATTTTTGCCAGCAATTCGGCTTTGCGGAGCTCTGAAAATTCCCCCCAATATTCAGTGACCCAAATTCAAAGCCCAGAGATTTAGGGTGGAAAAATATTTATCTCTCAATCCACCATCAATTGGTTGACGTGGGATGAGAGAGAGCAAGAGGTGGGCTGTGAGGAAAGAGCAGAAATCACATCAGTCGCGGAAGAGAGATAATGGAAAAAATGACATTGCTATTTTAGCCGGTGAAAAATCAATTTGTACACCCACGAGATGAATTTCCCATTGACATTTCCATCAGATGCTTATTTCAATTTCATTTATTTATATCTGCAGAGATTGCAAATTTGTTTATTCTCTTTCAGGTCTTTTTTTCCAACATGCCCTGCAATTGAATTATCTCACATTCCTTTCACTATCATTCCACGATAAAAATGCGCTGTGTGGAGAGTAATTTAAATTTAGATTTTCCACTGCAAAATTACAGCAATTTTTTTTCATACTTGTGCCATTTCGCAGAAAAATGTCTTTATTGTTGATTTTAGAATATTCCTGTACACATATTTGCATACGGAAGGCAAATGTGGATGCAACATTGAGTATTTATGAGGCAAATTTTCAGTTGAATTTCACACAATATTGCAGCCAAGATGATGAGCAAATGCTTTTTCAACCTCGAGGTTGTTTAGCTTAGCAAAATATACAACACATGAAAATGCAACATTCACCGTCAGTCTCTCAAAAGCCTTTAACATAGAAAACAATTTTAAAATCAATTAAACTTTCATTGGAGTCGCCATGCAGAAAAGCAATATACACATTTTCACCGGAATTATATTTACATATATGAAATATATAATTTTGCTAAATTATAATTGAAAAATAAACTGCATGGTAAGTGACCGCGTAATATGCTTGAAAGTTAGAAAGGCAGCCAAACAGGAATGCTCAAGGCAATGGGCGGGGCATTTGAGTGGGCGGAGCTTATTTTGGTGCTTAAATAAATATTTCTAGTGCAGTCTCCTAAATTTTGTATGTAGGAAACGAGAAAAAAAACTCATTATAAAACGCGAAAAGCAATATGTATTATCATAAATAAATAATACCCTCCATCAGAATATACACGAGTCCGTCAGATGCCCCTACAAATCCAAATGTTCATTAAGTTGTATTGCACAAATTGACAACATTCATCACACAGATGTACATGTATTGTATGAATCAGAGACACATAATTATTTATGTAGCATCTCATTTTATATTCATTCTCTACCCTCAGATTCTCCATTCTCAGTGTGGCATTCACTTGGTCTTCGAGCAAAACGACCCTCGTGATTTTCAATTAACCCATTTTCCATTTTCAACCCCAAACCACTTTCACGTCACTGCGGGAATGGTGAGGAAAAAAGTCTGAGGCCTCCACGAAGTGTCTCAATAATGAATTGAATGGAAATGAATCATATCGAGTCGAGAGGAAATTCAATTGAATGACTCTGCCAATTTCTTTTCTCACGATAGGCGCACAATTTCTTTGAAGTTCGCGAGAAAACTGTTCCTGATGCTGTGTGGAATGCATGTTTAAATTGACAAAGTAAATTTATTTAAGCACTTTGTGCAATTTGGCGAATTCATTCCTTTGGCAATTCATCAAAACAGCCCGAGGCCGCACTTTGCGCTAGGGAAGTGTGACCAGGTGTCCGTGGGTGTGGGAAAGCCGCAGAAGTTGTACAGCTTTTGTACAGTGTCAAGTGAGTGTGAGATATTCCCAGAGAAAAGCTCTGACACTGTAATTCTCAATGCTTTGTTCTCTCTCTCTCTCCCCCAAACCAAAAGTGTGACTGGGCAGAGTGTGTGTGTGTATGGAAAAGTTTGAACTCTATTTGGATGGTGCGCGCGTTAAAATGGTCCCCAAAAAGCACATTGCACGCCCGAAAGCCTCGATCCACCCACTGAAAAGCGTCGCTGCGAAGTGAATTTAATATTTAAGCAATGCATTATTCAAAATTGTATATTGTGTCCATTCTGTATTCAACAGTATATCGCGCTTTTCGACGGGGTGGCGAAAAGTATGTGGGTGGAATTCGCATTCACATTGCGTGGGTTGGGACTGTATTTTCGGGCTCCGAGTGGGACACACTGGAAACTTTTCTCTCCAGAGAGGAGAGACACAGTCTGCGGAGGAGAAGTGCGATGGCAGAAAGATGGTTCATTTGTGTGCCCTTATATTCTTCATTCACATATTGATTTTCACTCTCTGCCACCCACTTTTTAGAGACCCATTTCCCAATTTCGCCCCCGTGAATTTCCACAGCATCACACTCGAGCAGGGAATTTGCACGAATAATTCAGTACATGGG